ACATAGTTGGAGTAACCCCGGGGATTGGCACAGCAACTACATATACGGTTTCCGTTGTTTTAATACCATTCGTACCTGTTATTGTCGTTACGTATGTAGACATTGTAGTGGTCGAATAAACTACAGACCGTTCATAGGTAGTTGTAGTTGCTAATACTGGACAATTATCTGGATATTCAATCGCGTTAACATCTGACCAGTCCAAATCATCATAATCCATAGTGACAAAATTTGATCCATCTAAGGCAACCGATTGATCTCCGACTTTAAACCAAATTGATAAATTTAGAGCTTTTTGAAGACTCAATGAGATCATCGTTATTGGATATGCACGGCCGGCAATTAATGAACCCATATTAAACCCGTTAGCGCTAGTTCCCTCAGTTATAAGTCTAGCTGTGTAAGTTGTTCTTGCCGGGGAATACTTATCCAATTGATTACAAGTTGCATCACCTGCATCATCTGTGGCTATATATGTCTGTCCTACCAATTTGAATCCTGTAGCATAATATTCAGGAATATACGTCTGGTCAGAATCAAATATGGGATACGCATAGTTATATAAATAGTAGGTACCATTTACTGGAGGGATGAAATATCCTCTTGTTTCAACAATGAATTGTGTTGCGTCGATCTTTTCCCCATAGACAGTTATATTACTGCTATCTTCGAAAGATATGCTGAAATCTGTAACACCATTCACTGTTGTCAAATAAGTTACATTAGGGTCAGTTAAAAATGTTTCATCTTTTATATAAATGGAATCTGTACGGTATAAAGCATTATTTTCATCGGATGTTGGATTACCTGTTGGTAGATCTCGAGAAATGGCGTATATTTTAGCAGTTAATCCTGGTGACACATGAGCTGAACCTAAATCATAAGTATAACATTGACTAAACCTCACTAATGATAACCAGAATAAAAAATTTATGAACAACATTGAATTTTAATCGTATTATGATACGTATATATATTTTCTCCGTAGCATTAGTTATATAAGTTAATTGTAATCTAAATTGTTTAGAAACAGAAAGAGGATAATACAATCTGTTAATTATGGTATATCCTTCTCACTTATATAGTGCCCAGTTATTTTATTTTAATCTTTTTAAGAATTTCTATTTAAGTAGTAAGAATAATAAATTATATCAATATAAGAAGAACAAATAAAAAAGGAATTTAATGGATATGATAGAAAGTAAGGTAGTATATGGTTACCATGATTTTAAATAGGACTTTTTCCCTACTAATAGTGCATAGTGTAGGGCAGACAATCAGAATAAATCAAATTTATTCCAACCTTCTTTTCTGCTAATGTTCGCCCTGTGGTTGTTTGGTTTCTTATCTGAGTAATTACTAGAGAAGCCACATGAGTACATGGGCAACTGATTTGAACCAAAAGTAGTCAGAAGAGCAATGCAATTTAGTTGACTTTCTGGCTAATCTGGTAAGCTCTCAGTGTTGTAGGGCCTTATAGTATTAATTTATAAGGACACCAAGGGGTTGTGCAACACAAAATAATAATAAACAGTACATATTTTCAAACACATACACACATACACACGTAGGAATACAGAAAGGTGGTTTCGTTATTTTTCTTATATTGAATTATGCTCATAATTATAGTTTTGTTTTGTTTTTGTTTTTGTTGTTGTTGTTGTTGTTGTTTTTAGTAAAAATTTGGATGATTTTCCCTTCTGCTGGGTTCACCAAAACCAGCCCCCACCTAAAAAAAGAGAAGAAGAACTATTTTCTTAAGCTGCTGGATATCTTCCTCTTTTTTTTTCATTTTTTATTTTGTCCCTCATGTTATGACTTCATGAAGATCTGAAGGGGTGAGGCCGAAACGAGAGAGAATTTCCTTTTTAGGTAAGAGAAGAAGCCCGCGTAGGATGAGAAACGGCTTCATAAACTTTATCTCGGATGGGCTGTAGCATTATTCTTCCCGTACGCCCAAAATGGATGAACAAAAAGTTTTCAAAGAGAAACGCATAAGAAATAGAGATTTGCCTTGCAAATCACCGATACTCATGGACATTTTCTTGTTGATGAAATTGGTTGTTTTCTATTCTAGTAAAACGATGTTTATCCATTTATAACATTGTTCTTGTTGTAGTTGCTTTTTCAAGAAATAAAGCTAGACTATCTTTGTATGTCCATATTCATAGTTTCCTTATATAAAATTATGTAATATAGCTGATACACCATACCCTATACTTGAGAAAAAAAAATTGAATGCAAATAATGATATAAATTCTTGAAGTTGTTTTGAGTAGTGGCAAAAGAAAGTTTGTATTTTTATACTTAAGATTAGTTTTTAAGCTAATCCTGAAATATTTATTGTCAGAAATTAAGGGTGATATGCAGCACACTTAATTTCAATATAGGTAAAGAAAACCCTTTATAAAACAATATAAAAAGAAGCTCATAATAGAATATATAGAGAAATAGATTATCGTATTACAAAATGTTCAAGTAAAAATAATTAAAGCTTGAAGAAACCAATGGAGGAGAAAACTCTATCTCATAATCCCTACAAAAAGGTTTGACTCAGAACTAGGTACTCTATCTATATCTCTCAATTGAGAATCGACATTCGTGAAAATCGCTGCAATTTCCTCAGAAACTTAGCTAGTGATTAAAACAAAGATGAGGATCCGCATCTTATAAACATTAATTCATTAATTTATCATAATAATCGCGCAGGAGGATAAGATATTTTCTATAAAATACATTATTTTTGCCACCACTCTGCATACCATACCTACGGTCGAGAATACTTACATATTTTATCAGGCCTAGAGCAGTATGCAATAGATCAGTCAAATTTGTCCATATTTTTATGTCTTCCCTCCCGGGCACAATCATTGGATGAGATTGATAATCATCTTAAAGTTTTATTTCAGAGTTTGTTCTAGTTGCCATGTCGTCCAGGTCTCTGAGCGATGGGCTAGTTCCTATTTACAGTATTCTTTAGCGGATGTACCAACTAGCAACGATTCTTGTCCAAAGATGGAGTCCAAATGATTTGTCAGACTTTCTCATAAGCTTCCTTGAAATTTTATATAATTGCCTGCAAATTGAAAGTTATATTTAAATGGCAATAGAACAGAATGTCCGCCAGTTTTTGGTAATGCTTTTCAGAAAGTTATCATCAACACTACCTCTATGGTACACTATCAGATAAATCCTGTATTATATTAAGTTACTCGGGAAATTATATGGAAAGTAATGAAGCCTTATCGTCACTGAATTTGCAAGATTTTTTGATGCACTTTTACAATTTAGCAATTCAATGAAGCCAGATCTAGAGACATGTTTTTGGATGGATTAAACCAGTTGGTTTAATACTTTTAATACTTCATTACCGGAAGGTATACACTATAATTGGTTGATGTATATATCGATCTATTCTATTCGAGAAAGTGATTGTCATTTCACTACCGTAATTCAAAAAACCGTCGAGTCTCTTCCAGATGTTTGGAATATTTTAAAAAATTAAAGAGTTCAACATATTGTCACCAGGAGTATCCTGAAGAAAAATGGCGTTTAGATATATGTGCGGTAACTTTTGAAGTAATAGAATCCAACAAACGTAGTTGTACTATATGGTAGGGATTTTGCCCTGATGTTTGCTGTATTCAAACATTCATTAAACATCTAAAATATATATAATTTAGAGGCAATTCACTGAAGAATGATTGATATTGCAACACGAAATTATATGATACATATTCCTTCTTTTCGTTAATAAATGGAGACGTTACAAAGTGCATATATCTTACTTAACGACCGAAGTCTCCTGGAAGTGACTCGGCCAATTCGGTCATTCCTTCGACTTTAGATCTATCTGAAACTAAAGAACAACGTATATTTCTGTTGATTGGAGAAACCAATCCACATAAATATATTTAATTAACTTTGCTGATGATTAGCTCCTACTTAGCATCCTATATGACAGAAAAGCAAATACCGGCATTAAACCTTAAATGTACAGAATGGTTTGGTATCGACTTTGTTATGTATACAATAAGTGTGGGGCCCTGAGTGGTTGGTCCGCATGACAATGTTCAAACACCATTATTATTCAGCCGATATTTGAGTTTCTCAATGGATGTTGCAATATATTAACTGCGGAATATGTAATGATCAGCTACCAGAAGCATTCTGTTACCTAAATGGAAGACTTTGGGATCATCATCAAAAGAATCGAGATCCTTTTCGTACTGGAGACTACATTCAATTAATCTGAGATATTCAGTATTTGTGCATAGTATTATCAGAATTATCGGCCATGGTATCAAAGATGATAGAACGGGGATTTAAAATACCTTTCATATCAATAATCTTACTAACAAGAACATTTAGTTTCTTGAAGTCTCCTCTTTACAACTAGCCAAGGGGTAACTGCTGTTCAGCTCAACTTTAAGATTATTAGTTAATATTTAGGGATCTCTGAGGTGATGTAATATAATTTGTAGGGTGATTAGTAGGACGGTCTAGCTAACATGACATCTTCGTATTTTTAGAGTGGAGTAAACATAATGGATTTCTTTTTTAGTGGTACTTCTCTCAGTATTTTGTGACGTAAATATTAGTCGTTGTTTACATTGGATTCATTAATGAGAACGTAACAAGGAGTTTATCTTGCTGTGGGCTGTTCCAAGTTATTTAAAGTTGTAACTGTTGAAAAATGACTTGGGCCTAAAGAAGTGTGGACTGTTGTGAACGATTCATTAATTTTTATACACACGGCATAACAGTTATTTGAACTACACTTCAAAAAATTTAAAAGTTACATCTCAGAGTTGGCCGGTTTTTAATAATATAACTGCTGTGTATTCAAATATAAAGGAGTCTACACAGTTCCAATGAATTAAATAACTATAGAATATATATACTTTGTTACGTAAAACTGAGTCAATATTTAGAACGCAGTTCTTAGTCTTCTCTAGCAACAATAAAAATTTTAAAGAAATTAGATGTGCTTAGTTCATTTACCTTGGACTTACTCCTGGTTTATGTGACCAAATAAATTTATGTTCGAAATATCTTGAGAGAATTGCTAAGCATAAAAGAATTGGAACTTCTAGTAAAGGACCAAACGTTGCTGCAATTGCTTGTTTACTACCATTACCATACAAGGAAACAGCAACAGCTAACGATAATTCAAAATTATTTGATGCAGTGGTAAAGCACTGAGTCATAGTTATCGCATAATTGGCGTCACAAGTGTTCTTACCATATACATCATCCTGAAGTAATTTCTCCTTTTCACAATTACACCCATTACTGTCCTCTGAATCAATGTTATCAAATGATTTTCTCGTTCTCGTCAGAACTCTCATTAGGAAAAATGTACCGAACCAAGCAATTAGGAAATAAAGTGCTAATGGAACAAAACACAAAAATGCAGATCCAATATGTTGCAAGAAATTATGTCCATTACCTAAAAATATAACAATAATTGTGAAGTGGAAACCAATAAACCCCCATGGATTTATAAATGGTAAAATTTTATTGATAAACACTTCTTTTCCAAAAATAGAAAATGAGATGAATCTAATCAAAAACCCAGCACCTATTGGAATACCCAAAAATACCCCGACCGATTTAGCCACATCTGAATAAAGTGCTGACACATTTGAGTAAGAGCCTCCCGTTATAACGTAACAAAAGAAAATTTGGTATGGAGCATACAGAATCATTTGTAACACAGAATTTATAATCACCAATACAACACATAATGTATTATCACCTCCTGCGATTTGGTTCCAGGTAATTACCATAGCAATGCATCTTGCCATACCTATCATAATTACACCTTCACGATATTCTGGTTCTTTGAACAACACAAGCCATGATAAGCCAAACATCAAAAATGGGCAAACTAGCCAATTCAAAATTAACGAATAAATAATTGGTTTCTTAATTTCTGGCTTTCTAACATAAGTCCATAGCATTTCCCACTCCACACGACATAATGGTGGAAGCATCATTACTATCATACCAATAACTAGCGGAATCGACACTCCTACGAAGGTAGCACTTGTAGAAGAATCAAAATACTTTCTGGCATCCTTTGAATACTCGGAAACAAGAACACCGATAATGATAGATAATATAATGGTAAATGGTAATATTCTATCAGTCCATGACAGATTTCTGAACATGAGAGACCACTTGGTAGTCTCTCGTGATTGGCTTTCTGAGCTCATATTTAGTCTGTTATTACTGTACTTCTCAAAATGGTACTAGACGACAGATACAAGGGAAATATGTCTTACTTTGTAATTGATCTTCGCGGGGAAGGAGATTAATGACCACAGAGTATGTTATATCATTGTTTGAGTTTAATTTCTAGTATGTAAACACCAATATGAAATTTTGCTTCGTGTTTCTCATCAATAAATAAGCCATCAGTCAGCTTTGCTTATTCCAGGTCGGCCGTTCTCTGCTTGGTGAAGAAAAAATTTTATTTGCTTACCGAAGAAGCAGAGCCTTATCTTTTTTCGCACCACACTGTGTTGTGAGTTGGGTGTACGTGTTATACTGATATGTAATATTTTTAGCGGCGTACCCTGGACAATTAGACGGCTGCAACCCTTCATTCGGAATGGGGCACGCACAAAATTAAAGTATATCTCTCTTGGTAACAGTACGCAAAGTGAAAGAGCACTTTGCGTACTGTTACGCCAATCTCCAGATGTGCTTCCAATAATAAGTAAATATCAATTGTTGTTGTCTTAGGTGAGATAAGGTTGTGAATGTATTTTATGTTGAAATTCAAGTAATTATTATATGATGGTTATCTATATCATAAGCTTCGCAAGACAATAAAACAGGAAATTGTTTAAAGAAATGTGGACATTATATAAGCAGCAGTCTCTGTGATATAAATATGACATGTAATTTTAACTCATGTTCTTTTTGCTACACTGTAACTATATATTAAAGATCGAGATAATGTAGTTTTGTGTATAAAATTTTCTGTGATCGATTTAATTGCGGTAATACGATGCTTAGCATGATTATTTAAGTTTCCCATAGTAAAACAAATGTATGAAATGTACTATTAACTTGATCTGAAAGAATTACAGTATATTTATTTTTACTTAATTCGCAATAGGTGGCCTATTTTCTATAAACACAAAGTCGTGGTAAAAATCATGTAAAATATCACAATTTATCACATCATTAAACCAGTTTACAATTGCTGGATGTTCTTTTCTCCATTCTTTATCCAGTACAAATGTAAAGCCAAATGAAAAAGTTGTAGCTGCAGTCAAGTCTGCTAGAGTAATATTTTCATTTACCAAATACTTGTGCGTGCAAAGATGATCTTCAAATATCGGAACCATTGTATCTACTCTTCTTTTAGCTTCCGTTACAGCCTTCAGATCAAAAGTTTGTAACCCCACCAGTGGCTTTGCATAATTGTTCAATTCATTTAAAAAATCGCCATTCGCAAATGATTGCCATCTAATAATCTCTGCTTGTGTCCATGGGTCTTCCGGAAAGCCCAATAAAGTTCCCCGTTCCTTCTCGTCATTGGAAAGTGTCACAAGATAGTAATTGATGGCCATAGCCTCTGTTAACCTCTTTCCACTCTCATTCATCAGCGCTGGTACTTTTTGGTATGGGAATAGTGTTTTAAATTCATCATCTTCAAGATTAACAGTCACCAACTTTATATTATTTAACCTGTACCTCTTTGCAAGCACTGCTGGCAATATCGTTCTGCAATATTTTTCAGGGTTCACGTACAACACGATTCGTTCGCACATTTTCAAATAATATAATTAATTTCGATTATGTTCCTTTTATATTTGCTAAAGAAGGTCATATCCCTTTATTCAAAAAGGATCAAATGTCCCGTCTTTATATAGATTGCAGACCTCTCTTTGCTCCTCATCGTTTCTTTGTTTTTGTTTGTGCGAGCGAAACAGAGCCAACTTTTCTTGATAGTGTACTTCAAAAATTGATAGGTTCGATGCTAACGAAGACAGAAATACATACATTAGGGAACATAATCTCGGTCGCTAATACGTTGCATTTTGATCTTTCAAGTTTGAAATTCAGGTTCAAAATGAAGAAATATATTACGGTCAATGCTGAATATTTAGCCAATTTTATTCTGAGGTTTAGTATCGAGCGGCACATGAATTATTTTCTGGTAATGATCTCGAAATTTTCAAACGTTCTGAATACTGTTACAGATACATTCACCCCTTCCGCCAGTTGATTGAGAGTATCGAAGTTCATAATTTATCCCAATCGGAATCCCATTTCTTTTTTACTTGTCTGTATCATTTTTCTTGCAAGATAGAAATAAACACCTATCAATTTAGATTAATTTCAACTTCAAAGGTAAGGTTTTAATGAGCTCATGAATAAAACTCAACCTCTGCATTCTGTCCTTAAGAAGACGAAGAAGAAGAAGAATATCAAACCGCACATCATAGCTAAGTTTTGGAAAGTCGACATCTGTAAGGGCAAACCCCTAATCCAATAAACCTGTGCCCCTGACCTTAATCCAACAAAAAGAATCGTCCACGCACCATTATTTTCTCTGAAGGGATTTAATGAGCGGGATGGATCTTTCCAGAGCAAGAATATGTAACTTTATGTTCAGATGTTGGAAATACCATAATCTATGATCTTGTAAAAATCTAAGATTAGAGATACCATATCAACGAGATCCTTCATTTGTTATCGCCCGAGCAACGGTGCAGAAGTTCCGATAATAATAACTACCGGTACTGAGGTTATGGAAAGGATCATTCAATTTCCAGGAGTTGGGGGGGGTGCGACATTCTCAATTTCTTGCTCTTTGTGTGATTATTGGAACTGTTAAAAACCCTACAAAAATCCTACGCTTAAGTTTACTATATGTATATACATATACATTTCTGTATCGTCCTGTTTTGCTCTGGAATTCCTTTTGGCTATGCAAGAAAGGCTCTACAATATAAACATGAAAATATAGCAATGATTTACCAATATAACAAAATAGTAAACAATGAAGGTGGGTTAGGCTGGGTTGTGCGTGCCCTGATTTTATTGGGTAGATCACTCCTTGAAACCATGCTTTCTTCCCTTACTACGGGTGTTTCTGTAACGCCCCATGCAAATCGGTCGTCGTCACCATTTCATCATAGCGGACCTCCCATTTCCTGCGGTTTTGTCTCTGTCTCTGCCAGCGTTCCTTGTTTCAGTTTGTTCATATTTAGCATTTCCTTGGAACATGTTTCCATTTTAGGAAATTTGGTTGTGCGTTCCGTTCTCCGTTTACCAGCCTATAACCGAGAAAGATTTTCATAGGCAAAATTAATAATAAACCAGCACAGAGTCATCCGCTGGTTTATTATTTCTAATAGCATATTGTTCTACTCCCATTGGTTGAGATCTCTGGCTTCCATCAGACCTGGAAGTTGATTATTATGAAATCTTCACATTTCCATTAGGTAGCCATACGGTTATTCAACGGTTTTTTATCGATTTTAATAATTTTTAAAAGTAATTTTTGGTTCAAACAAGGCCAATAAATATACTATAGAAAAGAAACTGATGTGTATGGAACTTGCAGAGATCTTAACCCTCAATAAACTGAGCTTTATTTTTTACTTCTTGTAGATCTATGCAAATACTGATTTAAACTTTGTCAATCCTTATTTTTAGTAGAATTACAACAAACAGATAGGGATAAAGGAAATGGAACTTAAATAATGTTGTACGCACTTGTTGTTGGTGTTGCATTCGTCAGGTTATCGTTATTATTGGGTATCTTGATTATTAATTTAAATTTTCTTGTATATAAGAATGATAAATTATCTGAGCTCAAATTGAATTATAGAACTAAAAGAATATACACATGTTCTTCGTACGTAGTCCTTTTCTTTTTTTCTTTCTCAATATTCAAGTAAAGAATTTCATAATATCAGCAATATCAAAAAGTTATGAACGTTTTATTGCAATTTTTATTAATATCACAGACCCTTTCGACACTAGTTAGTGGAGCTGCTCTTGTAAAAAGGGCTCCTACAACAATTTTACAAGTGACTACAGGTACCACCACAAAATTGGTTCCTTTCACAACGGTGCTAACATCAGTCTATGCTACAACCGGTGTCGTTACTCAAACTAAAATTGGTACTTCCACGAATGTAATCACCAATGAAAGTGAAGTCACTGAACTAATCACTTACACTGACACTCAAACATTCACAACAACAGAATTAATTACCGAGACACAAACAGTTCTATCAACAGAAACCGTGTTACAAATTTTGACCACTACAAATACCGAAACTATTACTAAATTAGAAACTTTACCTCAAATTGAAACTATTACCACCGAAGATGTATATGTCATTACAAATGCGGAGACCGTTGAAAGTACACAAGATGTGGAAATCATGGTAACCGAGGTATCTACATCTATTTCATTAAGTAAATCACAATCGACAACATCGACCAGAAGTACTACAACCGTTTTCAACTATGTGCCATTTGTGATCACAGAATTGATCTTTCATACAACGACTGTTATTGAAGCAGAAACTACGTACACTTCTGTTTCTACAGAAAGGATTCCTATTACAAATAGTGATAGGACAGTAACACTAACAGAAGTTTGGGTTAATATTGATTACTTGTACCCAATTTATACTTTTACTGAATTTATTCCAATAACCAAAGTGCAGACAACCACAAGTACTACCGTCGAAACAATTGTTAGTACTCAAAAAGAAACTTCGACTTCGACTTCTACTTTTACTACTACTACAGGCACAATTACAAACACTAATCTAGATTATGTCACTACTGCTGTAACAGAGACGACCACAGAGTTAGTCCCAACTTCTGTTATTATATATTCTGACGCAACTACTACGATATTTAGTGAAGCGACCTTAACCCTTGTTTCAACTGGTGTCATCACTAAAGTTTACACAACCACAATAGATAGTGAATTCACCGAGATTACCACCGGTAGTACTACTGGTAACGTGACTCAAATTAATACTGCAACTATTACAAACGCTATAACTGAAACGACGACAGGCACTATTACAATAGTTACTGATGACGGTAAATCTAGTAGTTACAACGTAACTTCTAGTACCGACGATGGTAAATCTAGTTATTATAATTCAACTTCTAGTACCGACGATGGTAAATCTAGTTATTATGATTCAACTTCTAGTACAGATTTTGATGGAATTTCAAAGTGTACCTCAAGTGGTGTCTCTTTAATTTCTTCAAAGACATCCAATGTTGTATCTGATTCAAAATCAAAAACAGATAGTAATGGATTGACTAAAACTACCGATATAACTAGTAACGACGTGGTCAAAACTACTACTATAACAAGTAACGGTATGACAATAACTACTGTCATATGTAATGGTGCTTGTAAACAGACAACTGGAAAATCTAGTGTTGTAGTTTCTGAATATGACTCTACATATGGTTCAGGAAATGATAACAACATCCACACTACCAAGAGTGCACATGAATCAACAAACGTTTTGTCTGTGGTAACATCTGTTAGTACAAGATCTGAATCTACTCTATTTGGTTATGAAGGTATGGCAATGACTCTAAAGGCATCGCTTACTTCTTCTGTTATAATAATGATGTCAATGTATTTCTTATAATAGTTTAATTTCTTCAGGGAAGGTTATCTCGTATGGTATTGAACTTTAACTTTTTAATAAATAATAAATATATGAACACATAAATAATTCTAAAATATATCATACATACAATAACGTTTCTTCAATTCTGAACTTAAAATTCTTTTCAGCCCAGATATGTTTTTCTCGGTACTCCGAATCAATAGAACTGTTAATATTTAATACAACATGTTTAAATATATATGTTACATCAACCATTATAAATGTGAAGATATATAATGTATAACAATCAGTCTACACGCCTATTATCATAATTCATAAATGAGTTCGGCAACACTTTAAAGCCGTTTTATATTTCTTCAAGAGAACTGCATTCAATTGAAATACGGCAATTGCACATTTAATAGGTATAAAAATCATTGCTGTAGGAACTTTTGCATTAGTTGTTGAACACGAATTATTTCCAGCTCCAGATTATATTTTCTTAATTTTGTTCTCTCCGATAATCTGAAAGACCCTTTTTTAAACGATATCTACAAAGGTTGGGTCGAAATTAGCTGTAACATGATGAAATAAGCTCTTGGATTCTAGTACAATATCTGTGACGGAAACAATCTTTTCAAGTTCCATCTTTACATTTTCTATATCTTTTCAAGACCTTCATCATTTGGGTAGTTAATATCTATAATAAAATTAGTAGCTTCAAGGATTACATTTACAACGTTTGGTTAGACATGGATTTCAGCAACGGAACTAAGACCTGAATGTCTCTCCGCAATCTCGTTAATATTCATAACCATCTTGGCTGCAGTTAGGTACGTATCTGCTGTCATACATCTAGGTGTATTGCTAGTATGATCAATCATCCCTTTCATATTAATGCCAATCCATGAATAAGCCTGGGTACTTGTAACAATTTTGATTTCCTTGGCGTCTTTTTCTAGGATAGGACCTTCTTTTATATGTAAGTAGAAATAAGCTTTTAATGGATTTTCTTTACAATTAGCAAGTATTTTACTCTGAACGAAATATTTTCTAAAGCCTCTAGAACAGTTGTTGCCTTATCCTCGGTAATTTATTTAATGTTAAATACATATTTCAAGTTTGAAGTACTAACCCAAACAGAAGACACCACGATCAAAATTGGGAACCTATCCCCTTCCTCATTGACCCAGTTAACAACTGCTACCTCGTATGAAGGAATATGATTGTTGTCTTTAAATGCTCTCAGAACTTCTCGACCTGTAAGGACACCCACAACATCATCAAACTCTCCACCTGTTGGTTGAGTATCTGAGTGTAAACCAATGCCTGTATGTAGGCCATTTTTGATCAGGGCAAATAGCAAATACATTAGTTAATTGATTCATTTTTACCTCACATCCTAAACTTTTTGTCCCCTGCACTAACCCATCACGGACATTCTTAACTTCTTGAGAGAGGCTAAGAAGGCGCATACCTGTTTCAATCTCTTGTGAACCCGATTGCTAATTTGATAAGTTGTTTTTAAAAGTCTGTTTGGCTTGATGTGTAAAGAATATATCATAACAATGATGTCTTGCTGAATGACCTTCAAAAGAATGTATTAGGTATGAGAAAATTACATATCTAGAAGATGAGATCTTTAAATATATCTTTATAATTCAGGGTCTTGTTAAGGATAAGTTATTCATTCGGCATAATATAGAATAATATGTATATATATCATCGAGCTGTAAATAAATTGTGGCAAAATATGAGGAATACTCTATTAATTTAGCTCTCTTTCACATCCAGAATTTCTATTTTAAAGAATGTCATGTCATAAATGTAAAGATTTATACTATTTTAGATTTTGAGAACTTGGTAGCCAAATCAAAAATTTAATACTCGGTAATGCAATGCCGACCCTAATCATCACTCCTCAGGAGACATTATCATTCATTATAATGAAGAACGCTCGCATGAAGTTTCAGTAAGTGATGATATGAGGTTCTCTAACAAAAACATGATAATAGCGATCCAACAATTGAAATTTGATCATATATCGTATCGTATCTTCTTATTAGAAACAGAAGATAAAATATTCGATAATTGAAGTTTAAATATGATAGAGGCTATTTTTATATGTCTGCTTATATGAAATTATATATACGTTTTTAATAGCCACGCAGTTACAACTAGATGATACCTGGATCAATATAACAGTCATATTTGTTTCGTAATGTACCAAATATGGTGTCCTTAATCTCTTTTAATTACTACATACAGTAACAGCTAATGCGGTGCAGTCATAGCAACTCCAAAAAAAAAGGTTTTCAATTGTAGTATAATATATACCTTCATGGACAAAGATATCATTTGTTGATTAATCGCTTGTCTGTTTACATTTTTTTCAAAAGATCGCAAAAGAAAAGATCAGGTATTTTTCCCTAATTTCTTTAAATCATATTCGTTCGGTCTTTATCGAAGCTATACCAATTGAATTATCTGTCCTCAATTTCTAATATAAACTCTACTATTGTTAAAATGATTAAATATTGTAACCTCGACCTTTTGTTCGAATCAGTATCGCTTTCATTTTACACAGGTATATATATCTTTCCCAGATAAGATAAAATAGTAACCGGAATGCACTGTTAGTTCAGCGCTGTAAAACTTTTTATTGTTCTAAGTTCCTAAACTTTATCGTAGCAAAATAATCATGTCACGTGCTTTCTGCTACAGCGATACCGCCCGATAGTCGAAAACCCACGATTAGATAACGCGCCATCTGTTGATAGCGAGCGATATCAGCCTGTTCGGAGCAATTTTTTCTTATCAGAGCAACGTTTGTTTCTCTGATACATGAGAAACAGCCCTTGGTTGACTGGAGCAACTTTCATGTCATTGGCTGCTAAGCCAGATTTCATATCATGGTCTCTCTGTCAAGATTATCTTTGATAATCAGTTGTCGTTATATATTTTTTTTTGTTTCCTCCTCCCTTAGTAGAAACGTTGTTGTATCTCGATCAATGCTTGTTATTTCTTTCACTTATCGACATTTTTCATTCCTTCTGAGATGTTTAGAGTCCTTCTTTCTATCAAATTAGATGTTGTCATTTGACAGTCTTTTGAATACATTGTAAAGATTGTCTGCCCGTTTGTTGAAATGACTATGATCTTATCAACGAACCTAGAAGATCTTGATTCTGTCAGGTTTCGCTTATCACAACAATTTAATACGGTGATATTCGTAATATGTGCGAGGGTTCCCTGATTTGGAATCGTAATCTATTTTCTTTGAAATTTCGCACTTTCAGTGACTAGATTTTCAAAATTGTATAAAAGAGAACAGTTCTATTAAGGATTTGATAGTAAGGGTCTACTGTTTTGTCTTTTCTTGCCTTGATTCTTTTCGTTCTGATAGTAGTAGTAATAATTGTGATATCTACAATTTGTCACAAACTTATAGAAAATATATATTAATTTTAAACATGTCTGAAATTAAATTACAAAAAATTAATGAAGATAGAATCACAGTGGATGAAGATTATGGTTCAGTGACAGAAATTAGTAACGATATTAGAGCGTTACGTTCAGTACAGTCAAAGACTGGTGCTGGTGAGGTTAACTATATTAATTCCGCTGGTTTGGCGGACGATAGTCAATTATTGGCTGAAATCGGTTATAAACAAGAATTAAGTAGACAATTTTCCACCTTACAAGTGTTTGGTATTGCATTTTCTATTATGGGTCTTTTACCCTCTATTGCATCAGTCATGGCCGGCGGTCTAGCAGGTGGGCCAGTATCCTTAATTTGGGGTTGGTTTATCTCAGGGTTTTTCATTCTTTTAATTGGTATAACAATGGCAGAAAATGCTAGTGCTATTCCAACAGCTGGTGGGTTATATTACTGGACTTATTATTACGCCCCTGTTGGTTACAAAGAAGTTTTTTCTTTCATCATTGGTTGTTCGAACTCTATTGCATTGGCAGCTGGTATCTGTTCTGTCAATTATGGTTTAGCTGAAGAGATCTTGGCAGCTGTCATTCTTACCAAAGATGGTAATTTTGTCCCCACAAATGGTAAACTTTATGGTATTTTCGCTGCAGCTGTTATCAGTATGGCATTCCTAACTTCTATCGGATCAAAGGCAATAGCTAGAATACAAGCTTTCAGTATTGCAGCTAATTTGTTCATGGTCGTTTTATTGTTTATCGCTTTACCAATTGGCACAAAGAAGAACATGGGTGGGTTCAATGACGGTAAGTTCATTTTTGGTAAATATCAAAATTTCAGTGATTGGAATAACGGATGGCAATTTTGCCTAGCTGGTTTAATGCCTGCAATCTGGACTATTGGTTCTTTCGACTCCTGTGTCCATCAATCAGAAGAAGCTAAGGATGCAAAGAGATCTGTTCCAATAGGTATCATTGGTTCCATCACTGCTTGTTGGATTCTTGGTTGGATGGTTCTGATTTGTTTAATGGCTTGTGTTAGTCCAGATCTAGATAGAATTATTAATAATCCATATGGTTTTGCCCTTGCACAAATCGTTTATGACTCGTTAGGAAAGAAATGGGCAATTGCATTCATGTCATTAATTGCGTTTTGCCAATTCTTGATGGGTTCCTCTATTGTTATTGCTATTTCTAGACAAGCTTATGCTTTCGCTCGTGATGATGGTTTACCATTCTCTAGATTCATTAAACGTGTTGACCACAGGTATCAGGTTCCATATTTTGCTATTATGTTTTCGTGTACTTTAGCTCTATTATTAGGATTATTGTGTTTGATTGATAACACTGCCGCTAATGCATTGTTTAGTTTAGCTGTAGCAGGTAATTATGTCTCATGGAGTACACCAACCATTATGAGACTAACATTTGGTAAGGATTTATTCAGACCTGGTCCTTTCTACTTAGGTGATTTCTGGTCCCCAGTAGTGTCCTGGATAGGTGTCATATTCCAGTACTTTATTATCCTCGTTGTTATGTTCCCAACTCAACAACACGGTTTGGCAAAATCAACTATGAATTATGCTTGTGTTATTGGACCAGGTATGTGGATTCTATCCTGGATATATTACATGGTGTACAAGAGGAAGTACTACCATGGTCCAAAGACCAATCTATCAGATGAACAGTTTATCGATACCGTGGGATCCCAGGTCATTGATGAGATCTTGTCTCCACATGAGACGAAAGCCAGTCGATTTACCAAATCGTAGAGAGAGAATAGCATAATTACAAAAGTTACTTTAGACTTCGGCATTAGTTCGTTAAAATTATTATTATTATTATTATTATTATTATATATTCATTAAGTTTATAACAAAAAAAAAATACTAAAACATTTTAACAAGATAAGTTCATTAGTTGGAACTATTTTTAACTAATCTTTGATTGCTGAACTTTTTGACTAGATTGTTGTCAATGCTCTGATAGTTATTCATAATCACTGTTGCTTGACTATTGATTTTTAAGTAGTTGTGTCGCATTTCCTTCATTGACTGTTCTGAGCAAATATTGCGAATGTGCACGTGACTAATTGGCTCAGTCAGTCACAATATATTATGGTTCCTGACTTATACATTATTGCTCAACGATCTGATAACGAATATTATATAAAGCTAGTGGTCCCAAATTCTTCAAAACGTTAAAATAATATACTAATTGACATCAAACTATTTCAATAATTATGTCGAAAAGGATTGTTTCTGCTCTACAGATAGGTTCCTCCCCGGAAGGTACCACTGCCACTATTGAAAAAATATTATCATATGAATCACAAATTAAGGAATCTGGAACGTCATTAGTAGTTATTCCAGAGGCAACTGTTGGTGGTTATCCGATTGGGTCGAATTTTGGTGCTTACGTGGGTTACCGTACTCCCCGAGGCCGTGGAGATTTTAAACGGTATTTTAAGCAATCGATCAAAATAGGTAACGATCCTGAGTGTAAAGAGATCAAGACCCTAGAAGGGTTATCCAAGAGGACAGGTGCTTCACTCGTTGTTGGGTGCATTGAACGGGATAGTTATACCCTTTATTGTACAATGGTTTTTATTGATCCACAGCTAGGATATATTGGGAAACACAGAAAATTACAACCCACGGCGTCAGAGAGATTGATATGGGGTCAAGGAGACGGATCTACTTTAACTGTCGTTGATTCAAAAGTAGGAAAACTCGGTGGAGCGATCTGTTGGGAAAACACACTTCCTTTATTGAGACATTCCATGTATGCTAAAGGTGTTCAAGTGTGGTGCGCACCAACAGTTGAAGACATGCCAATGTGGGAAACAATTATGAAAAATATCGCATTCGAGGGAAGATTATTTGTGGTCAGTGCAGTACAATATGTACCATCGGCCACAGAGATGGGGTACGGGGTCCCAATAGAAGGTTCTGATAATGAAAGAATATTGCCTGGATTGGAGTCTTCTGATGAGCCATGTCTTAAGGGAGGAAGTATTATCGTTGATCCCTTTGGTAAAGTATTGGCCGGTCCTCTTCGTGGACAAGAAGGTCTTCTAGTTGCAAATATCGACCTGGACCTTATTATTGAGGGCAAGTACGATTTGGATGTTGTCGGTCATTATAGTCGTGGAGATGTTTTCCAATTGACAGTCAACGAGAAATCTACCGATATACATTTTGTGTAATCCGACAATTAAGTAGTAGTGCTCATAATATTACATAGATGTGATTCAATAATGTTTTCTCTTCTGTAAATATCATCTCCTTTCTACTGTTGAGCAAGGTAAAAATTTTAACTTCGAAATCTTTTTTTTTTTCACTGCCAGATTTGTTTTTAATTACTGTGTTAAGACAGGAAAATCATATATTAATATGATATCATAAGAATGATATTTTTAATAGTTTAAGAATGTAGATAATTATATTAATTAGTAAGTAGTACTATAAAGGGGATATTTAAATTGGCTTGAACAGGTTATGTGGACTTACTCTTTGTGCTGTTCTTCTTTGGAACTCTAAATAGGTAGTATAGAAGAACACCGGCTGAGTAATTGAATACAATATAACAAAGGAAGATACCGTAATTTCTCCATCTCTGAGAATATTTGACGTCGACTCTAGATAAGTAATCATTAGTATGTGATAATTCACATAGACTACAGACGTCTGTGGCTAATTGGTCTTTTAGGTAACCAGTTTGTGCCGCAAAAAGATATGGGCTTAGATAATCACCACAAGTTTGACCGGCAGGTGGAACCAATTGTAAGAACTCGTTTTCATCACATTCGATTGCAACATTACTGACACCGACAGCTAATAAGGATTCTAATAGGTATGTTAGTGGTGATACTCTGTACATGAATACCCAGAAACCAGGCATTGCCTTTCTGGTAGTGAAGACACCACAGAAGGATAGACACATAGTAAACATTAAACTAGCAGCATAAGCAGCATTTTCTAGGACTTGAATAGCAGACATGGTTAGAATTCCCATTGAACCGACAAAGACAAAGTAGGCTGTGCATATTAACCAGAATAACACACCTCTTTCGTATAGTTGATTAGCAACTGAGGCGTTACGGTAGAAACCGATGGTGTAATAGTAAATAAAGAACGCAATTGTACCAGCTAAGAAATTCCAAATGACTTCGATTAAAATTTGAGAAACAATAAACGCCTTCCAAGAGAATGTTCTAGATGGTCTTTCTCTGACTTCATAGAGGTCACGTTGTTGGACATAGTTAGGTAAGTATTGTTGTAATAAGGGGTTGAAAATGACAGTAAACATGAAAATGGCCAATGTTTGACTTTGTAACCCTTGTAGAGAAGCTTTTGTTTTAAAAAATGTAAACCCAATAAATAGCATATTGATAATTGTCAAAGCAAACTTAGACCATAGATATTGTGGAGATCTCCAATATTGTTCCATTAGACGTTTACCGACTATTGCTGTCTGGTATATCAATGATGTAGCAAATTCGTTATCATCAGAATTGTTGACACTCATGGAATTATTTATATTTACGTTTTCCAGTTGATCTAGTTCTTTTTGGACCATTTTGTAATCAATAGAATTAATCCAGATGTCGTGATAATCTTCCTGGACATGTGAGCTACTTGATGAACCAATGGTGTCTAACATCCATTCGGCTGGATTAGCATCAGAAGGACATTTTGGAGAGCCGTGTCTTTCGAAGTAATTAATCATGTTACGACAGCCGGAACCCAACTTACCAAAATAAACTGTCTTACCACCTTTTTCTAATAATAGCAATCTGTCAAATTTTTCCATAAGAATAGCAGTTGGTTGATGGATGGTACAAAGGATAGCTTGACCCTGATCAGCAAGTCTTCTCATTAATTGACAAATAGACCAGGCAGTTTGAGAATCTAGACCAGATGTTGGTTCATCAAGGAAAACAAGTAATTTCGGCTTAGCAGCTAATTCGACACCAATTGTTAATCTTTTTCTTTGTTCAACGTTTAAACCTTCACCTTGAACACCGACAATAGCATCGGCGTAAATTTCCATGTCTAAGATTTTGATAACCTCCTCTACGTATGCGTTCTTTTCTTCAATTGAAACAGTGCTTGGTTGACGTAAATATGCAGAAAATCTTAGTGATTCTCTGACTGTAGATGTTTTCAAATGTAGATCCTGTTGTTGACAATAACCGATAGACCTTGGGAAGGAACCGTCACGTGTAGTACCATTAACAAAGATATTACCGCTAATTATACCAGTCGTAATTCTTTCAGCTAAGCAATCGAGTAATGTGGTCTTACCTGCACCAGACACACCCATTAAAGCAGTTAATGTTCCTGGCTTAACCCAACCGTCGACATTGTTCAAAATTCTTTTGGTGTTACCTTTAATGTCGATATCATAGCAAACATTTCTCCAGTGGAAGATATCTTTTGACTTTGACAGACCCGCAGATTCAAATTTCTCCTCTTCCAACTCTCCTGAGTCTTCTAATAATGTGATATCTGTAATGCTAGAATCACTTGAACCAGCTTCTAAATCATCTTCGGTATACTCAGTAATTTTCAGACTTTGTCTTAGTTTTCTCATTTTTCTAATGATATGCTGTGGGTATACCAACATTTCACCTCTTTGGGCTTTACCAGGATTAAATTCACAGACAAGTAAATAGGTCAATAGGAAGAAGACAGAATAGCCAACACCAATACCGAAACCGCGCCATTTATGACTATGTTCGTAACCATAATTGTTTTTAATGTAGTCATCACCAAGGACATAATCTTGACCAGCTTGAGCACCACGAGCAGCACAAATTCTATGAGTACCAGTGTATTCAGCATACATCGCACCAGTTGGGATGAAAGAAGAACACGTAAATTGACGATCGTGGAATTCATTGATCATTAAAGATTCAAATAGATACGCCAGTGGATTGATATACCAGATCCATGTAGACCATCCCAACATTTTCGTCTTTGGAATAGCAAACCCAGTGTACATTGCCATAGCTAGAAGCAAAACAGCAGCAGGAAACATAGCCTCTGGAAGTGATCTAGTTAACGAACCAAAAGTTCTATACATGTGAGACATAGAGAAAACAGTCACAATGTTAATTAAAAAGTAGAAAAAGAATGATCCTGCATCACGTTTAAAATTTACCAAAAAATAGAAGATAATGTTAAAACAGATAGCAATAGAAAGCTTGGTTGGAATTTGAGAGATAATAGATGCAAAAGCGTCGGCACTTGGATGGTATAAAGAATATGATTTGTGTTTTTCGATAATAGGTCTTGCCTCGTATAATGAAAAAACCTCCAATAGACATGAGAATGCGTTAAAAAGAATAGCAGAAAACATAGCGGCACCTCTGAAATAGAAACTCTCAGTATCCTGATGCTTCATGATTTTGTAGAACATCGAACCTAAAATCAATGCCATTGTTGAGTTACCAAACAGCATGAATAGATTTACTGTAGGATAGTTTGTTATTCTCCAAATATCCCTGTAGAGTAGATATTTGACTTGTAGACCATAATTGACTGTGTATGGAGAGGAAGCTCTTGTTCTTTTGGATTGTCTTGCGATGTGAGCTTCTTTGATCATTCTACGAGATTCCTCTACGTTTTTAGAAAGTTTAGCTTCGATTTCACGAGTCAGAATAGCATAGGCTTCTGATTTTTTCCAGTATTCATTCATGTCCTTTGGTGTTTGTGGAATCATTATGCCTTTCTTTAGAAACTCCTTGTTAAGTATTCTTTCTTCTGGACTTGTTACAGATGTTAGAAAGTCAGCAGTGGTTTGTCTTGGTGGACAAACATAACCCATGTCTTCAAAATAACGCTTAGCATCTTCACAAGGACCAAAAAATAACTGGTAACCCTGATCTAGAACACATACTTTATCGAACAGATTGAAAGAATCTTCTGAACAATGATAGATAGCTACGGTAGAAGAATTGCCCATAGTCGTTGCATTGACCCTTAGGGCACGAATGAAATCTAACGCTGTTGATGAATCTAAACCTCTTGTTGCATTATCCCAACATTGAAATTTAGCACCACATATACTTGCTTCAGCCAAGGACACCCTTTTACGTTCACCACCAGAAACACCTCTTATTAAATCGTTACCAATTATTGTATCTCTTGTGTGTGAAAGACCGTAAGTAGCCATGGTAACTTCAGTAAGATGTTTTGCAAATGCATCTCTTTCAACACCTTTAATTCTGTTTTGTGGAGTTTTTAATCTAGCGGCAGTGTATAAAGTTTGGTAAACGGTTAGCTTTGGGAAATGAACGTCAATCTCACCATTGTAGATTACTTCACCCCTGTAGTGTTCCTTGATTTCCTTTGGAGAGAAACCAGCATATGAAAGTTTTGACTCTTTTGTTATCTTGAATCCTTGAGTGTTGTTTGATATAGATTTTAATAATGTTGTACAACCAGAACCAGGTTTACCTAAAACTACCAACATTTCACCAGGATTTATACAACCTTCCATTTCTTTCAAAATCGTAAATGACTTTTCTTTTCTGACTGGTTTAACCTTTCTATATATTTTGTTAAGTATCTTTTGTGGGGCATTAAGTAAATTAGCTTGGGACTCAATACCTGTGGTTTCACCATAAGTGGAGAGGTTTTGCCATATACAATCCAATGAGTATGGTTTGTAGTATTCTGGGTCATTATTAATTACTGCGCCAAGATTTTTCACCCATAATGTACTTGAAAATTCCTCACTATGAGGGTTTAGTCTTTGATCTTCGAGGTCTGGGGAAGTTGGATCGGTACCATTCATATTAGAGAGTACAGAGTCAACTTCACTACTTCTGGAAGTAGTGTAATTTTCTGCTTTTAGGCCACTGTTAACACTTAAATCTTTTGCTAGATTTTTAATCGTTTCTTCAGTGCCAGAGTCGACACCATTGTATATTTGGAAATTTGCAAATTTCTTGAAGTCTTCGTTCATCTTGATAATATTGTTGTAGTACTCGGAGATGATATAATTCAAAATATAGACGTTGATTAGTATTTAATAAGATCCAATAATTGTTTTTGCAAGACTTGAATATTTCATAATATTGTCATATAAATTAATTGCGTTGCATATATATATATATAATCTTCTTATCGTATATAAGACTTCTTTTCATAGTCAATCACATTTCTTACAATATTAGCACATAATTTTCTTCAAGTCTGAGAAAGACTTCTTTTCTTTCATCAAAATTAGCTAAATAAATGCATCCAGATTACGTTGCTTACTTAATACCAAAAGGGTAGCAACCCATTCAAGTGACAGTAGCTCTTACATTACTTCTCCCGCACAAGCAGATGGAAAGATGGGGGGAAACATGATGCTTTAGAATAATGACAGACTGATAGTCATCATGATGAGCGGCAGTTTCGGGTGACTAGTTGCCAGCTTGGGTACCTTAAGAATACCGTAGCAAGGACGATTTACGGTCCTGAGATCTGGTATTTCGCTGTCTTTGCCATTATTTTTACTGCGTAGTTTTCTGTGTCCGAAACGCGTCCTCTCAAGAAATTGAGATCCATAGAACGGCCATTTCCAGTAATGAGTCGTTCGAAGAAAAAGACAGAACCGTAACCACAGAATAGTTCAAAGAGATTGGTCAGGTCCACAGGACACTTGGTAGTAGAATTTGAATCTGTTCGGGTTAATATTTTGTTAAATAATAGTTTTTTGTTATTTCATTCCAAGTTGTACGATCTACGTTAGAGGTTTACATAGAGGTAAATCAGTTTTGTTTGGTTTATAACATCACTAATATCGTTAAACGATACATCTTAGATACATTGTATGAAATTTTCTTCCTTCTTTTTTGTTTTACAATTAAGTATGCATAGAGTGACCCATTTAGGTCAATTTTGGAAGTGTCTTTGTGATTGTTTTTTTGGTGTATTTCCTTTTGCTATTATAGAGCGTCTGTTTATTTCCTACGCTTCCTATTTAGAAAGAGGAATCCACCCAGACCAATCATAGTAAAGCGTTTGATCAAGACTGACTATTTCTTCTTGTTCTGTGATTTTTCTTGATAAGATGAAATAAAATGACTTTTTTTATTCTTCCCGATATTTGCTGCCTTCGTTACATTGGTAACATATCGATGTATAGCACAAATAGGTATTGTCGATCTTCTATAGCTAATAAATACATAAACATATATACAAAATTTCTCGTTTAGAAAGGTCCTTCTGGATGTTTACCTATGCCAATTATGGATATGTGATATAATGAGATGAGATGGTTTATTCCCTTGTTGGTGTTAAACCGCAAGATAAATTAGATAATTCTGTTTCATTTATTGATCAAAACAACTGCGATGAAAATCAGTTACCAGGGATGAAATGACATAATGAAAATAGAAAAGAACATAAGAATATTTATTATTTAATATATGCTTTAAGGAACGAATTTCCTCATTTTGTATTATAGAGAAGTATATTATAGAAGAGTGATGATGCATAACCCTTATTTCAAAGAAGTGATGTCGATTGATTTTTCTTTCTTAGTGACAATTTCGTCGTACAATAAAGTTGTCAGGAAGTCACTAAATTTCTCCCCTGTAATTTCTGGTAAGAAATATTTGGCAGCCAAAGCGAACTTGTTCTTGTCACCTACAGGACTCTTAGCGGCTAGAATATCGACTTGTTCTTGTAGAATCTTAGCAGTGATATCAGGAGTAATTGATTCATTGGTGTCCTGTAGTACACTATTGTGATGGACCCATTGGTACAATTGACAACGAGAAACTTCGGCTGTAGCAGCATCTTCCATTAGGTTGTTAATTGGAACACAACCAGAGCCCCTTAACCAAGCTTCCATGTATTGCAAACCGATATCTAAGTTTACTTTAATACCGTCCGTGGTGATCTTAGCGCCTTCACAGTTAGTGTTTAACAAATCTGCTTCTGTAATATTCACATCAGGAACAAAATAAATTTGGTTTGGAGTACCCATGTTACTGAAAACTTCATTACAAATTGGTGCTAAAGCTGGATGAGCTACCCAAGAACCGTCATGGCCGTTAGTTAGTTCTCTGATCTTATCCTTACGGACTTTATCCATAGCGATATTGTTAGCAACTTCATCATCCTTAATTGGAATGTGTGCAGCCATACCTCCCATTGCATGGACACCTCTACGATGACAAGTGTTAATTAGTCTCTTAACATAGGCGGCCATAAATGGAGAGGTCATGGTGACAAGATCTCTGTTTGGTAGGATATGAGATGGATCGTTTCTCAACTTCTTAATAGTGGAGAAGATGTAATCCCAACGACCACAATTCAACCCACTGGAGTGCTGTCTTAATTGATAAATAATCTCCTCCATTTGGAAAGCGGCAGGTAAAGTCTCGATAAGAACAGTGGCTCTAATGGTACCTCTTGGGATGGCTAAAAAATCTTGGGCCACATTGAAAATATCATTCCATAGTTTAGCCTCTAGATGATGTTCCATCTTTGGTAAATAGAAGTAAGGTCCTTTTCCTGAGGAGATCAAATTATGAGCGTTATGGTAGAAATACAATGCAAAATCAAAAATGGAGGCACTAATTGGTTCACCATCGACGTAAACGTGTTTTTCTTCCATATGCCAGCCTCTTGGTCTAACAATAATAGTAGGAGAGTCAGCAAATTTATTATTTAGTTTGTAATCCTTTCTTGGTGTAGTAAAATTGATTTGGTCACGAATTGCATCGTATAAATTAACTTGACCGTAGACAATGTTTAACCAAGTTGGTGCCAAAGAATCTTCAAAATCGGTCATGTAAGTGTTAACCGGGGAGTTTAAAGCATTAATCAGCATATTTCTTAATGGAGGACCAGTGATTTCAGTGGATCTATTGATTAAACCTGGAGCTAGAATAGGGCCCTGCCAAACAGGATCATCTCTAATTTGTTGAGTTTCTGTTAAGAAATCTAATTTCGCCTTTCCTGAATCTAATTGACCCTGTTGTAATTTACGATTTTGTAATAATTGTTTACGAGTTTCATTGAAAGTTCTATGTAATAAAATGACGAATTTCAAAGCATCTTTAGTCAAAATATCAGCCACAGTAGTGGTAGAAGGAGCAAATTGTGGTTTTGCGTCGACATCTGCAAATATTTGAACGTTTTCCAAAGAAATCTTAACCATAGTAAATAGTGTTTTGTTATATGTATGATTGATTAGTTATTTTAGATATATATTTGAACAAGAAAATGGAAAAACTTAACATCTAAAATACAATTCTAATCTGGAAAAATGTTTTTTGATCAAGGTTTATATATGAGTGTCGTGAAGTGACATCGAACTATAATAGGTGTTCCCTTTACTCCGGAGGAAAGGACGACTATCTTGCGATCAGGAGCGTGACGTTGGATTATAATACTAGTAAGAATAATAATGATACAACAGGAAATTTGGTTATAAGTTTAAAAGAGAAGGGTGTCGAACACACCTTGTTGTAAAAACTCATTAGGCTCAAAAAACAAAACGGATTTTTCGTCATTTTGAGTCAATCTTCGGTCAAACGGAGAACTAAATAAGTTGCTTTCGGTCCGAACTTCGGGAATATTTTCACTCCGAGTAAGCCACGTGACTTTTAGTAGGGTTTGAAATTAGGGCTTTGTGTTACCCCCTAATTCTATTTTTAGTGGAAAATTAGGATGGTAACCCTATTTCAGGGTTTGTAATTCTTATTTGCTACTCACCCTAGGTGGGTGATCGATTGGTATTATCACAATGACGATCCGACCACAGGCTTAAAAGACGAGTATCTACATATTTTTTGGGTGGTTGTACGAATCCATTACCAAGTAGTGTATATCGATCATGAAATAATGAATCTTTGGTTAGATATGGTACTACTACTCTGTAATGGAGCGTGCATATAAATATATAATCTGACCCTACTGTTTGGGAATGATCCTCTTTTAATCATTGCAATCTCTTGTATGCCCCTATATGTTGTCAGTATTGTCATTTTGTATGACGAGATTTATGTTTTGAGTATTACGACGGTGATACTTCTATGCAAGACTTGTATTTGGTGAGAAACGAGTTTTTTTAATAAGGGGGGCCTGACCACTCCCTGGGCGGCTAATTTTTGTCTGTTTTTTCACTATACAGAACTGCCACCATCGCACACCTTTTCTGGATTTTATTGGTATTTAAAATATCTACAATACTATTAGGTAATTTTAATGGATGAAAAGAGCGTTACCACTGAAATAAGATATTAATCTATGTTTTGCGAAGATGTACGTATTGCCCTAATGTTTTCTAACTATACATGAGAATATCACCTAGCTCTAATCATTTAGTGTAAAAGGCCAATGGCAGTGTTTCACACTTCTAAAGATAATGAAGCATACATATATGGTATTTCCAGTTCAAAAAAGTAGTATATATGCGTTATTTTTTTTTCTACTCTCGTTAGTTTAACAAGAGATATATTACGCCATGTTTTGACAGACCCGTTGCAGTTCTCCGCCTTCATTATTCTCTCATAAATTATATCACTTCCTTGTAACAAGACACACAAGTTACGAGCAATCGGAAAGCTACCACTCCGCTCCCATTCCTTGCAAAGCACGGTTGAAGTTAAACCTCAAGGTCTATCAACTTGTTATACTTCTTCTGTTGTGGATCAGAAATTTCGGAGTTGCGCGGTTTATTGCTTTTCGTGATCCCAGGCGTTGCGTCCGTTCAATCCGTTTTTACCGCTTCTGAAGCTTGTTTTGATTTCAGGGGATTGTATTTATAATAGCAATGGTATTAAAAGGGTTGACTTTATTGACAGTTATAAACAATTAATAAATAAAATTGACAACCTCAACAAACGATATTATGAAATTAAGACGTGTTTACTTACTAGCCATTGCAGCACAGGTTGCTGCAATGGATATGGGTATGGATATGGATATGACAGAGGTGGAGCCTGTAACAACTACCGCTCAAACAGCACATATTACACCAACTCCCTATGAGGCAAGTCATTTGCATGGGTTACCTATACTTGAAAGGCCAGGGTTGACACCTGCAGAAAAAATGTATTGGCAGAATTATTCATCAGAGACATTTTTCAATACGCTAGAAGGGAATCGTTTTGCTTTTAAATATCACGTAGCCACTATGTCTTTGGTGATGTTTATATCGTATCCGATTTCATTAGTACTAAATTCAGTTGCTTCTGGATGGTATCTGCCATGGTTAGCGATTAATCTGGCGCTGACTGTATCCTCGTTGGTCCTGGCGGCTGTGTTTAGTGCTACGTTCCCTCACGAATGGTATCCAGGTAATATTTATAAAACTACGTCAATTGTACTATTTGTGTTTATAATAGTACATTTTGTTGTTGCTTTGTTATCAAGAATCGCCTCAACTATTGTCATTGAAGATATATCCGAATATTCTCTTCTAGGGGAAGGTATCCCTTTGAAAATGTACCCATCCGGTGGTTCTCCAGGTTCTACTCCTGAACAAGATATTGAAACAGATTCATTAAGGCAAAACATTTCGCCACAGACACATTTCTTAAGTTATAAAATATTTAGGTCGCAATGGGTTCAAAGGATTGCATGGACATTTGGCGGATTATGTTCTCTCATATTCAATACATTAAATTACCCATTGATGTTATACATTTTATTTAATAACTGTGTTGGACTTGCTGTCGGAAATTTATTCGGAAAAGGTCCACGTGTGTTTAATTTACTTGCCCATTGGATTAAAGGTGCTGTGTTTGTAATCCTTGGTGTCATTTCTTTGGCTCGTTATTGTGGTCTTGGTCAAACTCGTGGTTGGGCATGGAATCGTGTTACTTATACAAATCCACAACGTGTAAACTCCCACCGGCTCAGGTACATGCCTAGAGGTACTCTAACTGTGGAGTTCATTGAATCGTTCCTGATTTTCTTTTATGGTTCTACAAATGTGTTTTTAGAACATTTGGCAGGCTCTGGGGGTGCATGGACCGCTAAAGATTTACAGCATGTATCTATTGCATTTATGTATATTGGAACAGGTCTATGTGGTCTTTTATCTGAGCTCAAACTTAATAATTGGAGATATTATTACACTTTGAAAACTAGTAGCATTTCCAGCAACGAAGTATTTGCTGCTTCTCCTGGTTACAGTCCCAACCCTTTCCCAACAATGACTATTTTCTGGACAGGAATTCTTATGTCGCAACATGCACAAGCGTCACATACCTCTACTTCAGTTCATATGCAGTGGGGTTATTTATTGTCTTATGGGTCATTTTTTAGAATTTTTACCTTTTTGATCTTATATTTTAAACCTTTGACCGATGACTATCCATCAAAACCAATAACGGAGGTCATAACTGCACTTTGCTTACTAGCAGGAGGTCTTATTTTCATGGAATCTACTGATCAAGTTATAGAGGCAATGGACTATAGAGGTTATACGCCAATGTTCACGTTCAATATCAGTGTTGGGTTTGTTGCGTTATTTATGGCTTGGATAATGATTCTTTGTATGTGGAGAGAATGGCTATTACAATGCAAGAGAGCTAGATTATAATTGCATAGAAATTTGTGGTGCTATCAAGTAGCTATAAATGAATTGTGTGATCGTTATTTGTCCAAAAACTTATGCTTTTTAAAAAACCTTTTAGTCACAAATATTTATTTTAAGTAGTTTAGAAGTTATATAAAAACTAGTTATTTTGCTTAACCCAATTATATTTAAAGATTATATGAGAAGTAATCCGAATAATATTATAATTCAAATTATGATTTGTGATGTTTCTTTATCAACGAATTGAGAAGTATAATTGGTTATCACTGTAATATTTGTTTACTAGATTAAAGGGGTTCGCTTATTTTTGCTTTAACTTTATAACTATAAATTCATAAAATTTTAACAAAACATGAAAATTGGTTAAAAAACAAATTTGTTTTTATTAATTATATATTAATTCAAATAAGATATTTGATTATAAAATACATAATAGTACAGCTTTTCTAGATTCCAGCATTTATCAACTGTTCATAAGTTGGGTAATCATTATACCCTTCTTCTGTGTATGCGAGGAACAAGTCACGATTATATTTGGTAAGTGGTAACCCTTTCTCCAAACGCTCTGGTAAATCTGGATTGGAAGTAAAAAATCTAGCATAACTGATTAATGTTCTGTTATCTTTTACAACTTCTTTGGCATCTTCAGGATGCAGAGCATAATTACCGCTTCTGATAACTGGTCCCTTCCAGATCGAATAGATAAAGTCATTTGTACCACCGGTATAATTACCTTCCCCTTCAGCCAAGTAAATGTTAGTGACTCTAGGTTCTAAGATATGAACATATGCTATACGGTTTCCTTTATGGGCCCTTCTTTCTATCTCACTAATAAGATAAGCATATTGCGTCATTAATATAGGATCTTCTGCACCAGACATATCACCAAATACGTTGTATGGAGATATTCTAATACCTAATCTTTCAGCACCTACTGTTTCAATTAAGGCATCCAATACTTCTAATGGGAAACGTGCTCTATTCTCAATAGGGCCACCATATTGGTCTGTACGATGGTTAGATTTTGGATCAAGGAATTGATTCATTAAATACCCCACCAAACAATGCAATTCAATGCCGTATGCGCCTACTCTAATGGCATTGCTCGCAGCTTTCTTATACAACTCCACATACTGATCAATTTCATTTATAGTTAGCGCCCTTAGAAGGTTCCCGGACTCCTTAGCTTCCTTTTCCAGCTCAGATGTAGGGTATAGTCCAGAAGAAGCAGATACGTAAGGATAACCGTTTTTCTGAAGACATTTAGGAGAACCAAGTCTACCTAAAGCACCTAATTGTACAAACATGAATGACTTATTTTTATGGATACTTTCGATGATGGCTGTCCATTGTTCAACCTGTTCATCTGACCAAATACCTGGTGCATGGTCAAACCCCGTAGCATCAGGTGCAATTAATGTTGTCCCTGTAAATATTAATGAACCAGGACGAGTAGATCTTGCCGAATAATATTTAATATCCCACTCTTTACGAGGGACATTACCTGGAGAGCTAACTCTAAATCTAGCCATTGGTGACATTACCACACGATGCGATATTTCCAATAGACCTACCTCAGTTGGTTTGAACAAGTTAGTGTTGGAAAGTGGTTCTGGTATAAAATCTGTAACAAATGTCATATTTCAAATTGTAGAGAATCTGAGATAGAGTGTTTGCCTCTATTAGTGTCTTCAAGCTTTACTTTATTTAATTCGGACATTTTTTAATACGATAATCGATCAGTCTCTTTATATTATTTATTATTTATAGAACAAATAGAATCTAACTTCGAATGTAAGTTCAGAATTCTTTGTCTTTATATATGTTTTATTCTAACCTCAATTGAGGTTCGAATTATACTTTGTTTCATAATGCGATTAACTTTGTTTCATGTTGCCACATATTTTGTTTCATATTTTAACACGCTTCATAATAACTGTGCTTAAAGGTAGTTCTTTACCTATTGAAATTAAGTGTTGTGCATATTACTCTTAATTTCTGACACACAGTATGTCTGCTTCAGCTCAAAATTATATATAATATAAAGAGACCGATCGATTATCGTATTATAAATCTCCGAATTAAATAAAATAAAGCTTGAAGAGACTACTAGAGGCAAACATTCTATCTCAGATTCTATACACTAAGTATTGATACCTAATAATTCCACAACAAAGCTAATGTTAGCCTTTTTAGTCCTGTCGCTACATTTTAACATTATAATATACTCTAGTTCACTAAACTTTTATATTTTCTTCAGAATAAGGCAGTGTGTCACTTTTGGAATTTTCTGAATTTCGTGGCACTATGGCCGAGTGGTTAAGGCGAGAGACTCGAACTGTTATTACTACAAATGTTTGGTTATCTCTTGGGCTCTGCCCGCGCTGGTTCAAATCCTGCTGGTGTCGAAAATATTTTTTTGCGCGGTGTTTTATCTGGGCACGTGATCATTTATTTTTTTGTCCCTCGGTGGAAAAGTTTTGAAAATTTCGAGAAGAGGTGTTAAGTTAATCAACTGAAGAGGGAGAAAGATATTAACTGGATGCTGGTATAAGAGAGTTTATAATACTTAAGACAGGTGGGAAATACATTAAAGAAATCAGCACCATCTAACCTTTTGCTTACAAACATATATATATATTTGAAACCGTTTTAACTATGCCAAGAATTGCTACTAGACGTACAAAGATGGCTCCTGAAGGGTTTGCTAAGATTGAACCCACGTTACAAGACTTCGAAAAGCGATTGCAAGATATTCAAAGTACTGGAGACTCAAAAGTCGGGGTCAAGGGGTCCGAAAATCTGTGGAAGATAATGCAGGTCCACCACGAGCGCTCGCGATACGTATACATGCTGTTCTACAAACGTAAGCTGATCTCTAGAGAGTTGTACCTGTGGCTGTTAAGGGAGAAATATGCCGACAAACAATTAATTGCTAAATGGAGGAAAAAGGGTTATGAGAAACTTTGCTGTCTTCGTTGCATTCAATCAGGAGAATCCAACAACGGCACCACTTGCATCTGCCGTGTACCACGGGCACAATTGGAGCGCGACGCAGAAAAGAAAGGAATGGAAGTAACTTTCAAACAGTGCATCCATTGTGGTTGTAATGGGTGTGCTAGTACCGACTAATCGTCTTCAAAAGTTCATTTCAACTTTTAAACAAAGAAGGTGCTAGTCACGTGATATATATTAGAAATATCTTACTTAACCAACAAAAAAAGTCCGGTCTTTCTCAGAAACCGTCGAAGGAAACCCGGGGTTGAGTGCTTGAAAACGCGACGCGAACAAAACGACAAAATTTTCACGATTGTATCAGAACCTCCCGCAGGACTGTTGTTCCTAAAAAAGTTTTATGATTTTTCGCGTCGCGTTTCGTGAAATTCTCAAACTTTTTGAAAATTCTTATAAAGGATTACCATATCTATAAGGACCAACAAGATTAGTTTAAAACAGCTGATAGTAACGATTCCCCAGACCCCTCGTTTTTAGTTAATTTGTTTTGAGGTTAGGCAATTCGATATAGAAGGTGATTATTTTTGACGCGTTACAGTTCTACTTCTTCTATTTTATTTTTGGATTCTCCCAGGGTTCGATCGCAATATATATATATATATATATATAGACAATTGAAAAAAAGAGCTAGATTAGAAAGTGTAAAACCGGTTAAAGCTATTAGTAACCCTCAACAAGTGTATTTTATTATAAAAGTTTCGCACTTTCATTTCAGTTTAATTGAAACATAGCATATTCTACTGTTTTCTTTAAATTTGAGAAAAGTACAGTAAAACAACAACAACCAGAAACATGGAGGTAGAAGCAGCTTCACCTTCTTATGATGCAGCGTTTAATGCATCGTCACCATTAGCCTCCAGTAGAATGAAGAAACCCATCGGAACTTCCTTGGATTTTGACTTGAAAATTGAGGATGTTAACGACGATATTATAACACCACCAAACTCTACTGTGAGAAAGAATAAGAAACAATTAGTCCGAAAATTGGACGACGGTAAAGAGCCAATGTCTCCAATTCAGTCCTCACCAATTGCTCCTACTGCAAAGAGACAAAGATCGGAAGGTTGTCCTCGTTCTAATGGTAACTTATCTCTGACAGAGGTTCTTTTATCTCTCGAGAAAAGAAAACTTAATAATGAATTAGATAAGAAACCGCCTTATTCTTATGCAATTTTGATATGTTTAGCAATTTTACAATCACGAGAAGGAAGACTTACATTATCTCAAATTTACCAATGGATCTCAAGCCATTTTACATTCTACAAGTTGAAAGATGCCAGCTGGCAAAATTCTATTAGACACAATTTGTCATTAAATGAAGCATTTATTAAGACTCAAAAATCTTCAGATGGGAAAGGTCATTTCTGGGAAGTGAAACCTTTATCGATGCCTAAATTCTTTAAAGGTGACACTGAAGGATATGTCATCATTCGCCAGAGAATAGCACAAATCGATCAATATTTTGAAGTAGGATCACCGTTAACTGCGTCGAACTCAGAGAGTGAAGACTCAGCATCGATCACCTCATCACCAACTCCAGGAATTGAACATAGTGCCTCCACATCAATTTTATCTGCGCCTTCCATCATTTTTACAACAGAAGATCAAATAACTATGGCACAAGGACCAAATGTTCATACTCCTGTGAAGAATAATAGGCTGACTCACAAACTAAGTTATAATGATATTACAAAGTCAGATATGAAAGGAACAGTTTTCGGAAACAATATGATGAGGAGAAATCATACAACACTAGGATTTAAGTCTACTTCTGATGCATTTCTAGTTCCACCATCTAAGGAGTTTGTCTCTTTCAATGAATATCTAGGGAACAATAACTTATCCACATCCAATTCAAGGACTGGCATGCTTTCATCACCTCAAAATTCAAAACGTTATATAGGCTCCTTCAACTCCAGTTTTGAAGAATTGTCACCACGTCCTCTTAAGACTGCAGAGAGTAGCATTACAAGCAATCCCCAAGGCCTATTGGGACCATTTACAAATTCTGCCATTTCTCCTGCCAACTCTGATAAATTCACCCAGCTGCTACCTTCGGGGACACATAACAACATTTCCAATATAGAATCCGAGCAATTAAATTTACTGAAAACACCAGAATTGAAAAGATCTCAAAGCCTAGAAAGATCTCCAAACAGATTTATGGCCACCCCCAAGGATAATGAAACTCTTTTGAAAAGGTGGCAAACTCCATCTCATTTGTTCGAAGATATCTACTCATCGCCGATATTCAAGGCAATGAGCACATCGTCAAAGGTTAGTGCGACACCTGGTGGTTCTACTCTGTTGAAGAAATTTTCCCCATCCAAAGTTAGCGGTGAAACACAAAACGAACCAATAAAGTCAAAATTGGCTTGTGGTGGCCTTTTTGGAGTAGATGTATATTCTGTTTGGCAACGAGCTACAGAAATGTCATCTTTAAATGACGCAAATACACTTGATGCAACTCTTGAACGTCCATTCAAGGCCAATACAGACAGTAAATTGTGATACTTAGAGAATGATTCTACAATTTTTATTTTTATTTCTATTATTATTGGTGGTTAACTAATTGGATGTGCTATTGATTAGTGATCTTTGAGTTATCCCTGGGTTTAAATTTTTTTGGTTATATAATTATTATATGTTGCAATGAGGTAAGTCTTATCATATATGTGGATTAACGAGGCAGCACTGGGTGGCCTTTTATCTCTCCCTCTTCCATCCTACTGTAGTGAAAACACATGTCCTGGGCGGATTTTAGTTGTAATATTATGCATTAGTGAAATATGTATATCTAATGCTTTTCTATTTTTTTTTTTAATTTTATTTGTATCTTTATTTAATATTAATACATTTTGCTATATATTGATATCTGATGGTTTTAGTAAGAAATTTTTCATTGAAATTAAAAATGGCACTTATAGAACAAACAAATAATTAGAGCGATACCATCAAAACTGAACAATAGCAGAGTTAGATACCGATACGAAAGTAATATAAGCAGTGATGGAGAATCAGATATCAGATGCTAGCGATTTCACCCATTCGAGGATACCGAAACTGTCGCAACTCGATACATTGCTGAGATGTCACATTTGCAAGGACTTCCTTAAGGTTCCTGTACTAACCCCATGTGGTCATACTTTCTGCTCATTATGTATTAGAGAATATATCAGTGTACAGGCTAAGTGTCCTCTTTGCTTGACTGAGTTGCGAGAATCAATGTTGAGGAGCGAATTTCTAGTAAGTGAGATTGTCGAAAGTTATAAAGTTGTAAGAGACGATTTATTAGATATATTGAAGCAACGCAAGGAATCCCCTGAAAGCGATCCTGACAGCTCTATTATAGAGGTTGGATCTGATCCCGAAGATAGTTTAATAGTCAATGATAATCAGAGCGATGACACGTCTGATGATATCAAGATATTACAAAGTGGCAAACCGATATCTTTGAAGAGAATATACACTGATATTACGAGTTCCTCATTAAGAACAGCACCTCGATCGAAATATTTTAAAACAAATATACCAATGAAGAGAAGTTCTACTGCATCTAGGATTGATTCAATATTGAAGAAACCTGTAGAATTAGTTCCATGCCCAATTTGCGAGAAATACTTTCCTGTCAAGGAACTAGAAAGAACACACTTGGATGAATGTCTGACATTACAGTCGTTAGATAATAAACTTACTCCATTAACGAAAACTGCAGAGAAAGATGAAGTAGTATCAAAAGGATCAACTGTAATACCACCAAATAAATCGTTACTGTCAAGGTCACTTTGGAGGATGAAACCACGGGAAGAAGAAGGAGAAAAAGAAGAAAAAGTGTCATTCGTTGACAAATACATCAATTCTACCACAGACATAGAACACCAACGGTTACCTAAACTGGACTTTCCTTCAATGACAATTACACAAATAAAACAAAAGTTATCAAACTTAGGGTTATCTACAACTGGGACTAAACAGAATATGATGGCAAGATATAACTACTATGAAATTTTATGGAACTCAAATTTCTGTGATTCATTAAACCCAGTAAATGTGAGTGAATTAAAACGACAGTTGTTAAACTGGGAAGCATCCCGTAAGGTTCATAATGGTACAAATTTATCAACTTCAATTGGCAATTTAATGACTTTAAGAGGTACACACAAACAGAATGACTATAAAAAATTATTAGACAATTTCAAAACTGATAAATTCAACCGGAAAGAATGGTGTATATTGTTCAGAAAACAATTTCGAAGACTCATAAAAGATGCGAAGAAGGGGCAAACTAGTCGTACACTGAATGCTGATCATATTCAAGAATTTGATATAGAAGAACAGTTGACCGATCCAGACCTATCTAATGATCTTTTTGACAAGCTTGATAAGACCCCACAAAATCCACAAAATCCATAAAGTATTTATATGTAGCATTACCAAACCAACTTGCACCTCGGAAATATATAACTTGAATTTACATGGATGTAACTTATATTTGTATCTGTAATTTTATGTACGTCTGAACTTATATCTATTTATAACAACTATTTGCCATCGAAAGGCAACGATACTATACAAAGATCACCAAATTAATCACAATTCATCATGGCCTATAGAAGATTCATTAGTGCCAACAGAGGATGTCACAGTCATGTCCGTTGTAACGATCCTTGAAGATTTGTCAAGTTCAACGGTGGAAATAGTATTTTCTGTTTCAGGGGTAGTCGTAACATCATTTAAAGATAGCTCATTAATGTCAACAACAGATGTTATCTCTATGATAGTATCTGGGATGATTGGAGTAATTAGAGAAACCTTTTCTGGTGAAACCGATTGGGATTTTGTATTATGCTCTTTTTGAGTTGTGTTAACTTCGTTTTCGATAATTTCTTCTACCACGGTTTTAGCTATTTTCGTTACCGTGTTACTAGTGGTCACAGATGAGGACGGCGATTTAAGAATGGAACTATCTATTGTTATCTTAGATTGACTCTCGCTAATCTGGGTAGAGTCTGCTTCAGAGTTGTCCTGTACTGTATTGATACTAGTATCCATTGATTTGTGGTCATTTTCAGCAATTGAAGATACCAAAGAAATTGTACCCTTCTCAAAAGTTAATTGAGATTGAGAGGTGACTGTATTTGATGAAGTAACACTAGATATCTGAGACTTCATAGTTTCACTCGAAGTCAATATAAATGTAGGGTTAAGGACAGTTTGTGTCTTTTCGGTCGATGTAGGAGTCTCTGCAGTACCATCCTCTGACGCAACCACATAAACAACACCATCAATAGTAATTTTTTGTTTAATTGCTTTCTCTTTAAAGGATAACATTGATGATGCAAGTGTCTCCTTCTTTTTTTCTACAGATACAATGGACATCTTGTTCATCGAAGAATAGGCTATAGTCGTTGCTGCTATTGATGATGTTGTATATATAGGCTTAGCTGCAACTCCCTCTTTCTCTATATCTACTGTCTTAGAGGACATTACACTTTGTGTTGTTAAAGAAGAAGATGATATACTCTTAACTTCATTCTTCGAGGATGAAGTAACAACTGATTGCACGGACGCTGGTATAGAGTCATATTCAGATACATTTGTCTCTGTTTTAGATACATCAGAAAAGTGATGGGGTTTGATAGAAGTCTGGGTTGGAACAATTGATACTGTAACTCCTTTAGTACTACTAATTTCTTCAGACGCAGGAAGGAGTTTTGATGATGGAGGAGAAGAAGAAGAAGAAGAAGAAGAAGAAGAGGAGGAGGAGGAGGAGGAGGAGGAGGAGGAGGAGAAGAAGAATGTGCTGGGGGTGGAAATTTCTAGAATTGAGATGGTACCTGTTTTTTCCAATGGAACAGCAGGTAATGATTTACTAGATAGACGAGAGTGTACTGGTTCCGAAATAACAGAATGGTCGGATACAATAGCGCTATAAGAAGAGGGAGTCAACGAACCGCTAGAAAGTGATAATCCGCCAGTTAAGTTAACTGAAAAACTCTTAGTTTTACTTTCTTCTCCACTAGCATCCTCATGATTTACAGTTTCAGACTTAGACGTCATTCGAGGAATATCAGTTGTTGTAGCACTCTTTGCTATGGTTGACGCGGTCTCACCACTTGTCTTCAAATCAGGCTTTAGTTCAATCCTTGAATGTATAGGGACTTCGTCCTTCGCTGTTAGCGATGAAACAGCTAGCTCAGAGGAGATTTCTCTAGTTGTCATTAATGATGAGACAATTGACTCAGAAGAAGTTTCTTTTCCTGCGTTTAATGAAGCCGTATTTGTCTCACTAGCTACATCAGTATTGGTCTCAGAAGAAATGACAGTAGATTGTGTCACCGAAGCCTTGGATTCCGACGTTGTCTCTTTTGATTTCAAAGATTTATGAGCAGAGTTTTCTTTCATCATTGAAAGTTCTTCTTCATTGAAAGTTGGCATATCCAAATGTCTGTCAAAAGAATAAGTCTCCAAAATCACACCTGATGTTAATGAGATTTCCGGTTCAACCGTTGATACAGTGGCAATCGATAACGGTTCACTAATTGAAGATAAAATATTGATTGTTGTGGCTGGTGAGGTAGTTGAAGATGAAATAAAATCATCAGTGTTAATTGAAAGTTCTTCTTTATTTTTGTAACTTGTGTATGATGAAACGCTTACAATATCATCTTGAATAATATTTGTAGTAGTCACCAAATTCTGCAAAGGTTGAATAATTTCAGAGCTAACATTATTTTCAGTGTCTCTTCTTTCAAGATACTTCTTCTTAGCATATTCATAAGATTTTAAATGTAAGTTATTCTTGTAAGCAACATTTGCCAATGCAGCTACGACAACCACAAGTACAACATTAATTAAAATTTTCTTCATGACAGAAAATATTGACCCCAGAGAACCGTTTGTCTTGGAAATGACATTAACAGTGTTCCCAGCAGATACCGTGGCAATCAATTTGGAGTCTGGAGAGATAGCAATCTTTGTGATTAATAACCCATGTAAATTTCTGAATGATTCAATGCCGGAGAGGTCATTAATCTTAAATATAGCCACAGAATTTTCGTTAGTTGCAAGAACGACAAATTCATTTTTAGAATCGACTTCAAGAGCTGTAATTGATCCCAGTCTATCAGATATCTGTCTTCTTTGAATAATTTTACCACCTGTTTTGTTGAATTTCACTTTTAGCAAGACACCACCATCTTTTTCTGCATATGTAGCAGCAATTAAAACACTATCATTAGAAATAAATCTGATCTTAGAAAATATTAAATCTTTTTCGAAATCAGCTTTCTTAATCACAAATTCTCCTGATGCAATCGAGGCTACATCAAGACCATTTGGTGTCACGTATGCCAATAATTGACCATCCAACGAAAAGGCAAGATCTCTTACATCCCTACCAGTTTGTATCTCGTATTTCTGAGAAAGATCTACAGGGTTAATCACTCTTATTAACGAGGGGACTGTAGAAGAAGCAATAGCAGCAGCTGCACCATTCGGCGAGATTGCTGTCAATTTGGTGTAGATCTCAGGATTAGCAGACCCATCAAAATCAATACTTGCTGTGAATTGTAAATGGTCGTTTTGGTAGACGTATTTTCTGATATGGTGATTCACATTTGTTTCTGCGATTTTTTCTGCACCTTCATTGCAACCTAACAAAATTACACCCTTAGCTGCATCTAAAGTGGTTGGTGAATCATCTGAACTATCAAGAGTAATCTCCCTAAACCTCTTTATAACCTTTTTCTTAGTGAAATCGACTTTCAGGGCAGTCAATTTACTGCGTAACGTAGGTTGATCCCTGCCACCACCGCCTGCGACGACCAAAACATTATGGGTAATAAACCGAGCTCCATAGAGAGGGTATCCCAAGTTATAAGTTGTGTTCTTCAATGCCATTATTGTCAATGCACTGTCGGGTTATCGTAGTCGATCAAGTTCTCTTTGCCTGTGCTTTATATGTGATGGGAAGTGTAAATTGTTGAAAATGTCAGTCGATTTTAATGTTTTTTTCGACCAGCTTATTTTTTTTTTTGACTTTTAGCGAAAAGCTAATTGTATCGCTTAAGAGAGAGAGAGAGAGAGAGAGAGAGAGAGAGACAGGGCAGCCATGAAGTGTGGGACTTCTTTTGATATTTGACACTACAAGATCAGCTCCTGCTAATACAAACAAGGTTTGAATCCAGGAATATTGATAATTTTTGCAATAGATTGAATTTATAGAGCTTATATTCTGAATATATCTTTGAGGCTAGACTTCAGAAATTTTTTAGGATCGATAGACGTGAGGACGAAGTTATTTTAAGACAGTCACCCCTAGTTCAAGGACGAAACAATTACAAACATTTATCGAACGTTTTCCCGTTAAAAATACACAAAATTAAGAAGTAATGAGTAGACTAAAAAATGTGTCGAGTAGTCGACACAGAGTGAAAGGTCGACTACTGACTGTTCTCTTCTTTCTAACAATATGCATGATATATAAATTACGCGGTAATTTAGGCTTAATAACCGATAAGTTCCTACATCAAATAGATCAAAATACATCTGATGGTAAATCATATTTTATTCTACAACAAGTATATCGGCATGGTGTTGGGGAAAACTACCAACATCACCAAGTACTCGAGGTATCAGAAACGGTAGCCGCCCAAGCAAATATGCTATTCCAGATGCAAGAAGCCCAATTAATGAAGGGGTCAAAGGATGAGGAATCGATGTGGTCAACCAATCCTCGTTATAGAACAAATAATCCTTTCTCTTACAAATTCAGGATAAGCCAGGACGATACAACTGTTCCCAGAATGAAGAACCGAGAACCTAAATATCTGGAATTTTTGGCTAGCGATACTGGTAGACAAGTCACACCTGAATGGGAGGACGAGATTATTAGGGTTCCAAATATTACCGATATAGATTCTGTGATCGGTCTTGCACTTATGTCCTCGAATGCATATGTTGGAATCCCACATACCGGAGATTGGCGTAATGTCACACAACCGTGGGATCGCAGGGAAACTGATGGGTTTGGTTGGGATGGCGAAGGTCTAAGAGGCCACGTTTTCTATAACAAAGTCGATGATATTGTGGTAATATCTATCAAAGGGACGAGTGCTCAGGGTGTTCCAGGGGCTGGTGACGACGAAACAACTACTAATGACAAACTAAATGACAATCTATTATTCTCATGTTGTTGTGCAAGAGTGAGTTACTTATGGAATACCGTATGTGATTGTTACATAAAATCTAATACATGTGATGAATCTTGTTTAGAGAAAGAAATAAGACGAAAAGATCGTTATTACCAAGCTGTAATTGATATATATACAGATGTCATACTGCAATATCCTACCGCTACTGTTTGGATGACAGGGCATTCACTTGGGGGTGCGTTGGCTGCGTTAGTTGGGAGAACGTTCGGCCTTCCAGTTGTTACTTTCGAGGCACCAGGTGAATTACTTGCTGCAAAAAGACTGCATTTACCATTCCCACCTGGATTACCACAATACCTGGATACTGTCTGGCATTTCGGACACACTGCAGACCCGATATTCTTAGGAACTTGTAACGGTGCCAGTTCGTCATGTTCGATAGCCGGATATGCCATGGAGACATCATGTCATTCAGGACAAGTATGTATATACGATGTAGTTAAAGATAAAGGTTGGCATGTCAATATGCTCAATCATAGAATTCACACAGTAATCGATCAGATTCTCACTGAATACAATAAAACCGCTGAATGTGTCGTACCTGAGCCATGTGTGGACTGTTACAATTGGAATTTTTGGCCTGACCGTGACCACAAGAAAATTACTACAACAGAGATCAGTTCCACAACTGTACAACATTCAACTTCTGTATGCATCGGAAGAAACTGGCTTGGTGTGTGTACTGCTTGGGCTACTGTCCCGGATACAAATGCACCGAATGAGACTGCCATTTCATATGCTACGGAGCAAGACATAGAGAAGAATACATTGACGAAGCATCCTTAAATATCTATACCAAGAGATAGGTAAGGCCTGCAATATCATATCTGATTACCACTCGTTTTATACGCGACGCGTATTCATTATGGTCTCAGTTTTGGGACTACCTGTTCTTAACGATGAAGGGAAAAAATACGCTGTGCTGCAATAATCAGGTAAGTAAAAAACAAAGAAAAAACTGAAAACAAAAAACAAATATGTAGGACTGAGTTTTCAATGATAACATACTTAAGCTTGTTATTATTTCGGTTTTGCACTTAACTTAGTTGCTTATATCAGGTACATTGTTATAATAATCATTAATATTACACACCCTTTTATTTTCGTTGAATACCCCGACAACGAAGTGAACAATGCTGACCATTAGATTTGCTCTATATGCCCTTATGTGGGTGACCTCGTTAGTGCTAACAGCACCAACTGAAGGTTTAAAGAAATATTCTGAAGATATCGATTTGACTAAATTATATGAACCAAATCCTCCAGTGACCCATCGTGTTTACATGACTGTTGAATATGAAGATCCATTGACTGAAAAGGCAATGAGACATAATTTCAATATCGACTTGTATGGTACTGTTGTCCCATTAACTATCAGGAATTTTGTTGCTCTATCTAAGGGTGTCAAGGCTCGTGTTGAAGGTCAAGACCCAAATCAGATCCATGTCATTACATACAGAGAATCACTTTTTACCCAAGTTGCCATCGACTCCTTCATGCAAGGTGGTATGGTCGCTCCAGCTTATGGTCCATTTTCCATTCATGGTAGTGCTTGGGCTGATGAAAACTTTGACTTGAAACATGATAGAGTGGGTAGAGTCTCTATGGCAAACAAGGGAAAACCAGACACGAACAACTCTGAATTTATCTATGACACCAAGACTGACCCAACTGGTGAACTAGACAACAAGAATGTTGTCTTTGGTCAAATCTCTGCCGGTCTAAAGGAATTATTAGACATCATCCAATACGTGAAGAAGGATACTGATGGAAGACCAATGAAGCCATTTAAGATTGTATGGGCTGTCCCTGAAGAGTTCAGACTAGGTGATCAAAAGGTAATGCATCAAAAGTACTTGGACGACTTAGCTGCATTCAGAGCTGGAGATTCTTCCAAGGGTGTGACTCTAGTTGAATCATTGGCTCCCGTTAAGGTCTATACGAGTAAGGATGCTGTAGAAGATAAGGTTCTATACGACAGTTACTCCAGTTCTGCACTAAAGAACATTCTATTTGTTGTTGGTGTTGTGGCTGCCTGTTTCGGTTTGTACAACTACAGGGACATTATTTTAAGAAAGAACAGCAAAATTGTGTCTATGAGGTAAATTAGTAATTATCAGAGACATATTAACTTTTATTTATTTTTCTCTTTAGTAGTATTTACATGAATATATAGTTTATTCGAATAATTTACACATCTTTGAACGTAAAAAACACACTCAATACAATACAGACGAAACTGAAATATGTCCGTTAGAAAGTTCTTGTGAGAATACCTTTTACTTGTTTCACTGCATCACCTTTAATGATAATCTTACGCGATTGTGTCAATACTTTCCAGTTCTTTTCTGGAATAAATGGTAATTGTTCTCGTAAGTCGTTACGCAGCTGAATGACATCACCCTGAATCTTCCTTATCTCGGTGATAAGTTTGTTACCACCACCTTTGGTGTCTGAGTATACGGGTAAGTTCCCAGTCTTACTCCTCGAAATGAAATATTTACCTTTCTCAAAAGGAATCTGCTCAGATATCAGTTCATTCATTGAAATGTCTTCTAATTTTGGAAACAGCCCTTTGTTGGTAGCTATAAGTTTCCCTGTAGCCACAGTTGATTGAAATCGTATACCGGTCTGAACTATCTGACGACACCTACCTCCAAGTACACTCATTTTCTTTAATATCAGTATCTTATCTCCTCGTTATGGGTAGTATACTCCTCTATATGTGTTTATAATGCATGTCTTCAAAAATCAGTTATAAATTTGTCCTTTAAGTAGCTTCCCTTTGATAAACTGTTTAATATCAAAAGCTTTTTCGAGTGAGCGGGACAAACTCCGCCTCGTATAAAGTGATGGAAATTCTGTATGCAGTAAGAAGTATAAATATTTCAATTCTTAGCGTCTACAACTACATATACTTTAATGGACTGGTATATTGCAGTTCTATTATTTGCAAATATTATTGGATGTATGCGGAGATGAAATCTCTAACACGGTATATTAACGTTTTATCACATGATTTGAATATATGCTTGGTAACTGTATGTCTAGCTGCTATGTTAACTTCCATGTGTATATCAGTACGATACTTTGGATCGAATAATTAGAAGCTATATATTTACTTAGGAACTGTTTGAAAAGAAACTATGATATTTTTTTAAATGTATCCAGAAGTGCAAATATTCTTGTAAAGAAATGACCGAAGGCCAAAACTTAATAGACTACATCACTCCTATTCTCACAATGCTTGTCCTGAGAGTCCAAAGTGAATCCATAACGCTACATAAACGGTGGTAAATGGAAGTAACTGGCTAGAGGAATTGTCCATGTAGCGCTCTTTGCTAAGAACATCTTTCCAGGTCCAAATATACTTCTTTTGAGGCGGTAATTCTTAGAGTTGAGAAATTTAAAAAACGTTTCCAGCGAAAAACGTATTTTGTTTCTCAACTGGATAAATAATATCATTAATATAATTAATCGTGGTTGAGATATCATTATATTTATCTCAAAATTGTGATTCAGGATGTCCATCAAAACAGTTGTTATGCCTTAATTGGTTTATCCAAAAAGTGCTAATATAAAGCTCATTTAATATATTAAGAATGTTTAAAATAGTCTTTACTTAGAAAGCTCTGTGCAAACCGAATTAGCTCGCTATTGAAGAATGACGAAGTGATCGCAACAGGTATGAAACATTGTGTTACGGTTCGAACAAAATTTTCGTCATCCACAGGGAAGAAATTACCTGTATAGTATTTTCAGATACATAATTTTATCTTAAAAACCATTGGAATGAGACAGACTTTCCAGTATAGAAATATAATATCAGCAGACTGCACTAATGAACAAATTCTTTATCATGCTTAATCAGTGACAGAAATTTCGCTACTCAATAAACTAGTAATCAAACACACTGATGTGCATAAATTTGTGTTGCCACCCAATGCCGGACACACTAATCCCACAGTAGCATCTACTTGAACAGTTCTTTCAAATCCTAAAGAAACAATATATGCTCCCCTCCTAAAGCTACTTGACATTTTTCGAAAATCAATTATATGATCTAATATTGGATAGTATTTTGCGACAAAACGGTGATCACCACTCATACCACCTGCCATTATCGGAATTTTCGGTTCTGACATGTTCATCATTACAGTATCCATCGATACCACCATAAGTATTGAAATATACTTCAGATTTAAAAGCAAGGCCAATGGCACCCCGTCACCTGGTATAATATCATAAGTTGTTGGTTCGGCTGCCTTAAAATCCTGTGCTGCAAAACAATACTTCTAATCACGATTGTTGGAAAGAAACTCCGGCAGCTTCAATTCAGATAAACTACCAAACCTATCATTTCCATCTTCGTCGTTCATCCAGTTCTGTGCTAAATCACCATAACTTTGATTGTATTTCATGGAATACCAATTCACTGGAAAGTCCCGGCTCTACTTTCCTAACCCTGTACCATTTATACCTAGAACACCATTTGGTACGCCTGAAACTGCACTCTTAATTTTATTAGAGAATTCGTCAACAATCAAAACACCACTTATACCGACATGTTTACTTCACCGACATGTTTACTTAAAGGAGATGAAAATCCTATAAATGTATAATTGGTGTTCCCTTCACGTTTTAGATTATTTGGGACTACATTCCCACGTAATTAATAGTAATGCTAAAGACAGAGGTCCCATTAAATAATATCTGTCCAACTAAGGGATGCTCAACAAATTCTGAAGTATGGCCCATTATACTTACCACTCGTTAAAAGGTTTACTTTGTTGCAGATCCTGAGTTGCTACCGACAACAATAGCAGGCAGTGAATGCTGCAGCGGTTGCCAGAACTCCACCAGCAATTTGGAACACAAATACCTCCAGTTGCAGCAACACAAAAACTTTCAACCAAATAGGGGTATCATAGGCAGTATAACCAATTATAAATCATCCTAAGGAGATTCCTTCTGCTAGAGTTCAACTCGCACATTTGACAAGTCTCGCTATATCTTGCTTACTTGGTACTGTTCTAATACTCATCACGTGACTACCCGCTCCTTAAATAAATAACATTAAGCCTGGAGTAATAGCTACTATTCTGAAAATTCTTCCCGACCTGGTACTCGTTGCCAACAGTCTCCAATATAAGGGATTATCGTCTACAACGTCCAAGGAAATTTTTCCCACTACTTGTAGTATTAGTTGTTCAAGCTATAAGAATTAAAGTGAAATTTCGAAGTTTGGATTTTCAAATATAAAAGGTTGAGACAACCTTCTTTGCAAGAAAAAAAACAGTAAGTTGAGTAACGTCCTCTTAAATATTTCTCAATAGTGTATCTTTCATTAATGTAATGGGTATGGACAGCTATATGTTGGAATGCCACTGTTTTCTTGTTGAGACATAGTGAACATTTGTCCAGAATAGGAAATATTAGGTCCCGTTGTTTTGACATAAACTCAATGCCGAATAAATGATGGACTCAGTTCTCTTTCTGGAGTGATTGTTCGTTGTTAGGATTTAGAACTTAATTCACTGTCGGTAATATATTTCACATAACACATACATAACACATAATGCAGTACTATATCCATATATTGGGTATTGCAGCTATATTACCCAAATCACTATGCTTAGAATATCACCAGTTTAATATCAGAAACTCTGTATGACAGTTAAGATATTTTTTGAAAAATACACTAATTATTAGTAAACGAAATATGTCTACTGTTAATATTACACTTTTACATGCTTAACCAGAAAAGCAGAAAAAAGGTCTTTTCTATTGCCAAACAAAAAATAATATCTTATCAATATTAAAACATAATAGGAACAAACCATGAAAGAACCATCATCTGAGAGATGAGTAAAGGCGCACCAAGGTAAATGCATTTGTGAATCTGGTTATACCTGGCTCTCTATGGTCTTATTCATATTCCATTCTTAAAATAGATATTTTAGAAAAAAGTACATGCTTTTCATAGGGCAGATTAACCTCTTATAATATATAATATATAATAGAGGATTTATAATATAAAAACACCAAGAATAGTACACACTTAATAAATACAAATAGATATACGTCAAATTATTATGTTTTAATTTAAAACCTAAAAAGTTTTGATTTTCTATTGACATCGATCTGTTTCGCATTGGGCCCCACCTTTGTTATCGTTACAATAATTATCGATACCACCGTACTGGTTAGTATAAGCTTCGCCATGGGTAGCATCGGCCTCCCCAAAAGAGTTATAATCCGAATTACCGCTAGCCATTACGGTTAGACACCATTTCCATGTATTTTGCAAATCGTTAGTGTAAAGAGTGTTTGCAATGTCCACTTCCCAATCACCAGGGTCTTCCGACAGATCCCATACCTCCTTTTCCAAGTTGGAATTCTCATTGTCGACATTATATGAAACCCAATCGACTTCATATCGCTGTTGCCTTTTCGACACTAAATTAGTTCCTAATCTCTGATATTGATCGGTCCCATTATATCCGGATTTGTATTGTTCAGCAATATCTTGTGCCATTGAAACAACATCATAGTGTGGTAAATGTGATGCAGTGTGAAATCCAAGTGATGTGAACCAATGAACAGCTATTGTTGCATTCGCTTTTGATCTCTTTCTCAGACCTGAGACTACATTTGTAGTTAGTAGTGGTACCCCCAACCCAGCGCTGGCAAATATATCAACTACTTGGTCGTAGACACTATCCGGTTTATATAACTGATTCAATTGATAAGCGCTGTCCACAACCGGATAAGTATGTTGGGTAGTGTTTTCCAACATATATTGACTCTGATATCTGGCAACAATAGCGCTAGCAACAGAACCGTCGACAAACCCAAGATCACGCTTGATTTTATCTGTAAAGGCAGCTGAACCAGCCACTACAGTTGAAACTGCTGTCGCTGCAGTCACACCACTTGCTAATGCGAAACATGCGGGTGCTGCAGGAGTTGCACATAATATCGGTGCCCATGCTGCACCGATAGTTGCGGCTGCAGCTATCACCAAACCTGCCAGTCCACCGATCCTAGAAAATGTCCATCTATTTCTTTTTGTTAACGTAGTATTTTTATCAATAGGATTATTTTTCGGAGGTGTATCAGACAGGGTCGAAAACACTAATACCAACATGACGGTGACTGCAACGGCCAGTCCTATTAGCTGTGGAATCCTAATTCTTGCAGGGAGTGAGCGTGGGACGGTTTGGGACATAATAGTGTTGATCGGTAGTACATTTCCTGTCTTTTAGAAGTAACTAAGTCGTAGGTGATTACGAATTATCAGTATGTGGCAAAACTGATTACGCAAATAGCAATAACTACAGAAGAAGAAACATAGAAATGTTAACGAATATATATAGATATATATGCCAGAGGTTTTGAAAATTCCCAAAAAAAATCTTGAGATGTGATCTCTGATGGATGGGATTGTTTGGCAAAAAGAGGTCCCTAAAGAGTAAATACAGTTAAATTAGAAACAATCTATTGATCAAGACAAAAAAAATAGCAGACACGACGAGTCAGCATAAAAATGAAAAAGATAAAAACAACCCGCAGGCAATGCCAGCACAAAAACGCATGCCCATAAGTACCTTGAGTGAATGCTACAGTATATTCTCAGACCATCCCACGCCAACGAACTGTCACAAACTAAGAGTAATATGCACCACACTTAACTTCAACAGGTAAAGAAATACCTTTAAGCACAGTTATTGATAAGAGGCGACAATAGATAAGAGGCTCTTTAGTATTCTACTATATGTAAAAAATATATAATATAAAGAGACCGATCGATTATCTTATAAATGTCCGAATTAAAACAATCAAAGTTGCAGAGACTACTAGAGACAAAACCTCTATTTCAGACTCTCTACACAAACTTTTGCTGAAACAGTTGTTTCAGCAGGCAACAAGAATTACGATAGTGCATAAGGCCTCTCGTAAATACATAATTCGTATGTAAACAACATAAAATGGGGCTACCTATAAAGCCATTTGATGGGTACTTTTACCAGAGAGACTCCAGGAGTAGCGCCCCGAAGTGCAAATATTTGCACGCATCGCAACACTTTTGACCTTCGAAGCACACGAGTTGCTCTTCACTGCCAAATTTAGAGGAAGCTATGCATCCTCCCGATGGGATAACCCAGCAAAAATAGCAATAGATGTATTTTCTCTCTTGTGGTTGCCATTGTTGTTGTTATCCAGAATGGACGTTTTTCATTTGGTAATCCGCGCCTGCAATCTCGCGCAGTGCAGGACAGTGCAGTTAGATGTTATGTGCTCTAATAAATGTCGCAGGGGAATGTGCAACACGCTTCGAGGTTGCAGGACCTTCTGGTGTATCCGTTGTTAGCGACGAGTACATCAATAGGCAATGATGACACAGACTATGCAACTTATGACTCGTCTGGTATATATACCAATTGGCTTGCAGGTATTTCGCATTTTATTGGACGTTCAGAACCTCCGGAGTGTAATTTGAACACTACCGGTTATTGTTTCATTGGTGGGATAGGAATTTTATAGGTTGATCAAAAACTACAAGATCGATTAAAAGAGAAAACTGGCTCGCTTTATCAGTGATTGGCATCCTGTGCCGGCACTGTACGTAGTTGGCAGGAGCATCTTTCATTATGTGTCGGTCGCCCTGATGGTAGACAAAGATTCTTTTCAAGAACATGTTTAACATCACTAATTGTAACGCTGCTGTATACCTCTGGGTTCTTCATTGCAATAGTTGGTGTTGTGGTCTTCTATGTTGACAATGGAAACAAGGGATTCATTAAGATGTATGTTGCTGGTATATTAAGGAAAATTTAGTGCCATGCTAAGGCTTACGTCATTAATCTAAAGAATATTTTTGATCTGTCTAATTGATAATTTGGGAGCTATTACAGTAATATAATGTTTTGCTAAACTTTGGTAGAAATAGATGACGAGACAGGTGCATGTAATACATTTCATATCAGGCTATTCCTAAACAGTATGGACTGCATATTTTATTTAAGAAGTCAACAAATGACCAAAATGCAGAGTTACTTAAAACAACTGGTGTTTATTAAAGTTGTAAGCTGGTCTGCAGCAGCCGCACAGCATAGATTTTTCTCTAATTGTGGTTTATGGAAATGTTCATACGCCATTGCAAATACCACTGTTTTTAGGTGTGTTTGGATGATAAGAAGTTGATTGAGCCAATTCATCGTTATCATTGCGGTAAGAACAAATCGTATGTATTGATCTGAATTATTTGTAAGTTGAGCTTTTTCAAACTGTATTTATTTTCTGATTTTGTTTTTTACGTAAATACGTATGTAACTATATTAGCTCATAAGCTGTCATTTGATTTAAGAGTTTCAAATGCAAAAACATTATTCTGTAGGCGTATAGAGCACTAGTTAGCTTAGTATAACAATTTAAAGTCATGGAGCGTTTTTCCTAAAATTCTAATATATAAGAAGGAAATGTTTTTACTTCTTTGTACTCTACGCCTAATAACTAATTTCGCATGAGTGTTATTTCAGTCTCACTGAGTCCAACAGTACTAAGCAAGTAAATTTATCAGCTCCTTTACCTTTTCCATTTTTTAATTGTTTTGTAGTTTCTTAGATAAACAATTTGGTTTGTTTTCCAGTATTATTCGACATAGAAAAAGTGATTCAAGGAATAATCCAACTGGGCCATCATTGAATTACTCCTAAGCTTAATTGCAAGTTTTACGTGTAATATTTTTTCCATTTGTTCTATCATGTTTCAAATGATATCGAAGCATTACCACACGATAGAATGCTGTTTGTTAATTATAATTTAAAGACTGCTAAATTGTATGGTTATATATATAATTAACAGCGCTGGGGCTTAGCGTAGGTTTTCCTACTAGGCAAATCTACTCCACTAGAATAAGTATACTACCATTTATAAGTTATCGAACAAGAATGTAGATGGTCAAGAATTGGGGACCAACTGAGAAGAACCCCAAAACCCTTGACTACAAATTACCGTCAATACTTAGTTCTGGATTGATTATCAGATCTTCGTAGAAGGTATCTGATGTTTTACAACCGTTACTATATTACAGTATGTATCTATATGTTGATGTATAATCTTTAAAAGTCATCGAGAGGCCTCAACAGACCTGACAGTGAGGTTTTGCCAGATCTCGAATCTATACTAAACACTTAGGATTGGTTTGGTTTGGCAACCATTGAGTAATATAAGGAGTCTATATATTTATTAGTACTCCTGGTTATATAACTGAACTGTGCAACAAAGGATTTTCAAATTCATGCATAAATATGAAGGTGAGAAGTAATTGAACGGCGAAATTATATTATAAACATAATTAAGAATGTACAACTTTGTTATTGTTCTTTTGGTCATTTATTAGAATATGTAAAGTTAGCGGCGGACTTATATAAATAGTATAAAACAACATATCCTAACCGGTGCTCGTGTAGGTAGCAGTCCGTACTCTTACAGCTCTGATCAAAACCTCAGATAAGCTACTTAGCCCTGCTAAAATTTAAGGTGTTTAGCACATCCATAACTGCATTCATACAGACAGTGGCATTTTCTCCTCTTTCGAAGAACTTTGAGTGTTCAGTTGTTTCTTTAGAATGCAAGCAAAAAAATTATGGAATCTCTTCAAAAGTACAAGAACCACAATAAATGTTGCAACAAATGTAGCTATGAAGTTCACCATACCTTTGTTCTCAATTAATATTCTAAGGGATTCCTGTTCGACAATGTAGGTAGAGGTAAGAACGTTTTCCATTAATGAGTTCACAATCATAAAGGTACCTACTGCAATTCCATAAAATATTATAGCTCTACATGTCTCCTTAATACCACCACCTCGCATCCTATATATGGTGTAAAGTATCAATACCGTTACTGTAAATACGACACATTCGATGCCAAATACTACGAGATCCAAATTCTGTTCCATCGCAGGTTAAATAAAAAATAATTCCTTGTGTTTGTTAGTTTTCTTTACGTGCTCTAGAGATGTTCTACGACCAGAATATTAACATTACTCTTGCCTTAGTAATAATTAAATATGTCGATATCAGTTGCAGAAGTTTGCAAATAGTTGAAAAGTTTCTCGAGACAGGAGTTCTTGATAGCAGCAAGGAGTTCCGTCAGCAAAAATATGCCCGGAGATGTCAAATTCTCAGTTTTTAACAATGTAACTGCTCGAGCAAAAAAATAAAAAAATTGAATATTGTTTACTTTTTTAATCAATGCATAGAGCAATCTGAAATTAGCAAGTATTTTGCAACAAAGAAGTACTCACCGCTTCCAAAAAGGGTATCACACAGGTTTTGCAGTCATTGTATTTGTTTTTGAATAGAGACTCGACAGTGAACTGCATGAAGCAAGTGCCGATGATTCTCGATAGCTTTTTATGATATGGTTGAATCACTGGTGATTTCGTATAATTGAATCATTCTGCCTCAAACTGCAATAGCAGGATGCATTAGTGCAGCTTCCGACATCAAGGATAAATCCTTTATCGGCAGAACTTCCCTGTTTCCAAAAATGGTATTTATTTTTCAACTTTTACAACCTATACACTATCTCAGAATATCTAGGATAAGGAATCGTAAATGTGTGCATTTCTGTATCAAATTTGGAAACTTTCACTGGCTCTTTCTTTTTCTACTACTAGATTAGGAAATGCAGAAACAATGTCACATAAGTGTCGCAAGCTGTAATATTAACCCGCATATGTTGCATATTTTGCAATCATGAAGTAAAATATTCGAGCTCTTTATTCAGATGTACCTGGGAGGTTATAGTTGTGTTATACTTCCATTCGAAGTTTTACTTCAAAAACAGAAGTATCATCGGACTTAAGAACGAAGCACTTGTTTTGTCACTAAAGTAAACGTGCGCCAGGATATGAGCACGAATAGCATCAGAATAAACTCCCTCAATGTTGGGTAAATAACACGATAATCGCAAACTATCCTTGAAGACATAACAGTATTCATTAAGAATGAAATTTCTCGATCCTTCTACAGCAGCCTGCTAAGAAAGGAGTATGAATAAATTATTTTCGAATTCGTATATAAACCAGGATATATTTTCGAATTGGATCAAACCGTTCACGAATAATATGTTTATTCCAGATTTTAAATTTACAAAATTAAAACAAAAGATTAACTATATCAAGTACCAAAATGATACTAGCTGACGGCCCTTCACCAAATAGTACCTATATTCCATGCGGTGGTGTAGGTTCCATTAATCCTGAAAACAGTACCGACTTACTACCTGTTGATTATTGGGACTGTGGTAGACAATACGGCCAATATTATTCCACAAATCTAGGTGTCAACCTGAAACCTAGTCTACGGAACATTGTTCTTGTCCTTTCCCTGTTGGCAACAACTGTTCTGTGTACGTCTCAAGACATTACGAACCAACTCAACGCTATCGATGGTGTTTGGCATGACTCAGGGACTAATCTTACCTATACTGATCTACCATTATACAACTTTTTGCAAAATGTGGCCCCAATTGCTTCCGAAAACAATTTAAGTATTATCAATACAACAAGTGAGGTGATCTTAAGTGATTTTGTCCCAGTTTCTAACACTAGTAGCAAGGTTAATATTTTTAAAAGAGATGTGGTTTGCACATTTTATACCTGGAAACAGACTCAGGCTGCTCAAAAAGGTGAATGGTGGTCCCCTTGGTACCCAGTATCATGTTGTATTTGGGATGGAAAAGGTGATGGTGCTGATTACACTATTGATTATGAATGGAGTTATTCATGGTCAATTGACTCTGGTTCCTCAATTGGCTTTAAAGGCATCTCCGCTGCTTTTCCTTCTTACAGTTTAAGTAAAACATACACACATAAAAACTCACTTAGCTGCCACATACAAGGTGATGTTGGCCAAGTATGGTATCAACAACACATGGTATGGGCAGACATGCAAGAGCAAACTTGTTGTTTCCAAGCTGGTAATAGAGGAATTTGGTGTGGTGCATGGAGTAAATATTACAGAACGAATGCTCCTATAAAAGGTAGTTATGCAGTAGGTTGTAGTGTTGGAAAAGAGAATACTGATTGTAATGCCAAGGATTTAGTATGTGCATACAATAAATAGAGGGTAATGGGATAAGAAAAGGTTACGATATATTATACGATTTTGCTCTATAAGCTACCTTGCTACGTTACAGTTTACTGATTTATTTTCTTTATTTAATCATTCTATACTTTGATATTTATACGTTAAAAACAATAAAAGCTTCCGAAAAAGTCTGGTAGAACAATCAGCTGGGTGGGTTGTTTTCATTGTTTGGATGCCGAAAGCCTGGTGATGATCTAATAATGTGGGTCCCCTGTAACAAGTCTGATATGTGGCTTCCAAATATTCGAAACAGCGTCTCTACTGTCGAGATAAAGCTGCACCTGAAGAGGAGACACATTTGGTCCATGCTTTATGAACATTCCATTTAACTGAACAAATTCATTGTGGTATAAAAATCAACTTATAATTGTCTCATCTTTTTTCTATCTTCTACATAAAAATATTTAAATTAGGGTATGGAAACGATTATATTCATAGATGAAATATTGTTCCATTTATATATGTTGGATTTCTTGTTGTTTTGATTATAAAGTCATTCGACTGTGGTGTAAATTATATATTATTAGATTATGGCACAATTAGTTTCGCATGGTTAATCAAATTAACCATGCGCATCATCGCCCAATCATTTAATGACAAAAATTCATTTGGGGTACCTGGAAGCATTACCATGTCACCTGCAATGTTATTAAAACTATAATTATTATCTAAGTTTGTATATTATTTTGTATATGACATATAGTCATTGTTCATATGTAATGCCTATTCTTTGTCGACGTTGTCGACAAAGATGCCTCCATATGGCGAGCTTAGAGTTGTTATTAGGCTTGGAGGGTTAAGAATTTTCAACCCCAAAACAGCCCATCTAATATGTCTTGAGTGAGTTAGCTGATCTTTAAGGACCTTATCAGGGTTCCAAAGTACCTAATGCACTAATCCCACTAAATTATGGTTTTAGAGGGACTCCAATTAATTTTTTGAAGGTCCAAAAATGGAGCAATAGTTTCAGATCTCGCGTCACACATGTCTAACTGTCTGTCTTCTTACCGAATATCACCTTAATATGAATATAATTTTGTCTGGGTGTACCTCATAAACACCCTGGTTAATATATTACTGGTATTCGTTTAGTATAGTTTCAATATATGAATTTCTACGTAGTAGGATATAGGATATTTATATTATTTTATTTTTATTTTGAACATCTTATCTATCAAAATTAGTCATGCGTATCCAAGTTGGGGACATAATCACCTCCTGCACATGGGATACCCCAGCCGTTTCGAACGCAAAACTTCGTCTCCTCCCAATTAACAATTCGAATATCTATGTGCCAGGTCTCACCGTTTTGTACCGAAAAACACCAAGCGGTTCCTTCTCTTTGGCTGACTTCCTTGAGACTGGCTTCCCTTACGAACTGGACTATACTCTCCGGGGAATCAGTGTCACAATTGGCATATGTCGTCCAGGGAGCATACCCTACCCAATAAGTATACTCTGTTCCGACTGAATCCTTATATTTTAGCCATTCATAGCCTCCATTGCACATATTCTTCTTAGGCCTGGCCTTTACGCTACTACCCGAACTTTTGACCTGCGATATCCACCTTGACAAGTCACCCACCAATGACATCCCCGGTGTCAATGTATGTTCTTTCAAGTTAGATCTTAGCGAGTTATATATTGTATGTATTATATGGCGAACTGAATCTGTGAAACAACGCCAGTAACCTCCATGACAAGGGGCTCTTTTAAAAATCTCGGTTGGTGGACTGCTGACCTTGTACATCGAGGCCAATCGATCAACTATCTTGGTAACCATGGCGTCAACGCTGTCTGCTCTTCTGACTAAATCGTCATCCTCGTGTTCCGAGTCTTGGTCCACAAGCAAAGCAGCCAGCTCTTCGATACCAGTATAATTAAGTTCGAAGAAATCTCGGTCTCTTCCCCTGAATAGAGTCACGTTGGCGTCCTCGTACTCTTCGAGTAACCTACGTGGTACCCCTTTTGCCAGGATCCCACAGCCCACTATTACTGTTTTGTTATTAGTCGCATTAACATATTTTGCTAAATTAGTGCTGTTATATGGCCCCACCGTCTCACTATATACAGCATCGATGGTTATGCAACAGACACAACTAATAAGGGCCAGTGAAAAAATCAATGCAATTGTTGGTTGCATTAAGAATTTTTTCATTTTTAAACTTTTCTCGAAAGAAGGAATTGTAATAAACTTAAGTAACCGCTCAATAATTAATATTTAGTCAAATAATTACTCACTAACAGGGCTCATAACATAGGACGATGCAGAAGTAAAGCTAGACTAATAACAATATAAAGCAATTAGCTAATATTATCTCTTATATGGACGTCGACAAGTGGAAATTTTGCACTTACCCTTTAGGTTAGAAAATTACCGACTTTAAACTTGACAACATCTAACCTCTAATTTCAGCAGCATTTCGACCCCTCAAAAGAGTTTCAGACTCTTTCTTTATCTACACTGCTTTCCAGGCATCGAGAATAAAACTTTTTTAAATTCTTGCATAATCAAGCCCAGTCCGGATTAGGAAATAAAGCTATAGCCTCGAAAAATGTTGTGTGCTACAAAAGTTGCACCATGTTGGGTTTGTGTTCGGCGTTATATAAACTACAATTGTATCGATGGTGGAAATATTCAGGAACAAGAATATACTTAAATACTGTAACTGTGGTAGTTTCTTCACAAGGGGTGTTTTTGAATAGAGACTCGACAGTGAACTGCATGAAGCAAGTGCCGATGATTCTCGACAGCTTTCTATGATATGGTTGCAACACAGGTGGACTTCGTATAATTGAAAAGTCTTTTGCGATCTGTAAAAGCAGGCCGCATCAAGCACCGATGCGGCATCTGCGGCATTTCTCTGTTTCCAAAAATGGCATTTATTTTTCATCTTTTACAACCTATACACTACCTCAGAATATCTATGACAAGGAGAAACAATATCGAATAATAGCATCAAAAACTGTAATATTTACGCATATCTGATGCATCTTTTTGCAATCATAAAGTAAAAGATTACACCGCTTATTCACATATTCCTATGATGGTATAGTTGTAAGCTGCAATTCCTTAATGTTACAAAAAACAAAAAACGTAAAACTTTTTGTCTGTACTATTTAAATACGTCATTAAAGCCAGGAAACAGATAATTACATACAATTATCTGTGACTCGAAAAAATCAGTTTTACATCCAGTAAAGATCAAATATTTCAACAATGAGCAAGATGGAGCCTTTAATGATAGATGATCAGGGCCCAACAGAAGATCTTCGATCAATCAGTGACCGTGATTGGTTGGTTATCAGACGTGTTTCTATAACAATTATATTAACACTAATTGTTGCTTATTTATTTTGTGTAGGTGCTGGTGTGTTTGAGAACCCATTTGCTATTTCTGAAAATGCCTTAGCGGTTGCTTCTTCAGCTGGAACAGCTACCATGGCTACTGCTGCGAAGAGGGTCAAGACTTTACAAAAGAGACCTGCAAAGATATTTTTTATTAGTGCCGGTGTGGTATTTTTTGCTATGATGGCGTGCACTGCTACTTATGTGAAGAGAGAAACTTGTAAAGATTTAGCTCTTGCCTCTATATATGGCGGTGGGGAAGTCTCAATGACTGCATGCCTTGGTACCTTTGTTGTGGGTTCACTTTTTTCAGCTGTCAGTGCAGGATTAGTAGCTTGCGTAGGAGAGAATGGTTGGCAATGGTATAAAGGATCTGGCGTTTCAAAGAGAAATTCTTTGGTTTATGGTGATTTAATAATCACTAATACCACTCTTATCGGTGGTACTGATTCAACTTAATGAATGTCGCAGTTATTACCCCTAACAATAATACAGGCAGTGTCTTTAAAAGGTGTACATTAACAAATACATTGGGGACATGGACACTGGCTGAAGAACATTATAATGTTACTGTACTAGAAGCTGGCGAGAATGTTAAACATGCAGCCAAGGAATATGAGGCAGGCAAGAATAATAAAAGTTATCAAAAGGACAAAAGGGAAGTGGGTAACATAGAGTACCTAAGGATTCAACGTAGCTGTTTGCTGAATTGTGGAAATCGAATTACCATAAAGATACTTCTGTGTCTGTTCTGGAAATTGGCGATTTTATGACATTTCAAGTTTAAATATTTACATCCTCTTACCTATCTTATACTGTTCAGAGCAAAATGTGTGTTGCGCTAAATGACACAGTACCCAAAAAGGTAAAGACTCTATTATTGTTGGGGAGGAATATGTATATATTTACGGTGGTGTTGATAATAAATGTGACAGTTTGCGATATTTGACATGGTTATTTCATAAACAAAAAGAAATATTTCACATCTGTACTCATACGTATCTTATAAATTGAGTTTTCTCTCTATATATCTCTGAGCGACTCTCATTTTTGGCTAGCTACTTATTTCTCTCTTACATATATTTGTATATACATTGCTCGTTAGGTTGTAATGTATCGATCTAAAAATATAAGGAAGTATTACACTTGATGGCATATCCAAAAATGAAATAGAGGAACATTCAACAAAGTGGTTCCTACTCTAAGGGTTACTCTTAATCAAATAAATGGTATGTTGGGTGAATTTTATTAAAAGCTACTTATTAGCATAGGCTTAAATTTTACCCAAAGGTTTTTGTAAAATATGTAAGCTTTCATTTTGAAAACTCTTCTGCAAGTTTATATATTAGGATACCTATTAGAAGAAGAGGTGTTACGATTAATATACAAGATATGTCTACTATTAACGATACACTTTTATAAGGAACACCTACATTGCCCAATATATACACTTATTCATACGTTACTTTTAAATATAAGGAGTCTAAGTAAATAGCGCCCTTGACATTATATTTTGTTAACATATTTCAGATTTTACTCTCCAAAACACTCATAACGTCTAGTGCTAGTTTAATATAACTTATCAGAGAGTATTAAAATGGTTTACGATATGTGCATGGGAAACTAACGCAAAAGACCCTGCAATCTTAAGCTCCTCCTAAACTTGTTTATTTATATAGGTACATATCTATTCCCTTTTGGATATTTCGTAATAAACTAACTATTAGAAGTAATCCCTCTTTCTGTTGTTATATTCTGGAAGTCTAAAGGCAAGAAAAAGGTATTGTTTCTACCTGTATATAAAAGTTTCAGATGTTAGAAATATTTCAGATGTCGGAAATAATGCCCACTCCTAAATATACAACAGATGGCAACTATATCTTTCATTTATTCTACGGTGGAAATACGTATGCAAATACAGAATGCTACTGAAAAGTTTCTACATATCACTTCATGAACCCTATTTATTCATCCAATAACGAGACAAGTTTACCTGATAATTACACTGTTTTGCCATTACAAATGTAATACCCAAAATGCTGTTTTTAGGAGTGTGACACACCTGGTTTCAAAGATAATTCCGTTTTAAATCCTTATATCACTTCAGAACCTCCATTGGAAGTGATATTCGGAAAACAATAGCTCCCCATGAAGAGCCTTATTTGATAATCTAAGATGTCACATATAACTTAAGTAAAGAAAGTTGAGTTTGATACCTTGAGCCTCGCGATACTTGCATTATAATATCATATCACGAAGAGTAAAATAACATCCCTATGTTATATCTTAGAATTTTCTTCCTCCACTGGGAGAGAAAATAAACTAGCCTATATATGTAGTTTATACCTATGTATAGCATCAAGATGTTCACAAATCATGGACCAAATGTGTCTCCTCTTCAGGTGCAGCTTTATCTCGACAGTAGAGACGCTGTTTCGAATATTTGGAAGCCACATATCAGACTTGTTATAGGGGACCCACATTATTAGATCATCATCAGGCTTTCGGCATCCAAACAATGAAAATAACCCACCCAGCTGATTGTTCTACCAGACTTTTTCGGAAGCTTTTATTGTTTTTAACGTATAAATATCAAAGTATAGAATGATTAAATAAAGAAAATAAATCAGTAAACTGTAACGTAGTCTCCTTACAATTATGATTCTAACCAGGATAGATCATAACTGTAAGGAGACTTGGAATAAAAAAAATAAAAAGAACTATACATATTTTATTTTATATATACATAGAAATAAGAAAATCGAAGAATAAAACCTGAAATTTCAATACGAGTACTGAATTTTGATAGAAAACAGAGAGACCACTGTTTATATATTCAAGTAACTATTCCTGACGAATAATTTTACAGTAATTACATGTAAAAGCGGTGCGCCGAGAATAACTAGAGATTCATAAGCTAGGAATCGTATTTATATAGACCTCCGTTTTAGGACTTAGGTGGAAAAATTTATTGCTGCACAACGACAATAGTTCTAACGTGATTAACAATCTTCAGAAGGTGGCGATTCTAATTTAATTGATTACTTTTTTTATACAAGAGGTCAGATCTTAAGAAACTGTAAAAACAGGTAACAGATTTATTAAAATTGTCATTTGTGGAGAGTATCTTATGTGTTTTGCCCATTATTTGTAATTATCATCTCTATGAAGTTCTGCATCGTAGGAACGTACGATAATCCGTTTTGCTAACATTATTATGTCATTGCAGCCGAAAAATACATGGACTCAGGATTACATGGTTGCATTATGATTATATGAATTGTCGATAATTACAAAGAAAAATATCAGTTATAGCAAAACCTAAACAGATATGACATGTTTAGTGTCGTTATACCGACGGTAACCTGAATAATCAGGTGAATATTTTCACTGACCGACGTTTGAAATTTAATTTTTCCTGATTTGGTCTACGCTAATAAATCATCCATAAAAGACATTATACAGGAAAGGAAAATTATAATGATAAACAGGTAAATATCTATCCATTAAATACGATAGTATATTCCAAAATAATCATAAATACTCAATAGAAACAGGAGCAATTCCAGGTAGTGTAAGTCTCTTGTTGGTCTCTACAGAATGTGAAATATTTTTATTGACACAGGTTGGACATCTCTAATTTGTGAGGGAACACTCTATTTAAAGTACCAGTGAGGGCCATAGTATACGATAACAATTACTTAATGTTTTTGTTTTTTCCTTATATTGTGAATAAAACTGTATAAATTGGTATATGAAATATCTATTTGAGGATAGATGACCCTTATAAATGGGTATGATAATGTCTCATTTGTTATTATAACTTTACAAAATTGTGGTCTTATAAATTTATAAATAGCTGTGATTCAATGTTGATACTGTATATTACACTCATAATGTAACTTCCTTTGTTTCATAAAGTAACAGAGTGAAAACATATACAGAATAATACCTGGAGAAACAATTCTCCCTACATGTGCTATTCAATTTTTATTTAAAAGATGAAAAACTCCGCAAGTAGCATTTTCTACCTAGTTAGTTGAAATACGAGGGCAGCCCTCGTATTTCAACTAACTAAATGGTAAAAATATATTTGGAGCCCCTGGAAGCAACGCCGTATCACCTGCCATTGAATAAATTTTCGGCTGCAACCTGTTCATCATTACGATATCCATCAATGCAACTGTAAGTATTGAAATATAATTCAGATTTAAAAGTAGAGTCAGTTCCATACCCGTTATCTGGTATATGAACGTTCTCCCAAGAATGCAAATGTTTGATTATTGTTAATAGGATATATGTAAATGAATACAATGCCAATAATAAATATGAAACTTTGTATATTCTGAATAGTCATGTGTAAAAAAGCGAAAAATCTTACGTTTCAACTCTCAAGACTTTCATATGAAGTACATAGGGTATTTCATCCTGTTCATCTCATCGTAACTTAATTTTCAGTTAGTCACATATTTTTTTTAAAATATATGCTTTTCTTTATCTTTCCCATTCAATGTTAATGTACCAATCTGAATTTGTAAGTGAATATCATACCCTGCCGTATATTAAAATGTGAAATGGAAGATTATGGAGAAAAAAGACTTTGTGTCTGTAATATTTGTATAACAGCTGATCTAGTGACAGGTCCGAAGTGTGCAAATGCCCATTCAAAACGACGTCCACAATTCAATTTGTATCACTTAAGAATATGTTTGAATGATTTTATATACACATATTCCTAAGTACTAAATCGTCTCCCAGAATACGAAAGAAATAGTTGATAAATTATGGTTGTTTATTGTCAATGGTACATTTTTACATATTTATTACATATTGTTTTCAAGTACAACTTGAATTAAGCTCTGTTTTTTTTAACCAATAATCATCTCATTTTTATCTTTTTAATAATATTATTGAAGGATACTTTCTATTTAAACTACTTATAAAAACATCACTAATTTCATCACATGTTAATCGCAATGTTTTCATCTTTGTTTAGCGTTCTTCTGCTAGGACGAGCTCTTTCCATTATATTAAATTATATTTGTGACACACGACAGTAAATCCCGGGAACTTCGCGAATGAGTCACAAATTGTTAGTACATACATTTTATAGTCCCGAGATGAAATCCATATTACGATTTAGATTTACCAAGGAAGAATTGTGGTCTGACTTAAGAAATTTCTGTAACATCATTGAAAGATTCGATCCTTTTTTTGAATATATTGTTTCACTATATATGAATTGACAGTGTATATAATTCAGTCCCTGAACTCCATTTAAATGAATGGAAGAAAGCTTTCCATATGTAATTAGTATCTTGTGTTTTGTTTCTAGAAAGATATTTAGGGCTATACATAGCTTCCGGGTACCAAAAGAAGGACTATATATACATATATAGAAGGACAATTTCTTGAGATAAACCTCGTTCAGTGAGTCCAAAGTCTAACCATCTTGTCTTTACCACCACTACAAACACGTTTCCCATCTACACTCCAATCTACTGTGTAAACTTCGTCCTTATGACCTGGAAGATCAACGGAAAGTTTACGGGTTCTAACGTCCCAAACCTTTAGTGTGGTATCCTTGGAACATGACACTAGTAGACGGCAATCTGAGGACCATGCAACCTGGTAGACACTAGCAACATGACCTCTAAAGGTGGCCAAAAATTTCCCGTCACGGCCATCCCACAATTTAATAGAATTATCAAAAGATGCAGATACAATATTTCTGCCATCGGGACTGAACGCAACGTGATTCACTAGTTTCTGATGACCAGTCATTCTGGCTAATGGTTTTGTGGTCTTTGTTGGGTTCCATAGGAACATCGTGAAATCATCACTGGCAGTAACCATCAATTCTTCAAGGGTACCGTTCTTCTTAACAACTTTCTCATAGTTAGCCAGAGCCTTTGCTTGAGCCTCTTGTGGAGTAGCTGGTTTCATACCAGTGTGATCAAATGCACCAATCCTTAGAGCATAATCACTTGATAGAGACAGGTGATTCACCCAATGTGCGTGATTCTTCAATATATTAATACATTTACCACCTTGCTTCATATCCCATACTCTAACTGTCTTGTCGTGAGAACCAGTGTATAATAGACCCTGACCACCCCATTTTACACAGGAAACAGAGTTCGAATGGCCACTTAGGGTGTACAAACATACTCTTCTTGTAGTATCCCAGATCTTGATGGTACCATCCTTTGATGCAGACGCTAACCGAGGTCTTTCGCCTGGTTTTACAAGATGTACAGGTTCCCAAGCTAACGACGTAATCCATTTCTGATGGCCTCTCAATGCATCACCTTCCGCTTTCCCATGTTGAGATTCCCAAAGTCTAATGGTGTTATCCATTGATCCTGTAGCGATCAGGTCACCGTCGGGACACCATGAAACACATAGCACCCAATTGGTATGGCCACTTAGAACTGCCATTGGTGTTTGAGTTTCACAATCCCAGATTCTGGCAGTGTTATCTCCAGCACCAGTGACAACTCTCGAACTTGTATGAGGAGCAAATGCTGAACATAGAATGGTAGAACCATGACCTGCAATGGCCGAAGAACTTCTAGTGACAGGTCTAACTTTGAAAACTGCCTTTGGTGTAAAAACTAAAGTCACAGTATCTTCTGAAGTCTTGTGTCCTGGTTTCAACAGAGATAAGTAAAGATTATCCACTATATCAACGGTTTGCTGAGGGTCAGATGCTTTCTTCCCCGGAACATCACAACTAAATGTGTATGGTACAGGATCGTCGGTATTACCATTTAACTGGTTTAACAACTCCTCTAATTGCTTTTCTGTTATTCCAGCTGGTACTCTTAAAGAATGGCCAACAGCCTCACCTGTGTCCAAGGCTTGGAATTTAATAGATATATTTGGTAAACCTTCTGGTACTAAACCAATATCACGAGGTTGTTGAGCCTCCTTCTTCTGTTTCTTTGTAGGTGGTGGTAATAGTGTAGACATTCTGCGTATGCTCGATTGGTCAGTTATTTGTTAATTGTTAAAAGGTAGTTTGACCTTATAATCTTCTTAAGTATCGGAGATTCTGAATTCCTTTGTATAGTTATCAAAGCTCATCTCATCGCAAGAAAATTTTTCGATAGAATTTTCAGGCGATATGAACGTCGCGAGGCGAGTGAAATTTTCACTGCGGCAGACCATACATATGAGATCACCAATCTATGTTCAAGGTCAACAAGAGGGTGAGTAAAGCATTTAAATGTCACATTTAGTAGTAATATTTTTCTATGTGACATTTTTGGTAGAGAGTGAGGATAATTTATGTTCTTCTGGGGGAAACGATCTTGAACTCCCCATCAACCATCGAAAAGGAACGTGTTTTTTATTTATAAACCTACAAAATACGATCATCTCTGTCTTCATTGAATGGAAGTTAATTAAATTCTTGAATGTTTTTTATTACATATGTGAATATATATATAAAAATGCCAAAGTTTGCAATGACTACATATGTATTGAATATTATTCTGTCTCTGTGGCAAGTTTTGTGTTCGGTTCCTTCTCAGGAGGAATAGAGAGTGTCGTCTGAGTATCTTCTCCTGGGCCAAATGCTAATTCTCTAATTTCGACTATCCAGGGGTCAACCAATAATTCAACCGCTGTAGCTCTCTTCGTTGGGTTCTGTACTAGGCATTTGCTTAAGAAAAGTCTACCAGATGCGGATACCTCATCTGGAGCAGGTTGTTGTGGGATATGTCCAGCTGCAACGTGATACATGATGGCCCATTCGTTGTCCAGATTAGACCAAGGTCTACGGCCCGTAATCATCTCGAGAACCACACAACCAAGTGACCAGACATCATCCGCACCAAATTTACCTTTGTTAGATGATCCTGTGATCGATTCAGGTGCCATATACATTGGTGTACCCATCATTTCCTGTAACCCTGTAGGGATCTCCTCGCGGGTATTCTCCTGACTTTTCTTACCGTTACCACTAGTCGTACTGTTACTACTATCGCTACTATTACTGATACTAAAACGACCCATCATGGTACCATTTCTTGCAATTTTCTTTGCAGCACCGAAATCAACATACTTAATAACACCATTGAAATCTAATAAAATATTTTCGGGTTTGATGTCACGGTGCACAACCCCAGATTGGTGTAGATATGCCAGACCTTCAAGTAATTCAAGAGTGTACACTTGGGTCACCATCTCATCTTCAATTCTCCCATGCTCTAGCAAGCTGGCTAAGGAACCACCTTCACAATATTCCATGAAAATGTTTACCTTCTCTCTGTGGACTTCAACGCCATAATACTGGACAATATTTGGATGGTTCAGCATTTCTAAAACCTCCATCTCTTCCTTTATAGAAGGGAATACTTTTTTCATTGCTTTACCGTCTTGGATTTTAATTTCTTTGACGGCTAAGATATCACCGTTATCAAGATTGATTGCAGAATATACTTTACCAAAAGTACCACCTCCAACAAAATCTCTTTTTTGCCATCTGATTGAAACATTCGACAAAGAGGATGCAAGTGATAATAAATATTTGTTTCCTTTGTCAGCATCATCCAGTACTTTCCCAATAAGTCTTGAGTTTGACGTTGTTGAGCTTTCTAATCTTTTGATGGCCTCTAAACGGAGCTCTGAGTTCAAGGCCAGCGTGGCATCGCCATCAAAGTCCTCATGTATGCTTATATTGATTCTTTGTTGTGGATTCATCTTTTCATCCTCAACAGCACGAGCGCCCATTACATCGAAATGTGAAATCAGTAATGACATACAAGCTGCAATTTTTTGTTTCAGAGTTATGAATTGATTCTCATCTAGAGCCATAATGTTATGACCACTAGTCATATGCATGGCAAATTCCATTGCTGGTACACACCATCTGAAAGTTTTCTGATCAGTTGGATCACATTCATCCGTAATAAAAGTTAACCACCGGATACTTAGTCTGACCATTAGTAAAATAATCACAGATTTCTTTTCAAAATTAGCAATATTAACCTTTAAAAAATATGTCCCAAAATCTCTGGTAAATAAAAATATATTGTTGAGTGACTCCAGATTTGTACAAATCTTTTTAAAAGTATTGTAAAATTTGGTATAATTATTCAGTACATTATAGGTAAATCTAAAGTAGGCTTTGTTGATCCTTTGTAAATTACTCTCTATCGAGCTAAAAGAGCATCTTCTCTCTATAAATGAAATTGTATCTTGCGCAATTTGTTGAAATTTATCTGTTTGATACTCTAATGCATAACTGGACCCTTGATTGAGCAATGTTAATTTATTCGTTTTAAATTTTAGTTTAAACATTTCATATTGTAAAGGATTCTCGCTCGACAGATTGTACATATCACCTTCCCATAGTATTGGATGAGCAGGACATAATACCAGAATATATCCTAGGGAATGTAATTTCAATTCTAATTCTAGCATCTCTTTTTCGACATCGTTATAGTCGTGAGTAATGGCTGTACTTGAATGAACACCAGATACGTTTGCATGATCCCAATCAGAGTCATTTTCATTCGTATTCTTGTTTGTAACGCCTCCTCTTGATCCACTCATACTTCCTATGATATCTTCATAACCATTATATTGTTGGTAGCTGTACTGTTGTTTGTGACTACGAGATGGGGAAAGTGCATACGTTTCAAAATAATCTTCAACATTATTATATGATGCTAGACTAGTATCCTTTTCTAATTTTGGTATTAAGTCACTACCAATATCTGAATTATTTAAAATCCTCAAAATTTGTTCATCCTGACAACCTAATAATTCTGGACTACCAATAAGGTAAACACCGTTCACTTCTAAACTTCCGCCGGTGTAAATCAGAAAATGACCTGATTCTTTCAGATTACTTAATAAATCTTTATAATTATCAATTTCATAATTAACTGAATTTTGGAAGGCTCTAGTTAACACATTAGTAAATCTGTTTAACTTCCTCTTCATAGAACCTAGATTCTCAAATACTTCAACTAGCCATTTCTCTGCCTCTGCAGAATTGTGGAATTTTGGAGGGTGGTCTTGCTGTTGTAATAGATAAGCATGTAGTTTATGCAATATCCTCAGAGTTAACTTATTAAATTCGTTGGCAATCAGTTTACCTGCTTTATCGATATATTGTCCAACATTCTTTAATTCGTCCCAATATTTTAAGAGAATTTCTGGTTCTCTAAATGTCCTTAACGACGCTTTCCTTTCATCTAATACCTTGGAATGTAGTAAGGTAAACAGATAACTTATAGCATCTAGGACTGTTTTATCGAAATCTGGGTCAATATCGATATTAATTGGCATACCATCGCAGTATTCTACTAATGCACACTTAATCTGTACAGAAAGCCTAATATAAGAAGAGAAATCCTCAATCATTTGATCTATCATCATCATTGTTGGATTCTTGAGCTTCTTTGCATAGGATAATCTGGTGTTTATTATTTCCTTTACAAGTTTCATGGGGAATAATAGTAACTTACTTAGCACCCTGCCATCAAATTGTATATTTACTATGTCTAATGTATCTTCGTACTGAATTAATACGGATTTACTTTTGGCTAACCAAGGTGCCAGCGGAGAAAATATCCTCTTTTCAAAGATATTCTCAATGTCTTTTTCTTTCATAACTTGTTCAGCAAACGACCTTGTCGAATGAGCATACAAAGAAGGAGTAGATGTGCTCATCGGAGTAGTTGCCTGTTTTATGACGTCTAGATCTTCGTTACCTACCCAATCTTTGAGTTGTTGTATCTTTATGTCACTATTTTGCTTTATATTTAGCCAACTATTGAAAACTGCAATCCTGTTAATAAAATTTTCGTTTCTTGTTATTGGTTTATCCTTCTTCATCTGTTTTAAACTGGGCCAATAATCGATAGTTCTGTAATATTTATTGGTAATTTGTTCTAGTGAATCTTGGATTTGTTTTGTATCATGCTCCATTTTTTCATCTATCCTGAATGTTAAAACCTCTTCAAATACTTCATCTGCAGAGTCTCTTAGTAATTTAACCGATTTCACTATTTCATCTTTACTCTTACCATTCATCCATCCTTTCAATTCATACCATATATCATCACTCACTTGGTTCTTCAGTGCAGGGTTTTTGATTTGTTCGGCTATTTTACTTTTTTCACTCATAACAATATCCCCTTTTAGAACATTCGATAACATTGTTTGCCAATTCATACGTTCAGAAATAATAGGAAAATTTGACAGTTCTTCCATATAGTTATGTTCAGTGTTGTGTATTGCATCCACAGAAGTGTCTTCAAGGGAAGTACTTCCTGCACTTGGCTCCTCGGGTCTCCTATCCAATAATTTTTGTTGTTTTATCAAGTATTTATATTCTGTTTTTTGTATTTTACCCAGTAATGATATCAGTTGTGTCTCTTCAGGGTTACTCTTTTTCACCCATTGTAACTGGTGAAACAAGTACCTGGGAGTGATTGAAACAATGTTTCCCTTGTTTGAAAGAGAATTAGAAGTAGAAAACGTCGTTCCAAAATCTATTTCGTCAGAACCTACCTTACCAGAAGAACTTCCATGTTCACTAAATGGATCATCTATATCTATATCAAAGTCATCATAATCGTCATTTAGTGATGAAAGCCCAATCTTTCGTGTATAATAGTCGTCACTGTGCAATGCATTATTCATTTTCTCCAGGTATAGTTTTTCATTCAATACATACTGTTTCTTAAATGCCCTCAAGTTCCCTGTACTTGTTTGTGCCAAAGTAACAGATCTTGTAGATGATGTAGAGGAAAGTGTCTCTTGAGGAGGGGTACCTGTCATTATATGGATAGTACCATTGGTATCATGCATGGAGGGTGATCTATGTACCGTATTAGGTACTTGAGGGGAATGTAACATCGTAGAAGATTTTTTAGTGTTCAAACTTGCCAAATCAGGTGGTAATACCAATGTTGGTGTGCTTGCATTAGACTCGGAGTTTGAACCATGAGCTAGAGTACGCTTTTGTGGTTGTATTTGGTCGCTAGTCTCAACTTTCATATTTACTTTTGCTGGGGAGGTTAGTTTATTAAGAAAATTTGTTGCATTCCCAGCAGAAGGTCGCCTACTAGAATGAGCTGATGAGTTATTCGACGAACTTTGGTATGAAAGTCCACTCTTTGACGATTTCCTCTTGCCCTGTTGTCTCATAAGGCTGACATTATTCAGCGCAGGTGCAATAAATTGGTTGATACTAAGTGCATTAGTAAGACTAGCTGAGTTTGGAACATTCAGAGCTTTAGATCCCGGACTTAAGGGTATTGGTGAGTCCTTCTGTGGCGCCAGCGACACGTTCGTATCGAGTTTAAAATGCTTATTCAGTTTATTCTGATGAGATGACGGTGAACTGTCGGATTTGTAGTTGAAATAATCAGGTTCGGGCATGCTAATTGCTAATGTAAGGAATGTATAAAGGTTAGTAACTACGCCTGTATGTCGACTTTAGGATCCTATGTAATTAGTTCGGAGTGGTGTTCCTGTGTATCTCCATTAAATGGAAGTCTATCTCTCAGATATGCTAACTTATCAGACAGTAAAGAAAAAACACAAAACCTATGAGGTTAAATATTGCAATATTTATATGTCAGCTATGCAATAAACTACTTTAGAATCTCAATTTTAGATGATTCCCTTATGTATAAACCGTTTTAAACGTGTCTATATGGGATGTCATCCATCTTCTATCAAAAATGGCAGTCTGTTAAAGGGTTCCGACATCAAATTTGACGGCGCGTATTCATGTAAAAGAACCCTAACATCTATCTAATACTCAGGGTAACGATCATCTGTTCTAGAGTCAATTTACTACAAGAACTCATCAATTTGATTGAAGTTATTGTATTACTTAGAAAAACTGTGATGTACTGTGAGTTTAGAAGTAAAGGTTTGGGTCTCTTTGGTTCCTTTTGAGCTGTTTTCATCCTGGTTATAATTTCAAGGGAATCTTCCAAAATATATGTTTCTGTTGGTTATGGCAACATTGGACAACACTGTTAATCCAGCAAACAAAAAAACAATAATGAGTTATAATAGTGATAGGAGGGGTGTATTATTAGTTTAAACGAGTTATGAGTAAAAATGCTTGACTTAAATTATGTAGTATATAGATATATGTATCGTACTATCCCCCTGTGATTCAGGGAAAGAATCAATCGACAAACGACTATTTATCCTGGCGCCTCATCTGCCGTTGTAGCAACAAATCATTATACGCACAGGATGTTGAGTGTAGGATTAACAACCATTGGAATATTTAGAACCAGGTGAATTTCAATACCATCAGCAATGGGGTGCACATTACCAGATGTACTATTATAACTACAGATCAATGCCACTTCCTATAGATCGACGTTGTATTGACACTTCATCTTCAACATTGATAGATGGCAAAGGTGGTGTTGCAACCTGGTTCTCTTCCATTAATATTTTCAAACAAACGTTAATTGTAGCAGCCACAAATATATCAAAGTAGCGATGGGCCAAATTGAAAGGAATAGTGGCGGATACTAAGTTCCAGTCTGATTAGAACCACGGTAATAGCATAATTTCCCCAAATGGTTGGCCCTACGAAATGTTATCTGATAAAACTGTTTTTCAAGATTCGGGTATAAATATCTTTCTAAGTTCCCCAACCTCTTGCGTACATTATCAGACCATTTCTTTGCAAAAGGTCATACAAATACGTCGCCTATCATTCATTTATAAAGTAGCCATTGTGAAATAAATATAAAATTGAAGATAAGTGTCACCAATGCAATACCTATCTTTCCGAAATTCGTCAAAAGTGTTGCTAATGTAAATCCTTGATCCCGGGACAGCTGCACAAGTAACTGTAATAGCGAAGCTACCCCACCAGTAACATCCAGGATAACACCCTGTATTGCAAACCCTTTCACAGATCTTCTATCATAATTATGTTTTACCTGTGGGATGTATTTAATTAAGGACATACTGATTTTCAGCAAGAACAAATTGTTGCAATAATTTAGTGTTCGGGAGTTGTCCCAACCTTGTGTCCTATTTTCAAGTATAAACTGACCACTTAGTATCATAAATATCACAATGGACACCCATAAGATTCTGTAATACCCTTGTTTCATCCTTCTTAGTTTGTTATCCCTATGAAAATTCCATAACTTGCGTCCAAACACAATTTGGGACAGTAGTACAAGATTCAGTAGAAACCCATGTGCACAATACCACATATCAAACTGCGTGACTTTGGGTCTTTCAACGTCGTTTGTAACAGAAATCCAGAAATATAGTTGCAGTGCCATCGATATCATTAGATATGTATACCCTGCTGTATTTAAAATGGCGAAATCCACAGATATGGCCTTTGTTGATCGTTGTCTGTAGTTGACTAATAACGGTGAGTACATCGACACCGACCATACCGATACGTATATAAGTCCCAACAAGTCATCCAGATTCACCATTTAGAGCGATTGATATTATGGATGTTTGCATTTTCTGGATAATGGTTTCCAATAACTTTATATTGTTAACGGTACTAATGACACGAATATATGAAGAAATAATCACGCTTCTTGGAATAAAAAGGGAGCAAGTTACATAATAACTTAAACATCTAACTGACAATAGCACAACTGAAAGAAAGGACCAGAACAACAGCCGACGCATATATTACCATCCGGCCATGAGTGATAGTGCTACAGGTAAGGATATCAAGCCTGTTGGAACTTTGGTATTCGACGAGAACAACAACATTCTACTTTGTAGTGGGATCGGGAAATCCAGAAAGCAGGATATAACACAACTAGCTACATTGCAAGTTGATGACGAAGGGTTCGCAACTGTAGAGGATAAACAAGCAGGGCTAAAGGTATCACTCTACAGAGATGAGGATATGACTACAGTTTTGTACTCAAAGGCCTAGGATAAAATATGAGCCCAACGATGATAAATGTAAATTATTATATAAGATACGTATATAGAAAAAAATAGGAATGATTATATTAACTAAATAAAGAACTACATGAACATCCCACCGCCGAACCCTGGCCCAGAGCCAGATCCAGAGCCAGATCCAAATCCTGGACCTGAACTAGGATTCATATCATCGTTTCTCTTACCAAATGGATCATCGTATCTTGATCCAGGGATCCAACCAGGTCCTCTTTGAGCTTGTTCATTTTTATCATCCTGCATATTGCTTTGGTTATTAGTTCCGAATGGATCGAACGTCATCCCACCACGAGCGTTAATATCATTGAAGTTGAATGGGTCCTTTTGTCCCATAGGGTATAAGTCGGGATTTCCATATCTAGCCGGATTTTTTTCAGGTAAATTTAGACCTGGGTACCTATCTATAGGCCCTTGTCTACCAATACCACCAACTTCGTACTCGTCATCAAATTTGGGCATATCATTTGGCTTGTTCTTAACACGAATGGGGTTCAAGACTGGTGGCTGTACCTCCAATTCATTCTGTATCTCAGATGGGTTTTCTTCCTTAGGAGGCTCTACCATAAATTTATTGTTATCCAATCTTTGGTATATCGTGGCACATGCTTTAGATGTATCATATTGTTTACAATACTCTTGAAAATCGAAAGGAAACTTTATTTCATCGCCGATTTGTAAATCAGAGCCATAATCGACAAGGAAGGACTCTGTACCGTTACTGTGGCCTTCAAGAAATATGTTCACCATATATCTCTGAGCAGGTGCAATTTCTGTTACGATAACCATGTATTTCTCACCTTCTCTTGTTATGGTTGCTGTGACCATATTGGACATACTGTTCTCCTTTGTAACAAAAACTGAGAAATCATCCACAACTAATGTTTTTAAGACATAACATAGTACCAACTGTACTTTATTGCTAACTTTTTTCATCTTTATACACTTAGTTCTTGTTTCCTGTATGATATCTTGTAATATATCCTATTGCTACCCTTTAGAATCAAATATACGTATATTTCCATTATGCGATGCCCTTTCGTAACGTCAAACGAAGCTTTTCATAATTTTTTGTTTTTTAGTTAAACTATACATGATATAATATTACATCCTATGTAAGATAAAAATCTATAATATACACAGATGGATTCACTTGAGTTCGCTGATTTCACCGTCCCTAGATACTAAGCCCATGACATTTAAGAATAAGTTTAGATCTTGATACAGTTTTTCACGTCTGTATACCAGATCGTCGACAGATTCGGTAGGTGTCTTAGCGGTTTCCTTTAGTTGTTCAGCCTCGTTGATCGTACCAAAGATTTGATCTCTGACCTCATCGATGATGATACGTTGGTGGTTCAACTTACCACTTAGGGCCAAAGAGGCAAGGAATTGCCATATGTAGGCCTGATCGTAATGTTGAGGAGTAGCACCTGGAGCCACATGACCCTTCAGGTGAACACTTGTAACTTTTTGTATATATTCCTTTGGAGGGAAGACTGCAGCTAGTTTGCTTTCAAGAGCAGTGAATAACTTGTCGTAGATTTCATTCCAAGTGGAAATCTCTGGTGAAGAAAGCATGTTGCTTCTGTTAGTGTCTTGTCTAATTAATGCAGCTCTAGAGATCAAAACAGTAATCAAATTTAGACCAATCTTTGAAGTAGAGATGAAGGAGACATTGTTGTTTTTGATTAAATGCAACAATAGACCCATGATTTCAATGAAGTTAGAACTGCTGGATAAGAAGGAAACAATGATCTTCAAGAACACAGTTTGAAATATGTCGATCTGCTTTAATTGAGACTCGGTTGGTTCTGGGTTGGTCTTGTAAGAACTAATAATAATAATATTCAAATGAGATAACTCGGAGAAGAATGTTTGTAGCAATTTTAATTTTTGATCTTTTTCCAAGAAGTTGAAGATTCTTGGCATGATCTTAACACCTTTATCAAAGGATAGCATGGAAATGAATGGACAAACCTCGTATAATTCATCGTTGATATGTAGAGCTTCCCATAATTTCTTATTGTCTATTGGTTTACCACTTCTCAAATTTGCCTCCAACTCAAGAACTTCTTCGTATACGGTTTCAATAAGAGATAAAACAAATTTTCTACCACCTGAACGGGATAATACTGAGCTTTGATCGACAGATGTGAAAGCGTAAGATGATCTTCTTCTGACTCTTGCAGTTTGACTCAATTCGACGTTACCTAGGGATTCAGTGACTTCCATTAGTGCATCTGGGTTTGTTGGCTTTGCTGCAGTAGCGTGTTCATCATTAACTAATAACGAATTCAAAAGGGTCTTGTTTGAAGTTGGAATTTGTAGTTGTCTACGCGGAGCTTTACTGTTCAGTGAAGAAGAGATTTTACCAAGGACACCATCACGGTTATCATTGGATTGACCAGCACTTGAAACACCTGCAGAGTTAGAACCTTCAGTGTTACTATTTTCTCTACTTTGTTCCTTTTCTTGTTTACGTAGTGGTCTCTCCTTTGCAACAGTGACGGCCTTTTCAACTTGACTTTGCATTCTTTGTAAAGCGATATCAGCACGCTTGTAACGACCACCTAATCTGTGACCTGAATGTTCCAAATAGGCTCTTGCAATTAGGCCCTTATTGGATTCACCTACGACACCACCACGTTGAATGATCTTGTAAACTTGGAAATAGAAATCCTCATTGTAAGGGTCCTCAGTGACAATTTGAGATAGTTGGTAACGAGTGATGAAGTCCTTGTCACGGGGAGTCATTAGACCTGAATGTTTCAAGATCTTTTCGACTTTAGCATGACGGACCTCCAATCTCTTCTGTTCCTCAGGAGTCAATGGTTCTCTGTTTCGAGGTTGTCTTTGATGAGGCTGTCTCGGATGACCCTTGAAGTTATCCCTTTCATTTGAGGATTGAGACAAACTGGAGGAGGAGCGATCCATCTGTGGCATAGCAACTTGAGAAGCAAGCTGTTGCTCATGTGGAGCTTGTTGCTCAGGAGCTTGTTGAACTGGTTGTTGCTGTTGCTGTTGCTGAGGAGGAAATTGCATCTGAGGAGCGACCATTTGTTGTTTCTGGGGTTGGTGAGGTTGTTGTGGTTGATGATGAGGAGGTGGAGCATTTCCAGGGTAGCCCATATAGTTAGGCTGGTTGAACACTGGACGCATCTGTTGGAATTGCTGGTGCTGTTGTTGCTGTTGAGGAGGAGGTGCCATCATTGGATAGTTCTGACCTGGTGGAGGCATGAAGTTACCTGGAGGCATTGGGTAGCCTTGCATGGCAGGGTACCCCTGGGGAGGAGGTGGAGGTGGATGCATCTGCATTTGGCGTTGGTTTCGTTCGATTTCCTCCATAGACAAGACACGAGGTTGTTCGGCTTGATCTCCAGTTGGGCCGGCAGTGTTTGCAGCGGCACCGCTGTTAGGGTTCCATAGGGATTCCATTGGTCTCAAATCAACAGCGGCATCCATATGAGCCTGTTGCGAGGTTCCAGATGCTGCAGCGGCCACGTAGGATCTGTGGGGGACAGGAGCAGCAGGTGGTTGACCCACTTGCGGTTGTTGTTGTTGCTGTTGGGAGTGGCCGAAATCGAAGTTGTTACCTAGTTCGACGTTGTTCCCGAAGGTCTCGTCATTCAAGAAATCTTCATCCTCAGCTTGGTAGTCGCCGTACCCTTTGTAAGTGTCTTCAAAATCCAATGGTTGCTGAGAGCGTTGCTGTTGATGCTGAGAGCGTTGCTGTTGTTGATGTTGATGTTGTTGCGGATGAGACTGCTGCTGTGGAGCAGTCGGATCGAATCCAAAAAACGACATTCTTCAAAATAAAAAAGTATACGTCCTAACGTTTAGCAAGTTTGGTTTACTCCTGTGAGAGTGGTTAAATCGAGTCTATTACCATTCGTATAGCAACCTTTTATGGGGGTATGTATGAGGGAACCAACGTTCCTCAGAATTCAATAGCTCTCAGTTCCTTCCAGTCCCTTCGTTGTTCAGACTGAAACTTTCAGTCGAAACTGAAAAATTCGTGGAGTCGCCGCCGTCTTGGGAGGTGAGAAAAAAAAGCCCTCCTCGTGAGAAGTGATGGTACACAAGAGGAGGGTAACACAAATACCCTACTATATAGCCCTAACCAAACCCTAATATAGGGCTTTGTGTAAATTTGCAACCGGACATTAATATCCGGGATGCTGCCCTCTGCAGCTGGTTCTGTGCGTTCTCGGAGTGTACATTTCTTATCCTGCTCGCCGCATATAGAAAAGTCAAATCGATGAGTTTCACTGAAATAAAGGAATTTGGAAGTTATATAAGCAGCCACTTGCAGTCCCTGGATATTGCTGGATTGAAGGGGAGGTTCGGTAGATGAAAAAGAAGATATATCTCTAAATGCATACAGGTGGATAGTATTTCGAGAAGGAATGAATAATGCACAGGCGTTTATACACGTGAGGCCCGCTGGCGGCGGTGTTGCCGGAGCAGGTTTGGGAAAGTCGCTTCTTAGGGTCCCGTTATCGAAGTTTGCTGGGCTGATAGGTCATAGCTCGAGCCGGGTATCTCGGAGGATCAACCAGGACACTTATTCGATGTCGTTGGTGAGAAACTCGGTGTTTTCTAGGGAACCCTTGCTGAATATGTCGGTGTTCGATGGTCATGGTGTTGCTGCAAGCAATGTGTCTTCGAAACTGGCTCATAACTTACATAATTGGCTGGGTCAAGAGGAACCGAGGGGTTCTCTTGACTCACATATTCTGTTTCGACTGTTACGGAGGTATAGAGATCTGTTTGGTGGTTCGTACTGGCAGTCGCTGTATGCGGACAGGGAAAAGTACTACGATCGGTTTATTCGCCATTGTAATACAAAACAGGAACAAGTGCTGTTTGATCAGAGTAACCAGGGTACTCGGATGTTGTTTGACCACTCGGGGAATCTGATCGATAAGAACTCGTTGCTGAATGAACAACAACGGCTCAAGATCATTAATACTTTTTTACAATTCGACCTGGAGCAATGTTGTGGGGTGAACCCAGAACAAGCCTCCTTGGATCTTAGCTCATGGAGTGATAAATTTCCTGGGGGGTCCACTGCATCTTCAATTATGCTGTCAAGATTCGACCCTCTTGGTAGCACAATACCAGCATCTCTATCCAATGATCAGACGTATTTTGTCTCTCCAACGGGACTATTGAAATTGATCGTCACTCAAGTAGGAGACTCGAAGATCCTGATATGTGACTCCAATGGGGTTGCACATAGCTTGTCAAGACCTCACCATCCGGATCAAAACAGGGAACATCAGAGACTTCACACCCAAAATTCACAATTGATCTCTAGGGATTCCTTTGGTGAAGAACGATTCTTAAACAATTTTGCCAATACAAGATCCTTCGGAGACGTCATAGGTAAAAGAGATGGCATCTCTGCAGAACCAGACATCTATTCGTATCTGATTGGGAATACTTCTCAATTACCGCACAGTGAAAAGGCGAAATTACAATTTGGTGGTGACGAATGTTTCATAGTCATGGTCACTGATGGTGTCTCTGACTGGCTTTCCGACCAAGAGTTGGTCGATCTGATCACCTCCACAGTCAACCTCAGGGGTCTAAAGCATGCAACACCTCAGTTTGTGGCAGATGAAGTTATCAAGTTTATAGTTAGTGTCGCTGATAGGCATGCCGACAACGCTACTTGTTTGGTTTTAAGATTATCCAACTGGGGTAATTGGCCCACATACGACAGAACGGGGGCCTCAAGAGAACAGAAATTGCTCAATGCAATATAGCTAAATACTACATCTATATTCTTCCTTATGTATCATTATAAATACCTTTCATGTGAATGTTGTTTTGCGTCTTTTTGTAAGCATCGATAGTTGCGCTGTGATTAGATACATACTTTATTTTTTTATTGCCTACATTTATGAATCAGTTGAAAAACTTTTAGTATGGGAGGACACCTATATACAAAGAACAAGACAAAAGACTACCAAGTAGTAACATAATACTACAAAACACCGCACACTTATAAAGCTGAGCAATTACACATTAAGTTAATTTATAGGCGAATATTAACGGATCTACGATTATGTCACCCAGCAAGTACATATTGACCCCTCCAGAAGACCTTCATCCATATATTGCCAGGGATTCTGATACTAATGAGGATGAAATCGATTATGGAATGGAAAGACGTCATTTTGTACCTGAAACTAACGAATCAGAACAATTCGACCCTGTGTATCCAGATTTTGATCGCTGGAAGCATAGGGCTGAAGAGGATCAAATATTCATGAATTTTGTTTCAAAGGGTTACTACACAACATCGAAGGTAAACTTCGAGAGTATATCTGCCAGATCATCCTTACATGAATCCCTACCAAAAATATCAGATCAACTGGGAGTCCAGTTTTCTAAAATATTGCAAATTAGAGAAGGTGAGATTAATAGGATTCCGGCCACCGTACCTACACCGAACGATTCATCAAACGAACAAACTTTCACGACAAACAAGATATATGACCTGGCTGGTCCAGGGTTTGCACTTCCAACAAGAGTCACCTTAACTGATAACAGGAAAGAATCTTGGTTATATGACTTAAGCAAGCCATACGTATCTTTACACAACGTATCCAAATATATTCCTCACGGTTTAAAAAGGAAAAGAGTCATTGAACAATGTTATAAAAAACAAATACCTTTGAAGAGGGCCATGTGGTTGATAAAATGTTGTTTTCTAATTGAAATTCAACAGTCAAAGTCCAAGCATTCTAGTGGAGCTATGAGATCACATACGCCTCCTGCAATAAGATCACCATCAAATATTAATATCAATATCGAAACTCCCATGACACATATATTGAAAGAATGGACAGAAAGCTTTATTAATTTATTAGAAAAATTAATCTTTGAGATGAGCCAGTACTATAATGATGCAGACAAATTAAAAATGTGGAAAGTTGAAATTTCGTATTTCTTGAAGCTATTAGGGAATTGTTACTCGGTGATTTTATTAGATAGGAATATATTTCACCGTTGGCTCATTGAGTTTGTTTCTAAAGTGGAAAACTTTGAATTCTTACCGATAACATTACATATATTGATGACATTCTGGGATAATATAACCAAGACTAATGAACACCCAAATCAATTGAAATGTAGTAACTCCTCAAATTTTTTGTTATCAAAAATTACTGATTTACTGTTACATAAATATTACGTTGTTTCCAATGCAAAATCTATGATTAATGATGAAAGATACATCATTAATGATATTAAGAAAAATAACAAATTGAAAGATTCCATTTTAGTTATTTTGACTACTATGATTATCAAACTATTTAAAGAACAATCCCTCGAAGTGTTTTTATTTCCACCATCCAGCTGGGAACTCTACAAGCCATGTCTTTATGAAATTATCAACAAGACACAATTAATTGAAAACGCCGATGAAATTCGGAAAATTCTTGAGTTGATCAGTTATAGAAATGAAACTTTAAAGAATACAACTTTAATAACTGAAGAAAAAATAAATTCAAACGATGAAAATGCTTCTGACCATAAGGAGTATTATTTCAAATGCTCACAAGTCCAACCGGATATTAAAGTAATTAAGATTTCACATATTGATACCAAGTTTACAACTTTATTGGATGATAACTCTACTGAATTTGATTGGACACAGTACATTGAGCACGATCCGCTAAATAAATCACAGATCATTCAGTTATTACTTTGGTCTATTCACCCCTCACGTTTATCTCATTATGAGTCTAACCAATTAGTTGCAAAATTACTTTTACTTCAAATAAATTCATTCGAAGGGTTCCCTGAGTACGAAATCGAGGATACTCTATGGTCATTGATTTTCCAAATAGCTAAATTAGATTCTCAAAACCTAGGAAATATGATTCATTTGGAATCACTATATTTACTTCTGAATATTTTAATCACTTATGGCATTATCAAAGTTTCCACATACGTCAGAAAATTAATTAGTTCTGGTATCATGTATTTACAGGATTCTAATGATAAATTCTTCCATGTTGTTTTGTTAATAAATCTGAAGATATCTCCGCTAATGAAAACTCAGTACAATATGGTTTTAAGAAATGTAATGGAATTTGACCCTTATTATTTTGAGAACTATAGTTTTGATAAATTAGCCATTAAAATTGATGACATTAAGGAAAAAATATTAGGAACTTCATTTGATGATGGTCAAGCAATTAATATGATCAACTTTGACGAGATAAATTTGCCACTTGGAGGTAAAATTATGCTAGCCGAATGGTATTTAAACCATATTTGTTCTAGTGTTGCATTACGACCTATCAATAGGGAAACTTTATTTAATAATTTTAAATTCTTCTGTTTGAATCTCAAAGTTTCGCATCATTTCTATAAATGGTGCGAGTTCATTGTTTACCATCAATTATTGAACGATATAGAAACCATGGCATTACTAATTGATATACTAGTTAGTTTCCAAAAATTGTTTTCTCAATATATTAACGATCATGCCCTTTTTATGAAAACATTCTTGTTTATATATACAAAAATTTTAAGGGAAACAGACAGTGTCAATTTCCAAATTGTCTCGTTCATGCCATTTTGGAAATTCTTTATGAAAACTTTCCCTATGGCGCTCACTATTGATACAGATTTAAGGAATGATCTATCTGCCATGTATGAAGAAGACAAAACAAAACGTTTAGCACTAGAGCAGAGTAAAGAACTAGTACAACAATTGTTCGATGTACTTTCCCAGAATAAATCATCCATGAAGAATTTGAATTTTGCAGAATTGTTTCAAAGTAATATCAAATGTTTACTGTCTTACAAAGTACAACGTTCGTTAGAAGATTTTAAGAGAGCCAAATCTGTTTTAACTTTATTGAAGTCATCTTCCTTGCATGATTACAACAAGTTTATGTCTATTTTCCTAAAGAGGAAAAATTACGGAGACACAGATCTAATCTGCTTGATATCAAATAAACTGTTGTCACTTGAACAGATAAAGACAACACTTGGTGGTGCTTGGATAATGAAGTTTTTGGTATACTTGGAAGAAAAAGCAGGTGAATTATTTTCTGAAGAACACACCCATTTTATCAATACAATTTATTATGAACACTATATGATTGAGTACGTGAGGACCAATTTCAAAACCGTTTTAACACTTTGCGATTTGAAGGATGATAGCCAATACAAATTATTCACCAGGATGCTTACCAAATATGGGCCATCGTCTAAATTTGCAGAAGTTTCCGCAGAAGTGATCATTCATTTGTTAAATGACCACCCAGAAGATGGTCATCGTATTTTAGGCGATCTACTTCAATACAAAGGAACCATAAAGGAGAGTTCACCAGTGAACGATTCTAACGAATTAAATATTACAGAAAGTGAGGATGACATATCAATGACTTCAGAAACGGATTATGAGGTTTTCGGTCTTTTAGATTTTACCAATTTATGGATTTTTCAAGCTTATACACTTCATAATATAGACCAAATTAAAATGCAGGACAATCACAGCGACGTATTAGGGAAATTTATATTCGATATTATTGAACTTACACAGTACGACGCGCTGTGCTCTAGAATATTTGATAGGGTCAGCGATATTAAAATTACAGCAGATATAATCCAAATATTTGAAAAGAGTCTATTTGATCATATCCTGGCAAATGTTGAAATTTCTAGAAATTATTTGGTGATAGTTATTGAGTCTATCATTGCGTTATCGAAAAAAATTACGGAAGTAACTTCTACCACTTTGACAATGTCTGATGGATCGATACAACTACTACTGTCCATCATCTCTTTTTTCAATAATTTGGATAATGTTGCGCTTAGAGAAAAGGAATCAGTAATGGATGTTGTCATGAAGATATTCACAATACACCAGGCCTACATTTTAAAATATATTGTAGAACGTCTAAAGGGTAAATTGACTGCTAATGGAATGAAAACTCTTATCAATGACATGTTGTGTCTATTTCAAAAATTATCCTTTAGTCTGCGGTTGAAACTTATTCTATACGAGATTTTATCATCATTGAAATCTTATAGCATATATATGGCCACATCGGATGGAGAACAGGATTCTGCAGAGAATTTTGATGTTTCTACTCCATTAGCGTCACGAAACAGCAGTACTAATCTATATTTTTCCTGTAAGTCTCAAACATTTGATATTCCAAAGGAATTGTTGAAGCTACCACCGTTGCAAGTTTCATCATTCACAAGTATGCCAACTGAGTCCAAGACTAATGTCACTACATCTTTAGGGGTAACGCCTATGAATAAAGAACGTGAATCTAGCAAAGGTGAAGTATATAACGAAGAAGAAAAAGAACGGTGGTTCATCTATGACAAGAAAACTCGCGCGTACATAACTAAGCTCAAGACACAGGCTTATTACAACATCAACAGCTACCAAACAGATCAAGACCCAATAAAATCCATTAATAACGCATGCTACAACCTCTCCTTGTTTGATGCAAGCTTTGAAAACAAAAATCCTGCTTAATCGCAGTTCTATAGAACAGGTTATATATACTTCTAATAGATATTTGAACCATATTATTATCACTGTGTACGTCACGTGGCAAACTATGTAACTGTCGTTGACAACGCCGCACTTAAAAACAACAACAAGAACTACAAGAACAACAATTAAAGAAATTAGTTAATAAAAGAAGAGGAATCATCACACAAAGAGTCTGCTATAAAACGTAGGAAAAGATGAGTAAAGAGCATGAATATGTACGAGAGTTCCAAGGGAAAGCAGTAGAAGAAAACGAGGACCTACGGGCGTTATTGCAACAGAAGAAGTACTTAGAACGTAAATTGATAGAGAAGCAGGAATTTGAAACAAAGTTACAGCAACTCTACGATCAGGTAGACGGGACAAAGAATTATCAAGAGCTTTTAAACGGCCTTTCAAATTGTAGGATATTACTTTCAGAGATTTTTACCAGAGAAGGGCAGGCAAAGAGGCATCCTGTACAAAGCGACCAAATAGAACTAGATTGGTCTAAATACGGACTTGATCTTGCAGCATATGTGACTGAACACGAACAATTACTTAAGTCATACGAACAAGGGATGCTCGACTGATTGAACACTATTTTTTCGTTAGTTTCTGTCTTCATGCATTATCTCATATATTCAGCATTCTTCATAAATGTTATATAAATCTAAACACATCAATATTTTTATCAAAAAAAAAGAATTTAAGCAACTGTTCGTTACTAATCAAGAAACAAAAACCACAAGACAGAGAGAAACAAGGAAAAATAAACATGTTTACTAGAACTAGATTTGTCACGCATCGTTTGTCCCACGTTGCAGGACGTAAATTTGGGTCAAGTTACTCTCAAATCCCAAAGCTGAGTTCACTGCAAGAGTTCCAAGAACAAATCTTGGATTCCAAGAACGGTGTTAAAGTAATCGACTTCTATGCAACTTGGTGTGGACCTTGCAAAGCTATGACCCCTCACATCTCTAAAATGATGCAAGAATATCCTAGTGTGGATTTCTACAAAGTGGATGTTGATCAAGCTATGGATGTGGCCCGGAGCTGTGATATCAGTGCCATGCCCACTTTCATGCTAGTCAAGGACGGTAGAATCACTTCAAAGGTGGTTGGTGCTAACCCTGCGGCTTTAGAGAACGGGATTAAGGATACTCTGTGATTTACCCAACGACTGTCCCTACTTCTTTATACATATACGTCTATATTCGTTTACATGGAGTTAAAACATAAAAAATAATATGTTTACTGGTTTTATTATATATATATATATCATATCATATCAGCGAATAAAATTATATAACTCTAGTTCTTTTCAATCAGTTTCCATATTCTGGCCTTACAATCACCCGAGCCAGTGGCAAATATCTTACATTTGTCAGGAAATACAGATTCATTTGCAATGGATACTGAAATCACAGAGTTGTTATGACCCTGTAACATTAGTAAAGGATCTGTTGTTTGCATATCCCAAAATATAACCCCACGATCCTTTGAACCAGACAGTATATATTTGTCACTATCCATTGTTCCTACCGATAATACGAAATCCTTGTGGCCAACATATGTAGCCATACAAGTACCATTCCTCTTGGCCCCAGTTTGGTTTGAATCAGTTAAGTCCCATAATTTTACTGTCTTATCAAGTGACCCCGATACAATACCAGTACCGTTTTTTGTGAACATAATACTGTATACAGAATCCTTATGACCGTTCCCGTGCTCATTTTCAGAGTCAAGTCTCTCCAGTAGGAATCCAGTCTGTGAATCCCATACTCTAACAGAATGGTCCAGAGATCCTGCTGCAATATACTTACCATCATCTGGCGAGACGGCCACTGTGGTAACACCGTCTTCAATGGATAAAGTCAATGAACATTCACCTGTTGTCAAGTCCCAGATACGAACAGTACGGTCCCCAGATCCTGATAAAAGTTTGTCACCATGAGGGAAATAATCTAGTGAATAAATATCTTGTTCATGGCCCCGTAGTACAGTGACGATCTCCTGACGTTCAATATCCCATATTCTAATCAATTTGTCTTCTGCCCCTGTTGCCAGAAATTTCCCATCTGGTGAGAAACACACAGATCGAATATACAGATCGGTTGAACCACCATCAGTCTCATGATTGTCCTCCTGTGGATCGTCTGTCTTCGTTGTAGAGTCGTCTGTTAATCTCGCTGTGAGGTTCCCGGTGGCCACTTCATATACTTGTGTAGTTCGATTACATCCTGTAGCAAGGTACTTACCATCGTTGCTAAATCTTATGCAACATACCACTGAGGAGTGATCAAGGGATTTATGTAGCTCTATGTCGAGAGTCTTGGGTAATTCTGGGTTGTGTAATAAGTAATAATCGTCAGTTTGTTTTTTAAATTCTGGAAGTATTTTTGTTGGATCCAAATCAGTTAAAAAGGGAGGGAAAGGTTTAGAATTACTTGCACGTTCCACCAAAGGGATAATCTGTTTTTTAGTATTTTCGTCATTATTACTATCAACCTTATTTTCATTCAAGGGTTGCTGTTTTTCCACGATTGGTTCTGGTAATGTACCATTAGTTATTGAGTTTTGACTTGGAGCCACTTTAATTGTGGGTGCAGACACTGTAGTATCAGTGGGTGCAATTTCTTTGGGAATCACAGGCGGTATTAACAAAGTCTGCTTCTCCCTCATTTGTAGTTCCATTGTTAAATCAGAGATCACGCGATCCTTCTGTTCTGCCACTACTCTCAATTGTTCGAGTTCATCTTTGTACGAATCCTGTAATTTCCTATGAGCCACTTCCAGGTCGTAAACTGTGGCCCTGATTTGTTGTAACTCTACTAATTGTTGATTGATCTCGAAATCATGAGTCTTTTGATTTTGCAAACGGTGAGTGGCAACCTCCTGTGTCACTTGCGAAAACTCATGTCTAATTGCCTCCAGCAATTCGTCAATTTTACCATGTTGTATACTGCTCATCTTGTCAAGTTGTATATGATGTGATCAAATTCCTTGAAATCGACTGGTTATTCTTTTCTTCCCTTTAAATTGGAATGTTTCTGGTAGTTATATTAACTGGGAAGTTCCTAATTGGCAGTCGTTATTTTTTATAGTGAGGAAAATCACGTAGCGAGGCGATCCTCCATATTCCCCCATCTATTCTTTCCTCATCGACTTTGATCAACAAAACTGTTTCCATCGCAAAGGATTAAATGGGTCCACCAACCAGATTATTACGGCATCCTTTTGTAAAAGCTTGCTCTACAGTCACCAACTTACATCTCTCTGTAAGATAAATCTATATTTAAAAACGTTTTAAGTTGGTTAAAATAGTCATTCCGATACTGGTAAAGAGGTTTCATCAACCGTGACAAGAAGGACAATCATAATACAACCACCAAGATGGATGCATTGGTTGAATATAAGAAATCTGTGCAGAAACAATTAGATAGCAACGAGTTGCTTGTGGCAAAACTAGTCCATGAAAATACAGTGTTGACACAACAATTGGAAGGTAAGACTCAGCAATTGGAACTTCTACAGGATGAATTGAAGAAACTGAAGGATACACGTGTATCGTTACAAAAGGAGTTGGATACACATCAGGACGAAGTGGAGGTGCTCAGGGACCTTTTTGAGCACCTATGTGGGGTGCGTGTGCATAAATCATACGAGGACGATACAGGTCTATGGTTTGATGCCTCCCAAGGTACTCGTAGTGGGATCATGGATTACAAGTTAGGCTTTGTGAAAGGTGAGGCAGAAGAAACAGAAGTTGTATATGTACCGTTGTTGAAACAGCGGTCTGCACAAGAACTCGCAGTGTTGCAACAGCAGTTGCCTTCGTACCTGTTCGATACGTTAAGTTTCCCGCTCAAATCATTAAACCAGTTCTATAATAAAGTAGCTAAATGTCTTAATAAGAAAAGTAAATAGTGATATTATATATATGGAAGTGTATATGCAAATAACTAAATATTGTTATAAAGATGATGTCTCACGCTTGGGCGGATCATTTCTTGGCCAGACGACCGTCCTCATCGACTACCAAAGACTTCAGGAACTTCTTCTTGGCGTCTTTATCCTTCAAGGTCTTCAAAATAGCGTATAGACTGTCACCTTTCTTCATCGAGACATTGTTACTGGATTTTTTGCTCTCTTTCTTTTCAATCTTCTTCTTCTCAGTAACCACAGGCTTCTCAGCAACCGCAGGCTTTTCTACTTTCCCTTTGGGTTTCCCCTTCTTGTTTCCACCTTTATACAACGCTTTCTGATACTTCTCATCCTCACTGATGCACGATATATGTTGCTTATAGCTTACACCATCCTCGAACGTCTTGGAACAGTCGATACATGTATAGTAAGCATTAGGACAGCGGTAATAGTGCTTTTCAGTATTTTTCTTTGGCACAGTAGCATTGCATACCTCACAGTTGAATGTAACCATCTCTCACGAATCTCGAATACCGGTCTTCTATCCTAATCTAGTCCTACAACTCATGTCGTGTCTACCTATTAGCAGCTCATCGCAGTGAAAATTTTCTTAAATAAGCAAAAAAAGTTGAAATTTCGTCGTTTCCGTCGCTGAGAGCTGTCCGCTCTACTTCCAAACCAAAGACAAGGCAACAACTGGCAACAAGAGGCAAGATATACAAGAGGCAAGTGCCTTGCAGACTGATACATGTCTGTATGTGGCTATATATACGTATATATACGTATATTTGTGTTGTTATGAGCTGGTCGTTATTTTCTTGTATTGATCAGGTTCATGTCGCATCAGTTTCTTGCAAAGAAGTGGGAGGGGAGACCAGGAGGAGGGATCCTGGTTGCTTGTGAACCCATGCCAATACGAAGCTACGTCATAGAGACATACACTGATATCTGGATTTTCAAATGTTTCTAATGAGGGTGTGGGTGTTGCGGTTGGTGGACCTACGCCGTCAGATTCTCAGTAGTTACTTTCTTTCTCATGTACATTCCTCCTCACTGAAACAAACCGGTTATAGGTTTTCTCCCACCATACCAGAAGAAAGAGAGGGGGTCACTCGTTCCCGGTTTGTTTCTTGATTTCTGTTTCGGTACATGTCCCCCTCGTTTAGGACATGCAGGTTTCAGATATCAACAGGTCGCCGTTTCGGCCAGTGGTGCGGCATTGTCTCTGGATCTCAAGCCATTTTCAGATCTAACGAGATCTCGCAAAAAGTAATGATGACCAATATGAAAGGATTGTACGATGCAGAAAATGGTGAAAAAGTTTTCTTTCTTGGTAAATTGGGTTTGAATTAAGTAGAAGATGCTAACCATTCTGGGCATATTTCCTTAGAGGAAGGCAACCTGTTTAATTATAGTATGATGTGGACAGTTGCCCCGATTAGGAAACCCGATTGCTTTTCAACAACAAAAACTTGCTTCCAATGGTCGTGAGTTGTCAAAGGTATAAATAGACACCTGGCACAGGAACCAAAAAAATAAAAAATCTGGTATCTCTTTCCTATGATTTTTCTTTCTTGCTTCTAAATATATTTTCTTACCGTTTTCTTGCTTCTAAATATTACTACTACTACAACAACAACGTTTCACATAAAACCATCTACATTCGCTATGAAGTTCCAAGCCGCTATTGCCCTAATCGCTGTCGCCTCTATGGCCAACGCCCTATCTGACGCTCAAACAGCTGAATTGAACGCCATTCTTTCTGATGTCCAAAACCATTTGTCGGACTACATGGGTCTAGCCACATCCGGCCAAATCTCTTTATCTGACTTGCCAGCCGGTGTCCTAAACCTAGGTATGGCTATTGCCCAAGGTAAGGAAACTAGTGCTCTATACAACAGTGTCGACATGGACGCTGTCCAAACCTGGTTACCAGCTTTACCATGGTACTCTACCAGATTATCCTCTGAAATCGACGTTGCTTTGTACACCATCACTCACACTTCTGCTGCTGCTCAAACCTCTGAGACTACATCAGCTAAGACTTCTGCTGCTACTACCCCAGCTACTTCAGAAGCTTCTTCCGCTGCTGTCGCTGCCTCCTCTGCCGCCGTTGCTGCTTCTTCCTCTGCTGCTGCCGGTACTGCTTCTGTTACTGCTGCTGCTTCTTCTGCTGCCGTCGCTGCTTCTTCCTCCGCCATTGCTGCCGTTGAATCCGAATCTGTTGTCTCCTCTGCTGTTTCCAACAATTCTACTTCCGCTGCTACCAGCTCTGCGATTGTTGGCGGTAACACCACCATTACTGCTACTTCCACCAGAATGCACACCAGTACCATCTGTACCGAAAACTGTCCAATCACCACTTCCACCGGTGCTTCTGCTTTCCAAAACAGCACTACCACTATCACTGAATGTGATGAAGTCTGTCACTCCTCCAAGTCTGCTGCCATGACCACCATCTCCTCTTTGACCACTGTCACCTCTACTCACTGTGACGAAGTATGTCACTCTTCCAAGTCTGCTGCTGCTTCTGCCGGTGCCAACGGTAAGACCACTGTCACTCAAGTTGCTACCATTTCTGCTGCTTCCACTGCTCAAGGTGTCCATGTCCAAACCGAAAACAACGCCGCTAAGAAGGTTGCTGGTCTAACTGCTGCTGTTCTAGGTGCTGTTGCCCTATTGTTGTAATCCAACTACTAGACGTCGTCTGACTTTATTCTTTTTCAGTTCTTTGGGTGGCTCACACTTATATACATCTTCTAAATAGTTGATCCCCCTCATATATACTTATGTATCATTCATACCCTTTTTAATAATTTAGTAATTAACGTTTAATCAAAGGTATTTGGTTTAAGTAGTGATGTTGAACCTGTTTCAACCGGTTCTTAAGAATATCAGATCATCGACGTTTGACCAATCAGGTGGGAGTATTCAGCTCATCTCTAATTATTCTTTTTTTCACTAAGCGAAACCGTTATTTGTATATAAATATCGAGAAACGTGGTAATTACAAACATTTACAACCATGTTGACAGAGCATATAAAAAAAGAAGTGGATATATCACAACACATACTCACACTAACCTTACCATCCTTATATCAACAAAATGTCTGACAAGATTCCTGATTACGCTCCATCTGATTACTTCAAATTTGCCCTTGCCGGTGCCATCGGTTGTGGTTCCACCCACAGTTCTTTGGTTCCAATCGATGTCGTCAAAACCAGAATCCAACTAGAACCTACTGTTTACAACAAAGGTATGATTTCCTCCTTCAAAAAGATTATTGGTGAAGAAGGTGCTGGTGCTTTGCTAACTGGTTTCGGTCCAACTTTGCTAGGTTACTCTATTCAAGGTGCTTTCAAGTTTGGTGGTTATGAAGTTTTCAAGAAGCAATTCATTGATTTGCTAGGTTATGACACTGCTTGTAACTACAAGAACTCTGTTTACATGGGTTCTGCCGCTATTGCCGAATTTATCGCAGATATTGCCTTGTGTCCTTTGGAAGCCACAAGAATCAGATTAGTCTCCCAACCAACTTTTGCTAATGGTTTAGTCGGTGGTTTTTCCAGAATATTAAAGGAAGAAGGTGTCGGTTCTTTTTACAACGGTTTCACTCCAATCTTGTTCAAACAAATTCCTTACAATATTGCTAAGTTTTTGGTCTTCGAACGTGCCTCTGAATTGTACTACGGTATTATCGGCGCCAAAGAAACTTTGTCCTCAGGTATGAACACTGGTATTACATTATTGTCAGGTTTGACTGCCGGTCTTGCCGCAGCTATTGTTTCTCAACCAGCTGATACCTTATTATCTAAGGTTAATAAGGTCAAGAAGGCTCCAGGTCAATCTACTATCGGTCTACTAGGTCAACTGGCTAAACAATTAGGTTTCTTTGGTTCATTCACTGGTCTACCAACCCGTTTGGTTATGGTTGGTACTTTGACCTCATTGCAATTCGGTATCTACGGTACTTTGAAGAAGTCTCTAGGTTGTGGTCCTACCATTGAAATCGGTGGTGGTGGTCATTAAACAGTTCCCATTTGTATAATGCTTTCCTTTCATATAAATAATAATTATTTCTAGAATATATATTCCCCCTACAATCGCACATATAATTCTTTAAAAAAAGAAACAAAAAACTTAGAATTAAAATATTATAACTTTTCTATTTAATATATGTATTTATGTCTTGGTACTATTATATTTACTTATTGTTCGACTTTTGGTGCACCTTTCCAGAACCTTGTAGCGGCATGAACTACAAAATAATATTTCTTTCTTGGATCATCGTTTTCGATAGTTTGAGGTGATGCAAATGAGAACTGAGGCAACACTAAGATGTCACTTAGTAATTTTGGCCTCCTGATGTCGTGGAAGTCTCTCCATGTAGTCTTAGACCTCAGACCGCTCTTAATGTAATCGTTGAAATAAGTGAATATGACGTCTGTCCAAGCACCTGACCCCGTCCACCCCATGACAGTTAAATCATTACGGAAATTCAAACGCAAAGAATTTTCTTCCTTACGGTGTAATGTAAGTTCAGTAATCTGCGAAACAATTTCACGAAGAGTTGGATGACCTGGTTTAGCTTGAATTACCCAGTTACCAATTTGCAATCTTCTAACAAAATATTTCTTCCAGTCTGTATTTAATGGTGCATCATGTTCGATACCGACTATCATGCCGAGTTCAGAGGGCTCCATAGCTTCAGGAATCCAGTTTGGAATCGGTTGGACAGGGAAAGTGTCCATATCAACGTACACACCACCTCTCGCCAACAGGATCAAGTACTTGAAGAAATCAATCTTAAGAATTCTTGAAGGCATGACGGTGTACGCCTCTAAAACTTCAGGAATTCTACTATAAAAATGACGCACTATAGCATCCATAAGTTCGTCATTAAAAACCTCATGTACGAACCCTGGGTTCTTGTCACCCCATTGTTGTTTACTCAAAAGTACTTCGATATCATCCATCTTACCATTCCACATTTGCCATATGAAAGCTGGGAATCTTGTTTTTGGGTCATAAGGAAAATTGTAAGCAAGTTTCTCCCGCAAAGTAAGGTCATCTGGCACAGGTTTCAAGTCGTTGATTTTCTTTTCTAGAGCCTTACGTTCTTTCTCGAATTCTTTACTTTGTTCTTCTTGTTTGGCTAACAGTTGTTCCGTCAGTTCCTCTAGTCTCGACATGATGTCGGCATCTTTCTGTTGCTTGTTATTCGCATTGTTGATACTTTGGGAAATTTCAGTAGGTAAATTCTGTAATATAGTCTGTAGATCAGTAGCTTTAGAATTGTTAATGAATCGCACTACCAAAAGCACTAGGACGATGGTAGGGACAATAAACCAAACTAACCGTTTCACTTTCCAAAAACTTCTCGACTTCGCCATAGTTCCAAACTTTAATGTACTGAGTCTAATACGGGAAGGTCTAATGGGTTTAGGTATTTGATACAAGGGTAAAGATCGACTGTTCCTGCTATCAAACGGTTCTGTTCGATTCTTTTCAGTTAGGTATTTCGATGCAAATTTCGAAATTTTCAAAAAAAAAAATCTGGCAGGAAATCAGGGTAACGTCATCGAGACATGATTTCTTACCGACAACTATAAACACGAACCCTTTCATCATTTGTCAGATAATAGACTGTTATTTTCAGTAGTTTTATTGGTTTACTTTGTTTATTTACTGTTTTATATAGATATACCACCAATAGTATAAATTAACGATGGTCGATTAAACAAACAATGAGTTGTCGACAACTCTAAACTGAACAGCCATATCTTTGACTAATTTGTATGCAGCAAGGATTCTGGATGGTAACTCACCTTTCTCTAAAATGCTTAATTCCTCAGGTTGATCCTGTGTCACAGGGACATTTATTGTCAGCACAACATCTGTTTCGACATCGGCAAGTCTGATCAAAGCAGTACATACCGCAACAGTCTCCTTCTCAGAAAGCTTTCCCCACTTGTAGGCATCTTCTACGCAGATACAACTCTGAGTAGTGTCCGTTAGGGGTTCGTATTTGACAATATGTAACTCTGAGGATTTATTCAGAGAGGCAATCTCTTTGATATGTATATCCAATGCATCCTTATCAGTACTGGCATCTACCATCTGTAAAAGGTCTACTATAACACTCTCATTGAATAATAACCCATCGTTAAAATCCTTGGCCTCGTCTTCTTTCCGGCTGTTCACAAAGACCTCTTGGGTGTCAGGTACTTCACGCACCAGCGATGCATCCAAAAACCCACCAGGGATCACAGTAGTAATTGCGCCTCCGTACAACTCTGTAACTTTTGACATATTATAATAGTTTATTGTCCAGCTTAATATCTATATGTATGTATATAAGGTTATCTCTTCTACACTACAACTTCATCTTTTCGATGATTAGCTAATGTAAGTTGTGTTTTTTATTGTTGAAGCATTGCGAAATATTTTTTGCTAACAACGAAGAAAGAAGCGTTACCACATCGAGTCCCTATGATATACATTAAGAGGCACTGTCAAGTTACCAGTAATAAGAACCCTGAGACCAGCTATTCCAAAGGGGTGATACTTTATTGATCTTTATACTTCCACTTTTAAAGTTATTTCAGTTCATGGAAGGCTTCATTACTATTAAACGGTTATTTACCCGCAATAATGCAACTGTATTCTACCAGTACTTATGACAAAAATGAATTAATTGCTTTGTGAATATACATAGTTATCTAAATTTATATAGATGACCTTAAATAATAAAGGACACATGCCTATTGACCATCCTTTAAGGTTGATCTACCAGCTCTTAGTAATTCATCGCAAAGTAATAAATTACTAGCAATACCAGCGGCACCATTGATAGCATTTCTAACCACACGGTATGAATCCCAAATACCTTCGATGGTTGGATCACAGGAATCACCAATGTTTAGATCGACACCAACATATCTACGAGGACCATCCTCCGTTGGGTCAATATCGTCTAATTCATCCTGACACATTGCTAGGACATCTAATGGGTCAAACCCAGAGTTTTTCACCAGGGTCTTTGGAACAACTAGCATGGCCTCAGCAAAAGCTTCAACACCGGTCTTGGTCTTACCCTTTGCACCAAGTCTGTTCATGTTGCTTCTGGATAGATGGTTAGAGACATCAATAAAGAAAGAACCGGCACCTGGGATGACAGCTTTGTCCTTTAGAACATTCGCTACGGCCCTCAGACCGTCCCTGACAGCGTCCTTAGTTTGGTTTAATGCATAATGAGTAGATCCTTTGATTAAGATTGTACAAGATTTTGGGTCCCTATTTTCAGTCACATAAGTGAATTTTTCTTCTCCGATGGTCTGTTGATAGACCAAACCTGAGAAACCTAATACTTGTGGTGATAGATCGTCGACAGAGTTTTGAGCTTCACCCCCTGTCACTAACTGTAATCTTTCCATATTACGTCTCTTGGCTCTTCTTAATGCAAGGATGTTATGTTTGGCTAGGATATCTAGAGACATTGGATCAATACCCTTTTGGTTAACAATCACAAAGCCTTGTTCTGGATCCATCCCACACACCTCATTCTTCAAATCAATAATTTTTTTCAATTTTTCATCCACAAACTTACGTTCACTTGTCGCTAGTTTATCTCTTTGATCAGCGGAACTGTAAAAGAAACCAGAATTAACCTCCGTCTTTTCGTACTCTAGGGAAACATTCAGGATCAAGACATGAGCGTTCTTTACTCTTGTAGGCATATCTGGATGTCTACCACCGTGGTCTAACACTAGACCTTTTACAAAAGTAGTATCCTTTGGAGATAAATGTTGCATTTGCATTATTTCCACCATATGTAGATCCAAAGAATTTGTCTCTGTGTTCTGAACATTCAATACTGCATCAGTGACGATAGGAGCAAGAACCTCGGTTAATTCAGGATTCACTTTAGTAGATAAAGAAGATCTTGCAACTTGCAGCAGAAATTCTCTGTCTAAGTTAACATCTCTCATTTGAAAATTGTTTAAATGTTCTAGAGCCTCCTTTCTGGCAATTTCAAACCCATCGGTTATAATTCTTGGGTGGACACCTTCTTGGATATATCTATAAGCTTGTCTCAGTAACTCACCAACTAAACATACAACGGTAGTGGTACCATCACCTGTAATTTCATCCTGAGCGGCAGCAGCTCTAGCGATCAACACAGCGGTTGGAGATTGGATTTGCATCTCTGTTAGCAAGACTTTACCATCTTTGGTCAATTTAATGTTTCCACCACCATCAACCAACATCTTCAAAGTACCTTTTGGACCAAGGTTGGTTTCTAGGACAGATTGTAAACCTTCAGCAGAGGTGACATTTACCTTCAAGGCGGCATCTCTCCTCAAAGATTCAGCATTAGGATTCAATAATTGCAATGACATTGTAGTAGTAGCCAAATTGGTAGGTATCTATAGCAATCTATGTGCTCTTTATCCCTAAACCATATCAAACTTTGCTTATATCATTCTTTTTAACCTCATCGTTGGCGTCTGTCTCTTCTATGACATGAGTGTTGGCTTTCGCCACCAATCTGGTAGAACTGAAATGAAAAAAATTGGTGATGAGAATGTTCTCGTGCATAGTGATATGCGGGTAACTATCATGGACTTTCTTTTAACATTATAATGTTTTCCCATATTGTGAGTAGTATACAAGATCAATATGAATCCTACAGTGGTACAAGGTTGTTACTACATGGGTGGATGTACATATTCTGTCTTTTAACTGAGTTTAGAATAAAAGGTGATGTCAGGCGATGCGATGCGATGGCAGCAAGGTTGCTGGACGATGAGAGACACTTTAAAAAGAATACGAACCACTTAGTGTGCCCCTTCTGATTATTAAGAGATCTAATACTGTGTATCCATCAATTCATAGGCTACAATATCAGTGATGAGTCAGGATCTTGAGAAAGTTGCACCTCATCCAGCTCCCAGGAAACTTTTTTTGGTATAGTGGTTACATATGACTGCCATCATATGTGATATGTGGAGGTGGGGGCTATTACCTAAGCCTTTGGGCTTCGTTTGCATTGGTAGATTACACTTTACTGAATGTGTTAGCGTTAAATTTAATCGTCGGGAATACGCTCAGATGATGTTCCTATTGATGATCCTATTTTATCCACTAGAAATGGTATTTATTTATGTTGAAAATAAGTTTGATTCCCATCCTCCTGAAAAAGAATCCAATGATGTTGATTATGAGGATGTCTAAGTTATAATTTCTTGTATAAGATAGGGTACTGATATTGATCAAATATTCAAGTCGTTCGTTGAGTACAAGTTTGTCGTATGTATCCTCTATACAATTAATGACGAATTTACCAATGATAAATTATAGACTAATGATACTTTATCACTAAATGATGCCCTAATTTTACAATGTCCTATAATCAGAAAATGATGGTATTAATAGACCAAATATGGCGTATCTATATATTATTATGTAATGCATTATTTGATTCTTTGTCTTGGACCACCTGGAGACTTCTTGTTTCTAGCGGATAAGATCTCGACACCATGTTCAGTGACCATCAATGTATGTTCGAATTGGGCAGATCTCTTACCATCTTGAGTGGTAGATGTCCAGTCATCTGGCCAAGTGGCATCCTTCCAAGTACCTTCATTAATCATAGGTTCGATAGTGAAGATCATACCTGGTTTCATGACACCAGCGGTTCTGTTACCCTTGTAGTGGGGCACACTTGGGGCACAATGGAAGTATTTACCAACACCATGACCACAATAAGTCTTGACTACGGAACATTTGTTCTCAGATGCATGTTTCTCGATGTAATCACCTAATTCTTGGAATGTTGTTCCTGGTTTACATTGCTTGATAGCGATCTTCAGACATTCTCTAGCGGTTTCAACAGTGTTAATAGCCTCCTTGGATAACTTGGATTCATCATCACCTATAACATAGTAAGTCTCGTTCAAATCGGCATGGAAGCCTTGATAATATAGAGACACATCTAGATTGACGATATCACCTTCCTTTAGTACAGTCTTATCTGGAATACCATGACAAATCACCTCATTTATAGAAGTACATACAGACTTAGGGAAGTTATAGTAATTCAATGGAGATGGATAACAATTACGTTTAATGGTTTCTTCGTGAACGATCTTGTCAATTTCGTCAGTGGTGACACCTGGCTTAACAGCAGCGGCAGCAATATCTAGAACTTCTCTACCCAATACGCATGCCTTTCTGATCTTTTTGATCTCTTCCTTAGTGTAAACTGGGATCTCGTTAGTTCTATCATTCTTTTGTTCGTCAACTGGAAGACCATCCTGCGACCAGTCTGGTTTTTCAATATTTTCAGGAACATATCTCTTTGGGGTTAAAGGGTAATTAGGTCTCACGTCACCGCCGAACTTGAACTTTGGGAATGGGTTGTATGCCACTTCACCAGTCTCATCACCTTCTTTGAAATGTAGAGCCTTGTGGGACTTGTAATTATTCTTGTAACAGACTTCATCACAGAAGACTGATACAATCCCATTCTTCAGACAGATAGGACACTTCAGTTGCGATTCGGTCTCTTTACCACATTGCAAACCAGCACAGTAAACTTTCTCAACAGCACTATCACTCATTAGTTATTTCTAAACGACTATATCTCTTATATATCTTGGTAATGATCACAGAATAAGTAATTACATAATTTTGCAAAATGAAAAAATTTTCACTCAGCGCTTTCTTATATACTCGAAACTATTTTCTTTCATTTATAATAATAAGGCTTCGATGCAGCCATCGTATTTGGTGAAAGTATCTGTGTGTTCTAATTATATACTTATATAGAGGGGAAAGGGTGAAACCATTTGGCTTAATATGTTGTACTTGAAGTGCAGTGTCTAGTCGTTTAGCTCAAAAGGGCTTGGCATTAGCTCATCCATATTAGCAATTTTCATTTCCTTGAAGTCTGGGGAATACATGAGGATTGGAAAATTAATCCTGTCCTTAATGAACTCGTTCATCACTTGTCTACACATCCCACACGGCGTTATCACCTTGTCAGGGCCTTGAATATCTCCAACAATGGCAAGAGCAGTCCAGTTATTAGAATCTGCATATTGTCTGTCAACGGCAGCCAGTGTCTTGAAGATAGCCACTCTTTCGGCACACATTGTAGCACCAAAACTGCCATTCTCAATATTTGCACCTATGTAAGATCTGTCTTGAAGATAGTCATCGTCTTGAAATTTGCTGTCAGGGCCCTTGGGGCTTCCCTTTTCATCTGTACCTCTTATGTAGATAACACATCCGACTTCAAAATTTGAGTAAGGGCAGTACGCCATATCTCTTGCTTTTCGGAGCTCCTGCTCTATATTATCTAGTTCAGTACGTGTAAGTCCATGTGATCTCATATTTAGTTATTCTTAGTATTGGTTTCTCCCTTTTGTTTCCTGTAGACCCTTGTGTTGTATTGTGTCCCCATATTAAGACTATCGCTTATCGTTTTCGCTTTTATATATTATGAAGTTTCATAGAGATTTGTAAACAATAGGAATTGATTTGGATACAAAAGAAAGACAGACAAGCTAGCCAAAGGAAAGTTAACCTGGATTATCGTAATCTGTCAGAAAACGTTTATGCACATGTATTTCGAAGAACATTCGCCCAGGCAGGGGCCTGTTGGTTCACTCCGACAGCGACTGAGGTTGTTACTACTATGGCTTATCGCTATTGATGGCGACGAGGACCTTTTACTGAAATATAAGAACTACATTCCTATGTCCTCCATGACCAACTATATATTCTTCTTTGGGGGCAGAGTGCGAACATTACGAGGACGCAGGCAGTTATCGCTGGGCGTGCTGTTTATTATTGTGGTCCCTGCAGTGCTCTTTTCGATCTTCGAGACACACCCTATCTGGTTGCACAATCAGGGTTACAAGAGCCTTGTGGTATTATTTTATTATTTCTGGTGCTTGACTCTGGCGATGTTTCTGATGGCAGCAACTTCAGACCCTGGGTGTCTACCAAGAAACTTGCATGTTCCTCAAGTGTCACGCAACTTTCAAGTACCTCAGGAGTACTATAACATAGTGAACTTACCATCGATCCGACAAGATATACCCATACAAATGAAGTATTGCAGGACATGTCGGATCTGGCGTCCTCCAAGGGCATCGCATTGTTCGACGTGTGGCTGCTGCGTGATAGTTCATGACCACCACTGTGTCTGGATCAACAACTGTGTCGGTCAGCGTAACTATCGTTTCTTTATTACATTTTTGTCAAGTGCAGTGATGACGTGTATCTTATTGATCGCCAACTGTGGTACCCATTTGCATCGTACTGACAATGGTTCTCACGGAACACCTGTGTCCGTGTTATTAATTATTTGGGGAGGTCTATCGATATGTTATCCTGCTACATTATTGTCATACCATATAGCTATGACAGGTACTCAACAGACTACAAGAGAATACTTGGTGCAGATCGGATCCAAAAACCCTGTGATGCATCGGATACGATCGAACGCTCAAAATGTGTTTGACACACGTCAATTTTTCAAGAATATGTTCTTACTCATGGCGCAGGTACGAGGGCCCAAATTAATGAACCCCAGGGAGTCGCATCCGTCGGGGGACTGGCGGTTCATGAAGTTACCGTGAATTTAGTAAAGTTTAAATTGACTATCCGGTATTGCCGTGTCTTTGTTCTGATTGGACAGCCCGCGTCGAAGTTCGCATCGTCTAGAAAGACCAAATTTATATAAAAGAAGAGAGAGAAAGAGATCAAGAAAGAATATTGAAAAGAAATTAGAGCCACACATCATAAAATTTAACGGTGCATAGAGATCAAAACAATTAGCATATTATACATACCTATTTTATTTAATAATAGATATGAAGTTGTTTGAGAATAAATACGACTTCGATTATCCTTGGGAACAAGTAACTGCTGCAAACTGGCAAAAGTACCCAAACGAAGTGGCAACTCATGTCGTCGGTGTGGATGTTTTGAGAAGAGAGCTTAAGGATAATGGGAATGTGTTAGTCTCTGAAAGATTATTAACTGTGCAGCAGAAAGTGCCACGTTGGATTATGATGGTTCTAGGTGGTTCTAATATCAGTTATGTTCGTGAAGTGTCTACTGTGAATCTAAAAGAAAAATCTTTGAAGTTACGTAGTTGCAATTTGAATTATGTGAACTTGTTACGAGTATATGAAATGGTGGATTATATACCACATCCAGAGGATCCATATAACAAGACTTTGTTTTCACAACAGGCTCAGATTACAGCAGGTGGTAAATTTGGTAAATTAGTGAATACTTTGGAAGATTGGAGTATTCAACGATTTTGTGACAATGCAGCAAAGGGTAAAGCTGGGTTTGATTCAGTATTGAGATCTCTATGGGAAGAACATTGGGATAACAACTCTTTAGTGATCAAAGTCAATGAAACCGTTGATGATCTTGGTCTACAGATGTCCAAACGTGTCACAGAGATGAACGCTGCAGCTGAGGCGGTCATCAAAGAGAGTCTTAGGAAATTCACAATATTAACAGATTATCAAGATTTGTTTACTGAAGCCTTCGATGACGCTAAGAACCCACATTAATGATGAATGCATGCATAACACACATATATATATTCCAATTTTATACATCTAAATTGTAAATAAAAAGTAATAAAGATATTAGCATATGAAAAAGAAAAAGCTCAGCAAATAATATTAAAAAAAATACTCATATATAATAAATTATGTAAAGGATATATTAATTTAATGTTGTTTAAGCGTTAGTCTTGTAGACGGAGTGACACTTACCACAGTAGAATCTGTCCTTGTGATCAGCTAGGAAGACACCGGCACCACAGGTGGCGTTGTCACACTCTCTTCTCAACTTGGTGACCTTACCTTCGTCATCGACGTTGTAGTAAGATAAGACAGCAAGCTTGACCTTCTTGTGCTTGTGCTTAACCTTCTTTGGGGTGGTGTAGACCTTCTTCTTTCTCTTCTTACCACCACCTCTTAGTCTTAGGACTAAGTGCAAGGTAGATTCCTTTTGGATGTTGTAGTCGGATAGAGTTCTACCGTCTTCCAATTGCTTACCAGCAAAGATCAATCTTTGTTGGTCAGGTGGGATACCTTCCTTGTCTTGGATCTTGGACTTGACATTGTCAATGGTGTCGGAGGATTCGACTTCCAAAGTAATAGTCTTACCAGTTAAGGTCTTGACGAAAATTTGCATTTTGACGAATCTTTGGTGTTGTCGGCAAGTAATAGATAAATAATAAAACTAAGTGCTTCTTTCAAAACCAAGTGTTGTAAAGACGTGAGTAAACGTGAAAGAACTTAAATACCAACAAGTGGAAATAAGAAAACTAATGAGATTAATTCTAAGTCATCGCATGGCAAAAACTGTTTTATATCTGCGAAGTAATCCCCCAAATTTTGTGAAAGAAAATGATGATGATCGATGGATGGATGACAAAGCATTTCATTTGTTCGGCTGTCCTTCTTCTTCTTCTTCTTCTTCTTTTTTGGCCCGGTGGTGCTGCTTGTTCAATATTTCATTTTTCTGTGCGGGCCGTGGCAGTAAATTTGGAAATTTAAATGGATGGACCATTGTCTGGCGCGGTGTACAGATGTATTGTGTGTGCACCTGGGTGCACTGGTGGTGCAACAGTCACACCAGTGTCTCCCAAAATTCAAAATGTCTTTGTGGCCTCATTGCCATCTTCATTTCATTCTTTAATGGAACAAATTCCATATCGTTAGAGTTAGTGATATGGAATGACACGTTAAAAGGTATTATCAAATCGGCGTGATAACAAGCACTTGTTCGAGACACTAATGTCTAACACATTAGGTCGTTAGGGTATTCTCCGACAAAGTAGTTTCTTAAAATATTGAATCTCTATGACTCTCGAAATTGGGGAGTGGTTCTGCTGCATTGTAGTGACATTTTGATGCAAGGTCTTGTGTTAGAGTGTCGAATTGTAGAGTACCTCCTAGTGTGAAGATCCTCCCATTTGTTTGGGTTATCTATAACCCATAATGATACTAATATTGCACCTCTGTTTATCTATTGGACTGCTTGAGGGATATATCTCTCTAGAGTGTCGAAAATAAAGAGATGTATATTGGTTGGTGAATTTGCAAACACGGTAGACCAAAAGGGATATTTCCTACCGCACTAGTTGCTGTTATTGTTTTCTATATACAGTCGCACATATAATTACGTTCAACAACTGGCAACTTACACGAGACTGAAGTATACCCATTTGAAATTGCATATAAAAGTGACAGACAATTATTTCAAAATATTTTCAAGACCTCGTCTAAACATGCTGTAATATCTACATACTTTTTCAACTTGAAAAATATAGCAGTTTTCAAGCCTTATCCTTGGAAAAGTATTTTTCATTTGGTACCTATTATATATTTACGTTCGACATATTATCGTTAATGTCAAGTGCACTCTTTTTCTCTTGATAGGTTTCTTGTTTTCCAAATTACTGACACCCCCCTTTCTACTGTGGTAGTTAGTTTCCTTAGGATACCGGAAAGTTCGCTCCTCACTGACAATAACAAACAAAAACAGACCATTTCACCTAATTAATAAAAACAACGAAATAGGGACAACGGTTTTTAGAGACGAAATTTCGATAAAAAATAACTAATTGAAAGGATCATTCAAATAATTTGTTGCAGTTCCCTTGCAATTTGATTCAAGATCATCAACAAAAACAACAAATATTGTTTTTTTTTCTTTCTAATATATCGTATAGATGAACTCGTTATATGAGTTGGATCCCAAATGGCAAAAGTTACTTACCTTGGATAATTTCCTCGGTGGATTGACAGTGAACGAGTTTGTAGAGTCCCTAAGTAAAGACCACTCGATTAAGGCAGTCTCTTCTTCTCTCTCTTATGGACAGTCAGGGAGTAGAGATGATGGAATGCAATTGCAAGATGAACATGATGCTGCCAATTGGGAAAGATTGGACCCTAAACCATTCATTAGAACATTTGAATCAACTTTAAAAGAATTGAAAGGATTAAACGATGATGCTGTGAGTAAGAAAAATCGGTTTGAAGATCAAGTGGCTAGACAGGAACTAGTGCATTCTGAAAATGTAATTGATTTGGCCACTGATATTCAAAGGATAAATATTCAATTTAGTGAATTAGATAACAAATTGACAAATGTAAATCAAATTGTATCACCACTAAGTGATAAATTGGAATCAACAATACGTAAACGTAAGAACTATGTCAAATCGGTTGAATTAATAACAGAATATTCGAATTTTTACACAACAGGGAGTTCAACCAATATTGAAAACTTAAGAACCTCTAAGAATTGGAGAAATAAGATCCAAGCTGCAACATATATTAAGAATTTATTAGAATTATCAAGAAAGGTTGAAACTACAGCAATTCCAAAGACTAGTGAAGTTACAAAATTTATAGAAAAGTATTCTGAAATGATGGAAACGACTTTATTAGAAAATTTTAATTCGGCATATCGTGAGAATGATTTCAATCAATTAAACGAAATTGCATTAATTTTGAACCAATTCAATGGTGGGATCAATGTGATTCAAAGTTTTATTAATCAACATGCATATTTTATAAATAGTGATGAGATAGGACTCGATGAACAAATGGAGATAGATGATCAATTTAAGAAAAGGCTTATGGATCAAAATATACACACTGTAGTTTATGAACAAAATATATTAAACATGTTAAATGATATTGAATCTGTCATTAAAAATGAGTCTAAGATTGTGAACGGTGTCTTTGAGGGGAGGGCTTCGTACGTCATGCAACTGTTCGTTCAAAGAGTCTTCGTTCAACAGATAGAGCCAAAGGTGGAGACATTGTTAAACAATTCTTTGTCCTTATCTAATTTAGCATATGTCAGAACTTTACATGGGTTATATTCCTTGATAGGTCAATTCGTGAAGGATCTAACTGAATTCTTCCAAATATTGGAGATAGATCAAGACACAACAGATTCCAAATCAGTTCCAAATGCATTAGATAACAATAGCAATAGTAGTATTATAACCGTCCTAGAACAATGTAGTTCGGATATGTTTTCAAGATATCTTTATGACAGAGCTAGGTATTTTGACATTGAGAAGAGAAACTTAGAGAATATCTTAGTCGACAAGACATCGATATTTACTAATGAACATAGTAAAGAGATAAATAGTAAGATGTTGCTAAATAAATTAGGTAAAATGATGGAAAAGGATGAAGACGGAAATACGCATTATGAAGAATTTATCACACAGACAGCAACAACATCTAAGAGGAAGTTATCACAATTTAATGAGTTTATGAAAAAAAGATTTGATAGATTGGATCATTTATCAAATCTATCTTTAACAAGATCCAACACTCTCTCCCATGACCGCGATGTCGGTGTTGGTAGGTCACATTTATCGAACTCACAAGATACAAATAACCGTGGCAACGACTACAACAATGATGCAATGTTAGATAATTCAGATCCATCATTTAACCTAGATACTGTGGACTCTATGTTAAAGTGTGTCGTAGAATCTGTTGCTAGAGTTATGGAATTGGTTCCTAATAAAGCCAGTGAGTATAGTTTGGAACTATTAGATATCATGTTCCTTGGTACTGTAGGTAATTATGTGGAGATGTCTTTGGAGGTTGCATTTTTCAGAATGAAACAGTTAGATATCTATAAATTAGATGATTTCAATTTATCTTTTCTAAGCTACGTTACTAAAAGTACTGATATCTTAAATCTTGTTTCTACTTCCATTAAAGCAATATTTTTACCCCTTTTGAGTGATGCTCCGGATGCTAAAAAGCAGGTTATTGAGTTGACAAATAATAATATACGAAAATGTGAGATCTCCATAAATATCATTATTGATGAAATTGCGAGTGTCTATTCTGCTAAATTTTCGGACATATTGGCAAAACAAAACAAAAAGGATTTCATACCGAAATCCCAGGACTTATTAGATCAAGATACACTACCAGCAGTGGAAATTAGCAATTTATTGACATCCTTGTATTCCCAAACATCAGTATACCTAGAGGAGAAGAATTTAAAGGCATTCCTAGACAATATAGGGGAAGAATTATATGGATTGTTACTAGCTCATTATTCCAAGTTTCAAGTCAGTTCTATAGGTGGAATTATCGTAACAAAGGATATTATTGGTTTCCAAACTGTCATTGAAGATTGGCGTATACCGAACTTGCTAGAAAAATTTGCAACTCTCAGAGAACTTGCTAATATATTTACTGTACAGCCAGATCTCTTAGACTCGCTTACGAAAGAAGGTCACTTGGCTACTTTGAAAAGAGATATAATCCAATCATACATCGCCAAGCGTGAGGACTTCAATCACGACAACTTCATGACCAATATGAAAATGAATTTGAAACAATACACATAATCTTAATTAGATACATAATATATATTTCAATAAATCAAGACTACATCAACATCAATCCTCCAGCTTCAGCACCTTTTCTTCTATGATGTTTGAGTTCTGTTGTTATTAGGGTCCTCCTATATAGGGTTTCTGGAAACCCTATTTTTAACGCGGACGCCTCTGGCCGCAAAGTGCGGAATTACTAATGGACAACAATGAGAGAAATAAGTACCCCCAATCTTAGTGGGAACGATAAACTATTTAAGAGTTAGGAATTAACAGAGGAAAACCCCTTCGTATATCTGATAATTGTTTGTTTAGCTTAATAAAGACATCAAGAATTTGCTAATCATTGAACATGTTACGTCGTTTAGGTTTTCAAAGTTTGAGAAATGCCCGATTAATGGCTACAGCTGCCCTTCAAAATACAAGGACATCTGTTCTACCCAATGGTTTAACCGTTGCTACTGAGTTTATTCCTGGAACATCAAGTGCTACAGTAGGTATATTTGTTGATGCCGGTTCTCGAGCTGAGAATGTCAAGAACAATGGTACTGCACATTTTCTGGAGCATCTTGCATTTAAAGGTACTCAGAGTAGAACTCAAAGAGGAATAGAACTGGAGATTGAGAATATTGGGTCTCATTTGAATGCTTATACATCTAGAGAGAATACAGTCTACTATGCGAAATCTATGAAGGCGGATATCCCTGAGGCAGTCGACATTCTGAGTGATATTCTTACAAAATCTGTTTTGGATCCTAGGGCCATCGAGAGAGAAAGAGACGTGATTATAAGAGAAAGTGAAGAAGTAGGAAAAATGTATGATGAAGTAGTATTTGATCACTTGCACGAAATAGCTTTTAAGGATCAACCACTGGGGAGAACCATATTAGGACCTATTGAAAATATTAAATCGATTACAAGAAATGACTTGAAAAACTATATATCTACAAATTATAAAGGTGATAGAATGGTACTAGCTGGTGCAGGTGCTGTAGACCATGAAGACCTAGTTAAGCAAGCGCAGAAGTATTTCGGACACATTGAGAAATCTACCGCTCCAGTTCCTTTGGGATCTCCTCGTGGTGCGCTACCTGTTTTCAACAGAGGTGAAAGATTTATAAAGGAAAGTTCATTACCAACAACTCATATAGCTATTGCATTAGAGGGTGTTTCTTGGTCAGCACCAGATTATTTTATTGCACTTGCTACACAGGCTATAGTAGGGAACTGGGACAGAGCCGTCGGTGCTGGTACTAACTCACCATCTCCATTAGCTGTTGCTGCTTCTAATAACGGTGCTTTAGCCAATTCATACATGTCCTTTTCTACTTCATACGCAGACACTGGGCTATGGGGTATGTATATCGTAACAGACTCAAAGGAGCATAATGCAAAGCTAATTATTGACGAAATAATGAAGGAATGGAGAAGAATCAAAGCTGGAAATATTTCTGATAATGAGGTCGTAAGAGCTAAATCCCAGTTAAAGGCAGCATTACTTCTATCACTTGATGGGTCTACTGCTATTGTAGAAGATATGGGAAGACAGATTGTAACCACTGGTAAAAGATTATCGCCTGAGGAAGTGTTTGAAAAGGTAGATAAAATTGCAAAGGACGATATCATTTCCTGGGCTAACTACAGGTTAAAGGATAAACCAATTTCAATAGTTGGTTTAGGTAATGTGAAATCTATTCCAAGCGTCGATTACTTAGAGAAAAGTATTAATATCCACTGATGATAGGGAATTTTATTTTCTTATTTTGGAAATAAAAAAAATGTAAAAACATTTAATTTTCATATATCAGATTCATTTAATGTAAATATCAATATTCAGTAAAGAACGCCCCTTTCAATTCACAGTAGGATAGTGTTTCCTTAAATATGGGTGTTTTTTTTGTAGTGTAAAAATTTTATATATATGACCATACGGAGACGCTTCAATGATATGTTTATAACAATAGACCTCTTTAGTGATAATTTAAGAAACTCTAATAGACAAGTCTATTAGTGGTTCCAATTGGTGAGCTGAAGCAGACATAATAGAGTTAGTTCTAGTTTCGTTCATTTTATATATAGTGGCAGGTAGAGAGATGTAGGTGTTATCTTAAGGTCTCATGTTAGGAAAGCAAAATATATTTGTTATATTTTTCTTATATTTGTAAGTGGTTTCTTATTTTACAAAATTTATAGAACGAATAGAATCTAACTTAGAATGTACATTCAGAATTCTCTGTCTTTATATATATTATTTATTTTATCGACATTCGTTTCTTCTTGATAGGTAAACGATTATTATCTAAAAGAGCATTACCTAAACAAAATGTTTAGTTATTTAGTAGAACATTTTAGATGTATCGTTCTAACATAATTTCTGTCAATTGGCCATGTATTAAGGTAACAATTCTATCTTTAATCAATGGTCATCATCCAATTAGTTTCGGGTGGATGATTATCACTTTCGTTTTTTTGTTTACTTGAGATGGGTAATTATAAAGTATTGCTTTAGATAGCAAACATAAAAAATTAAGTATTCGTTTAAAAAAATAAAAAATTATTACTAAACTTATTAAACATTTGAGAATAACATAGAGCCAATATTAATATACACCAAACCCTATATAAGACACACACACATATATCCCATAATAGGATTAACAGACTTATAGAAGATTATTAGAGGAAAAAGATACGTTTGCAATAATACACCTGATTATTTGTAAGCTGATAAATTGAAATGAACACCTACTAATGATGCCTCTGTCCCCCAATAAGAGATAACTGAGACAACGCTTCCTGCTGGAGTGTACTAACCACAATGATTATCTTACTTTGGGTATGCTTAACGTTTATATTTTCTGTTTCAGCGTCACAAGAACAACTGCAATTCTTTTTTATATCGGGAGTATTTTGGGTTGTTACGATATCAAGATATTTGGTAACACTATGACTTAAACAATCTAGCCAATTAGTAGTAAAAACTGAATTAGGTCTCTTTGCTTCACTTGGAGATATATTAGTGTGCGAGCTTAAAATTTTCTCGTTGTGTGGTTCACCCAATCAACTAGTTTGTAATGAACGGGAGGGTATTATTGAAGAACTACTCATAAGATGTTTACCAGAACTTGGTTGTGATCTAGAAGTTTTTGCGCTACTCATTGACAAAGAATGAATAGTTGAAGGAAATACTTCGTCAGAATTAGATTCTAATGTCGAAATTTTATTGGAATGGGAAATGTTGCTTATTGTATCTATTTCTAATAGATTTTTACGAATAGGCACGTAAAGTGTCATGTATCTCAAATAAGTATAGAGAAATCGTACACATATCTGCAAGCTTGTCCATAAATGTTGAGAACTACAAGGAGTTCTCATAAGTTGTTCAATCGTTTTTTTCAGCAGTATTTCTATCCGGTTCGATTACCTGATGTAGAAAAGATTGACAAATAACGTTCCTATGAAACTTCGATACCCGCGTTGCACATATGAGGACTTCCGAAAGTTTATTTTAGTAACAGATATGTGTCATATATTAGTCCACGACTATGTCTCTATACTGTTTATGGAAACGATGTAAAACAGGTGATTTCTTTTTCTCGAAATTTCGATTTTCAGCATAATAAATGATTTGCAATCAGAGAAGGACCTCAGTGAAAACATATATCAAATGTTCGGGGAAAGTAAACTTTACTAACATCCCCCCCAAATAAAGGTGTAAGTTAAACTTTTTTACAGTCATTTGTTAATTTTTAAGCAGTAAAATATGACGAACTTTTCTAGAAGAAATGTTTATATATTAAATTAAGTTTCTTATGTACAGAAATGGGACCTCATACTGTTCTGTCTGTCTGTCTGTCTCAGACAGATGGGTATCATCTCCATCTATTTCTTCAGGTATCATTAGAAAGTATAAATGCAAACAAATCTAAGTTGAAGTAACTATTGGTTAACTTCTAATTAGATTCTATATCTTAAATTCTCAGATATATCCCAAATAGTGTCGGTGTTTCGGAACTTATTGTTCAACCGTTGTTCCTGTGAGCCTATAAAGAGAGTCTATATGGTCATTCACAAGGCCTTACTTATCCCAATATATCCTAATAAATAAACTTTTAAATTCATTATTAGGTAAGAAAGGGTATTATATTTTGTGACATTTGTAACTTACCATCAGGCAGTCCCGCAACCTAGGAACTTTACAAACAACCAGGCTTTGCCTTCGTATTTCGACATTACAACCATTCATGGAAGTGACGGAAGCTGCCTAACTTCCGCTTCCGAAAGACGGATGCGGACATGGGAAAAAGGAACTTCCATCACCGGAAAGTTAAATCTTAGACAAACTATAAAAAGGAAGGAATATCATCTCTGAACTTCTTCTGTCGCTACAAATCATCTTACTCCAGGACACAGAAAAGGTAACAAACTAAAACAATTGAAATTAAAAAACGAAATGGGTGAAATGCAAGAATGGTGTGTAATTGTCTATGACAAGCCAGGTACAGATAGAATGAGTGTCTTTGATCAGCATGTGAATGGTCTTCCTGAAACAATTAAGAATGGAAGCATGATAACTGGAGGTCAGATCAACGATGATAGCGATCCAAGAAAGCCAATTGGTTCTAATTTGACCATTAGAGCTGAGACTAAAGAGGATGTTATTAAGATTTTGAAGAACGATGCATTTTATAAGAATGGTATCTGGGATGTTGAAAATGCGATCATCCATCACTTATACTGTGTATATAGAGAAGGTTTGGAGTATCAACTATAAACTGGAAGCTCCATATTTCTGTAAAGAATATATGTTTTATAAACTATGAAATATGATGTGAGAATACTGATTCAACACAAATAAATTACTTATTGCTGTGTTGTAATGGTCTTATACAAAAAAAAACCCTCCATAACGTATAGGTCAGACAAGACTATTTTCCATAATATTTCTTAGCGGAGAGGTTATGCCTCTTCTTCATCGTAGTCAAGAATTATAAGAATTAAAATAATTTAACCGTGAGGATACGTGCCATTCTTAACCTTTCTGTTAATAATCTATTCCGTTTACTGGATTTCTTTCATTTCAATTTTTTTGAAAATCCTTATTAGGATACCATTTAGGGGGGAGAATGCAATCTTTCAGTCCAAAGTCAAGTATCCTAGTAATCATCTTTTTAAATAAATTTTTATTTTTTTTTAATCTAAATTTAAACTTTACTGAAGTCTTCAATATTTAATTATGTAACAGATGATAATTACCAGAACAAAATTACTAAAGAGGAGGTAAACTGAAAGTACATATTTATTTCATCAGGAATATCATTATTATATCCTTAGTCGTAAAACACGATAATATCTTTCAAATAATTCAAAAAATAATGAAAGCTATGAGATTCGAACTCATGCATCCGAAGATACCAGAACCTAAATCTGGCGCCTTAAACCACTCGGCCAAACTTCCTATTATTTATGGAATTTGTTGTATCTGAAACTGTTATAATGTAGAAAGTAGTAATACTTAGTTATTACAATTTTATGTTTAGTAAGAAATTGAGCTGAAGCAGACATAGTGTGGTTAGACTTATATTCGTTCATTATTAAAGGTGTTAGGTATAGAGGTGAATGGTGTAGCTTAAGTTTTAATTGTAAACGTAAGTTTGAAATCGAGAATATACGATTAGTATTCGAGTTGAAATTATCGGACATAGTTATAGATATTCAAATGTATAATCTTGTAGTTTATTTTATGTTATATAAAGTAAGTCTATATAAAGAAGATTGTATATATATAAAGTTAGAATATGTGGTCCTTTTATACTTTTGGAAAAGGAAAACAGTCTACCAAATATTGATAGTATTCTTACTAAACATTCTAGAAACATGTTCTAGACACTTATGAAACAATTAGTAATACTTGCTTACTAATCATTCTTAAAGAATGTTCTAGAATCATATTGAACAGTTAGTAATAATTTCTTACTAAACATAAAATTGTAATAACCAAGTATTGCTACTTTCTATATTATAACATACCCCCGTAAGTTAAATACTGGGTTAATGAAAAAGTTTGTTAGTAAGATATGTGAATGGCTTCCTGGCTAACGTTTTAGTGGTAATATCAGCTAATTGATTTTCTGTGCCAACGTGCTGTATTTCTATTTCACCATCATTAATTGTTTTCCGAATATGATGATGCTTTATAGCTACATGTTTCATACGACTATGATGAACTGGATTTTCGGCGATATGAATAGCAGGCAGATTGTCGACCCATAATGTAGGTGTCTTGATTTTAATTTCCATATGTTGCATTAAGTTTCGTAGCCATTGCATTTCTGCTACAGCCTCACTAGCACTGATATACTCTGCTTCAGTTGAAGAGAGTGTTACTGTGGACCTTATCTTTTTAGAGCACCATGTAATGATACCACCAGCCAGTTGCGTAATATACCCCCGTGTCGCGTATGGAATATCTGTAGTAGTCCCGTAGGAAGCGTCAGAATATATGTTCATATGGATAGGAGATCCAATACGATACACTAAAGCAGCTTTACGAGTGGTATACAAGTACTGAAACACCCGACGTGCAGCGGTTAGATGGATTTCAGTAGGAGCCTTTAAAAATCTGGAAAGGAGAGAAACTGAATGTGCAACATCAGGGCGACCTGTATTGGCAATAAATAATAGTTGACCGACAATGCTCTGATATGGAGTGACATTATCTAACGGAAGGGATTGATCATCAAAAAGATTGGTAGTTGGAGAAAGAGGAATGTCGACCGGTTTGTCAAGAGGAATGGCATTTGACACAGCAGCTTGAGAAATATAATCTTCTAACGATAATGTGATGTCGTTAGAAGTCTGATTGACATTCATGCCTAAAAATTTGTTAACAGACATTAAGTCTTTCATGGAGTAAAACCTAGATAGCGCATTTTTGACTTTTTGCATAATGGCCATATCCGGAGCCGCAATAAGAAGATCATCAACATAAAGGGCAACAAATATTAAACCAGAAGGAGAATGTTTAAAATAAAGTCCATGTTCTCCAGCATGTTGATTAAACCCTAATTTGGTTAATGTCCCATTAATGTGTTTATTCCATAGCAGAGGAGCTTGTTTAAGACCATACATGGCACCAGACAGCTTCCAAACCCAGTCAGGATGTTCTTTGTTGATAAATGATGGCGGTTGACGAACATAGACAATATCATCCATAGAGGAGTTCAGAAAAGCAGTATTAACATCCATTTGATGGACATGAAGATGGAGACAAGCAGATAAAGCTAAGAAAATACGAACAGAATCATAGCGAACAACAGGGGCAAACGTTTCAGTGTAATCCAACCCAGCAATTTGACGATGACCTTGTGCAACCAGACGAGCTTTAGCAGTTGAGTTACCTTTGACAGTTAGTACCCATCGAGTGCCAAGTGATTTAGCACCAGGAGGAAGAGGAACTAAGTCATAGGTATCGTGATCTTTAAACGCCTTAAGTTCCTTTTTACACGCGGCTAACCACGCGGTAGAATTTTTCCCCGTAAGAGCAGCTTTAATATTAAATGGAATCGTTAGGGAACCATTTACCATTGAATGACCTCGAACCATGGCGGTGAGAGCTAATTGGGTAGTAGTTAAATCGGGAGAGGATATCGATGTAGAAGGGTCTGTGTCACCAGTTGGAGTCAAAATTTGTTGAGAGAGAGGATTAGACGAGTCTCTCATAACAATGGAATGGTTAGAATTGAACAATGGATCAGCAACAGTAACAGGCAAAGAATGTAGTGAATGGCCAGTCGGAGACCAATCATGTTTAGATAGAAAATGACGGACACGGTCAGAATAGATTTGGTCTACTGGAATACGTTGTAGATCTGTTGAACCAGGTCGTTCACTTGGAATAGCAGAGAATTGGTGATTATCAGCAGTGTTTAAAGAGGTTGGAATTGCAAGTGTAGTGGAAGTACCAGTAAGTTGAGCGTTACGCTTCTTAGATGCATGAGACTGTGGTAATGTTTGCTTAGCATAAATTGGAGGCAATGTTTCGACATTGGAATTTGGCCGTTTGAGATGACTGGTAGGACTTGGAATGATATTAACAGCATGGTGTAATTGATCAGTCAATTGTTTATTATGAGAGGCATATTGCGCCGCAGATTGTTTGAAAGCTTCGAGTTGTTGTTGTGTCTCGCTAAGATCGGTAGTTAAATTGTCTACAACAGGATCGGCAAGGACTAGATCATGAGACTCAGAAATGCATTCATGTTGTGATGCCGGAGTAGAAGTTGGTTGATTGGAGGATATGGGAGTGTCAGACTCAGACATTGATTCAGAGGATATAGAAATGTCTGAATCAGATGGTAATTCAGAGGGATTTGATTGAGCAGAGTCATTTCTTGTAATAGGCTTAGATGGAGCAGTCATAGTGATTCCAACGGAAGGATAAGAAGGAGCACCACCTAAAACAGATGTAGCAAACGAATGAGAATCGATCGTTTGTTGACTGTCCGCCAATGGAAAATGACTTTCGTCAAATTTTACCTGTGTGCTAACGAAAATTTTACGAGACGGTGGATGGTATATCCTATATCCCTTATGATCAGTATCGTATCCAACATGAATACCGGCAATAGATGTAGGTGATAATTTACCATCTCTTAATGAAGTAGCTAAGGTGGCATAAGCAGCGCAGCCAAAGACCCTTAGATGCTTCACATTAAATCTTTCAGGAGAAATATCATGCCATAAACAATACGGAATGGCACCATTTTTATTTGTAATAGGTAGCCTATTGATTAGATAAACAGCACAAGATACTGCTTCAGGCCATAAAGAAGTTGGAATGCGACCACCGACAAGTAAGCAACGAGTTTTTTCTTCAATAGTACGATGGGCTCTTTCAACAGCACCATTTTGGAAACTAGAGTGAGGTACTGTTAATTGATGTTGAATGCCTTTCTTGGTCATAAAGGAATGAAGTTGATGATTGACGAATTCACCACCATTATCAGTTCTAATAGAACCGACAGTATACCCACCACGAGACGCGAAATAATTTTCTTGAGCAGTTATCCAATCCATAAGCTTATCAACGGCTTCGGACTTGTTCTTCAAATGAATAACCGAATAGTATCTTGAATAAGCATCCCTGATGGTCATAAAATATTTGTCAGAATTGAAATTTTTATAACGAAAACCACCACATAAATCGACTTGAATCAATTGTAAAGGAGAGGTGTACTCAGTTTGAGAAGTAGTCCCTTTTTTGATGATTCCTTTAGACAATGAACATGTTGGACACAAGGTAACATTGCTAACTTTTAATTTTGGAGCCGAGATAATAGGAGCAATACGGTTGTATTGATCAATTCCTGGGTGACCTAGACGGGCATGAATAATGGCTTCAATTGGTGTTGAATCCTGCTTAGAAAATAATAAGCGATCTTTCGCCTTTGTCAGAGAGGAGTTAATATGGACTTCATGTCCAGAAAATGCTTTTTCTGCGTAGGTTGACTTTGGTTTGAAATCAACGACATAAAGTCCATTTTTAACAGTTGCCAAAGGAAGAATTTTACCTGTAGAAGTCAATACTGAGACACTATCATTGTCTAATATGAAGGATACATTAGCCTTGGTACATGCCTTTTTTGTTGATAATAAGTTAAAAGGCATTTGAGGCGCATACGCAACATTTTCAAGTTGAATAGAGCCAATTTTAGCAGTACCATGACCATGAATAGGAATCTCTCCACCTACACCCTTAATACAGGTACCATCAGATGGAACGAATGAAGTCAACAGATTCTTGTCGCATGTAACGTGAGTAGTACAACCACTGTCAACAATCCAGTCTGTTTTTGAAAAGTTATTGTGATCTTCTTCTGATCCATAGAAAAACAGATCAGTATCAGATACATCAGAGTTCCGGGCGGTCCAAGCATCCGTATCATTTTTGTCAAGGATAGGAGCAGTAGGAACAGCCTTCTTTAACATTTCACAGTCTTTGAAATAATGGAAAGGACCTCCACAAATACCACACTTTTTCTTTTGGGTTTTCTTAGTAGTAGGCCTCTTTTTAGTAGCGACTAGAGCAGTAGATACCTTTGTTGTATTGTCGTCGGCTTCTTTTAATCTTGAAATTAATTCAACGTGATTCATCTTGGTAAGATTACCCATGAAACTTAGACAATGTTTCTGAGAGTCAGGACATAAAGCCAATAAAAAATATCCAATAAAATAATTCTTCTTGGAATTAATATTTTCCTTGTATTTTAAAAGGATAGCTGGCGAACAGTTGTTCATGAATTCTTTGTCAAATTCATTTGGTTCAAAAATTTTAGAAGCAAGATCATTTGCATATTTGATCTTGTCTTCTAATGGTTTGTTAGCATTGCCAAGCAATGGTGTCCAGATGTCAGAATTATAACGCACATTTGACATCTGATACGTATTAATAATAGTGTCTAATAAGTCTTTACCACTTTGAAGTTCGTTAGTGTCACTAATATTATACACCAAATTATTAGCTTCACCCTCAGTGGATAGTTTGATTAGATCAATTAAAGCACTACTTAATAACTGAATAGCAGTGTTGGATGCCTGTTTAGACATTTTGTATTCTTCGATGACAGAAGAAATATTGCCGGTTGAGGCATACTCAGACCACTCAGTGGAATGACGGATTAGATGTTGCTTTAAACGGATAAACCAAGTCTTAAATTGCTTGGGTCCAGAGAGTTTAATAGACAACGGATTCTCTTTTAAAGCGACAGGGCTCATAACCTGTTGAATATGTAGCGGCAGCACTAAAAAGGCTAACATTAGCTTAACCTATCTGAAGGTGAAGGTGGCTAATATAAGTAGAATTTAGAGTGTGCTGCACTGTCGTATATATAATAACACATGATATATACTGCATAATGTAGTATTCGTTCCCCTACATTGGGTTTATTGGAGCTACATAGTCCAACGTTACTATGCACAAAAGATGAGCAGTTTAACAACAGCAACTCTGTTTAACATTAATGTTAGGTAAGCAAAATATAATTCTTATCTTTTTCTTATATTTGTCAGTGATTTTTTTATATTGTATATAATTTACAGAACGAATAGAATCTAACTCAGAATGTAAGTTCAGAATTCTTTGTCTTTATATATATTTTTATTCCAATATCAATTGAGGTTGGAATTACGTTTTGTTTCATAATGCGATTAACTTTGTTTCATACTATAACGCGCTTCATAACACATTCGAGATATATTGATCCCACATAATTTCTGTCAAATATGAACGAATATAAGTCTAACCACAGTAAGTCTGCTTCACCTCAATTTCTTACTAAACATAAAATTGTAATAACTAAGTATTACTACTTTCTACATTATAACAGTTTCAGATACAACAAATTCCATAAATAATAGGAAGTTTGGCCGAGTGGTTTAAGGCGCCAGATTTAGGTTCTGGTATCTTCGGATGCATGAGTTCGAATCTCATAGCTTTCATTATTTTTTGAATTATTTGAAAGATATTATCGTGTTTTACGACTAAGGATATAATAATGATATTCCTGATGAAATAAATATGTACTTTCAGTTTACCTCCTCTTTAGTAATTTTGTTCTGGTAATTATCATCTGTTACATAATTAAATATTGAAGACTTCAGTAAAGTTTAAATTTAGATTAAAATAAAATAAAAATTTATTTAAAAAGATGATTAATAATATACACTGTCACACGCTTAATTCCACTTTAGCTCGACTGCTTCATCGTAAGTTGGATAGTCAGTGTACCTCTTACTAGTTTGGCCGTAAAATGTATTTCTGTCATAAACATTTAATGGAAGACCCTCGGCCAAACGGCATGGTAGATCGGGATTAGCTATCCCATATCTTCCGAAAGCAACTAAGGTTCTATCATCACCATTAACTAACTGTTTAACATCATTTGGATGTAACGCCAAGTTACCTGCTCTGATGATAGGACCTTTCCATATAGAATAAGCGAAATTGTTGGAGCCTTCTTTATACTCACCTTCACCTTCAGTCAAAAATGGGTTAGTTACACGAGGTTCAGAAAGGTGAATATAAGCCATTTTTTTACCTGATCTTGCTCTCTTTTCCAATTCACCGACCACATAAGCAAATTGAGCCAATAAAGTTGGATCATGACCACCAGACATGCCACCATAGACACCCCAAGGTGTAAATCTAATACCAACCTTTTCGGCACTGACCTCTTCAATAACAGCGTCGACAGCTTCTAGAACAAAACGAGCCCTATTTTCTATGGAACCGCCATATTCATCATTTCTCTGGTTTGATTTAGGGTCCAAGAATTGGATCAATAAATACCCAAAGGCACTGTGTACCTCAACACCATCTGCACCTGCTTCAATGGCGTTTCTTGCTGCAACTTTGAAATCCTTGATGTATTGTTTTATTTCAGGGATTGTCAGGGCACGTTGAGGATTATTAGCCTTCTTTGAAATTTCTTCGAAGGAGCTGCCAATATAAATGTTATCGGAGGCAGAAACATATGGTAAGTCATCTCTAGCTAGAGTGTCAGATTCAGATTGTCTGCCTAGGGTCCATAGTTGCATAAACACATAGGACTGGTTTCCATGAACTCTCTTGAAAACTGGTTTCCATGCTTCAACTTGTTCTTGACTCCAAATACCTAGAGCATTATCATAACCGTCAGCTTTTTTGGGGATGGAAGTAATATCGGTACTAAGCAAAGGGTCTGGGATTTCACTACGTTGGCAGAAGTACTCGGCTGCCAGTTCAGAATTTGGAACGTTACCTGGACTTGTTGCTCTCATTCTAGTTAGAAGTGCACAACAGCACAATAGTAAGGTTGCATGTTATCAACCTTGACAGGTTTGAATAAATTGATGTCTTTTAGAGCGACTGGTTTAAAATCTTGGTTGAAAGGCATATTTAGTTGTTGTTGTTGTTGTTGTTTGTATTTTGATGGTTTTCTGTATATGAACAGATATACGAATAAAATCGAATCTAAAACAGAAATTAAATTTTACATGGTTGATATTGACCCTATTCATATTATTTCAAGTTAATTTAAATTATCAAATTGTTCATTCGTAAAAGTGATCTCTTCAAACTATATTACCAATGGGTTTTCTCGAGAAGCGGTTAATAAAATTCGAAGTTCATTTGTACCTATGTGTACCTTCTTTTGCTTAGGCAAGCTTCCGAGACGGAATAAAAGCGGGATGGAACACGGCTAGACGGACAACGTAAAGACCAAAACTTCCGTGTAACCAAACATAACTTCTGTAGATGCAATGAAGGCTCTAATCCATGATATGTTATGTCTATTTGAAAGGTTATCATTTAGCCCAAGACTGAAATTGATACTTTATGAAATTCTGTCATCATTGAAATCATACACAATATACATTGCAACATCCGATAGTGAACACGTCGCTGCAGAGAATCATAATGTAAGAACACCACTCATTTCAAGACATAATAGTGAGAATATACATTTTTCTGGCAAGAATCAAACTTTTGAAATACCTAAAGAACTGTTGAGGTTGCCACCTTTACAAGTATCCTCATTCATCAGCAAACCAACAGAATCCAAGGACTCTACGGGGGTCTCATTAGGCATTACACCGATGAGCCACGAAAGAGAGTCCACTAATGGTGATCTATACAATGAGGACGAAAAGGAGAAATGGTTCATATTTGACAAAAAGAGTACATCGTACATTTCCAAATTGAAAACCCAGGCATATTGCAACATCAACAGTTACAAAACGTATCCTGATCAAGTGAAATCCATCAACAACGCTTGTTACAACCTGGCATTATTTGATGCTAGTTTCAAGAACAAGAACCCAGTATAGCAATATATAAAGATCAAAATACTTTTTCGCATTGTTTTTAATTGAGTGAATGCTCTTTGGGGTGAAAAATATATATGTTATGGAAGATTGTAAGTAAAATAAGAGCTCGGTAGAGATCCAAACAAAGAATACAATAATAATAGTGTCAGCGATAGAGCTTATCTCGTGTATCTGGTCGAGTAATATTACTTGTTGTATTTTGGTCCATACTTCAATATATATTTGTAATGTGGGTATAGATATGTTTTTCTCGTACTTTCTTTCAGAGAGAATAATAGTGTACAATCTACCCGCGTCTGCAAGAACTGTGAACGACCGTGTATTCTCGGACCAATCTTTCGCATTTTTGGATGCCGAAAAGTATTAAAAATTTTCTCGAAAATTCTTCATACCCTCTAAATTTTCAGTTCCATTAACATATGAAAAAATAGAAAACGTTTAATAAAACCCCAAAAATATTCCATTTTACATAAAAAATATAAGAAACCCCTAATATTTCTGCGTAATTAAGAACTCTAAAATTCAAAAATATAAACCCTGGTAAAAATGAAATGCAACATTTGTATTTTTCAAGCAGAATTTTGAAAAATATCCTTTTTTACCCGTTTTCCTGACACGAATTTTCGGCCATCAAAAAAGTGGCCGAAAATGCGAAAGATTGGTCCGAGAATACACGGTCGTTCACAGTTCTTGCAGACGCGGGTAGCTACTTGCTGGCTTAACTTCACATGTAGCTGCAGGTTACTTGAGTAAAGGATGCCGTAATCAAGTAATCAGCAGCATCTAGTAAGCGCTTGTACAAGTACCGTTTGGTACAAGGTAAATAGCATCTCTTAATATGGACTTTCATTTAGTTTATCGCTCTTCGTTAGTTGCAACTTTTTCAGACTAAGTGGTCAAACCAAATCTTTGAATATCAGGAAATTCTTCTCATTTTGGACCATATATAAATAGACACTATTTCGTTAATAAAAGAACTTGTAAAATGTTTAGTTAGTTTTACTTTTATTCTCAATGCATTCATAATCGCAAAAAGATGAATAGCACATACCACCCTTAGCACAGCTAGCACATTTCTAATTTTATGACATTCAAATTGGAAGCAATTCACATTATTACTTTTTTTATCGTTTTCCTAATTTGTTGTATTCTCAGTTTATTTTTCAAATGAAAAAGAAATTATTAGCTATTTTAACAATCCTAACATTGGTAGTCTCACATGAACGCAGATTCCTGGGCGGAAATGCAAGTTTTTACGCAGCACAAGTTGGAGGAAGTGCAACCCTTGCAGCAGCATCTTGTGCGGTTACAATTATGCAATTTAATCCAGTTACTGGTGTTGTTTGTATTGCAACCTTTGCATACTATTTGTTTGCATCTGTCGGTTATTATATTACCACAAGATCAGTTCCTAAAGCGACTACGGCAAAACGTTCTTTAATGTAGGACAACCCTGCATTCGTACATTGAAATGGGACCTCTCCAAGGATTGCAGGAAATAAAACGTTTAACTGGTATTCATTATCGGATTTCACCGCTGATCATTATGTTGGAAATGCGATACCAAACATGGCAAGGATCGCTCCATATAAGAATAACACATTGGTCGGTTATGTTGGATATGCCTATAACCCCGACACAAACACAACGACAGTGTCTGTTACCGGTGGTGATGTAAATACTCCCGAAGCTCATCTCCAAAATAGAATTGCTTATCAAGCTGGTCAAACAACAACTCTTATGAAACGTGGATGGGCTGATTCAATTACATGGGCTAGTTACGAATATAATAATGGTAACCAAGACTTATGGGACCAATTTCCGAAGGAAGGTGACGAATTTGAAATGTTATCGGATGATTTTAGTCAGTACGTCGGAGAGAATGTGGCTCAGAAATATTGTGTATGCTTTGGTGACTCAGGAGAGGCTGGCAGTCAAATGGCACTTCATGGTGAGATATATTTTGACACATACGGTGGAGTGGACAATGAGTGTGATGATAACTTATGTAATACATACTAGTTGAAGATATATAACGGGAATTTTATAACTAAATACTTTTGAAATGAATGGATAAGGGTGACGGCGTTGTGTTAGGTTGTATCCCTTATATAACACAAATGATGACTTTTGTGAAATAAAGAGAGTTTAGTGCTCTTGTGTCAGTGTGTTTTCTACCAAAGAAAGAATGCATTACAGGAGCATCCATTAAGACATATACATTGGGTGTTTACTTTTCTTGGAGTTTAGATTTCCTTCTACTATAAAACACGCTGTTGCACACTAACATTGGAGCTTTGATTCGTCAAACCTCGTCATATATAGACATATTACGGCACTTGGAAGCATTGAATAGATAGGTTCAGGGTAAAACAGATAGCATTATTAAATCGTGCTATAAGACACTTTTAGTAAGAATAAATGGAATATAATAAAACACTTAGGTTAGTACCACTTAGCTGTTATAAGTAAATGTAATAGCTCATCCAGGGTTCTAAAGTAAGTAATACAAAAAGTATATAAAAATAAATAAAGAAATAATTTATACGTCACATTAGTATATATGTTAATAAATACTCTTATGATTGTATCATTTCTTCTTGTTGAAAGAGTTTTCTCTCTCACCAGAATACGCTGGCGTGCACTCACATTAAACAGACTTTATTTCTCAAAGCTCGTCATTCGCGCCTATTATTCCGAACGGCGGCATCGATGTATTGTATGAAAACAATACACAATTATATCAAAAAGTGACATATTTTATTCATAGCTAGATCAAATCAATAATAACTGCGACTACAATATGTCTACCTTGTTGCCTCCACCTACGAAGAAACAAAAGAAAGAAGCTCAAAAACCCATGATATTGGGTTAGTTCCTGAAGGTTTACCAAACATATTCATTAAATTTCAGGCTTTAGACACAGGTGAAACTGTAGGTCATTCGTTAAGGGACCCAGCTGGCATCACTGAGAAGCAGTTTGAGGAACTTTTAAATCAATTAAGTGGTAATGCTGACAAGCCAGTTCCGTATACTTTCAGTTGTGATGTTCCAAGTAAAAAAAACAACTTCAGATCCACTACAAACTGTTGATATTGTCGATAATCTTTACTCGTCATTATTAAAATCTGGCCATAAGACATCCGAAGATACGGTTACATTAGTATTTACACCAAAGGCTGTTTTCAAAGTTAGGCCGGTCACTAGAAGTTCGTCTACCATTGCAGGTCATGGTTCCACCATTTTATGTTCTGATTTTGCTTTTCATACAAGTGCCAGAGTAGTCACTGGTGCTGGTGATAACATTTCAAGAATTTGGGATTGTGATACCCAAACACCAATAGCTATTCTGAGTGACCATACTAATTGGGTTCGATGTGTCTCCTGGTATCCCAACGGTGACCTGATTGCTACTGGATCAATGGATAATACTATTAGATTATGGGAATCACAACATGGGAAACTACAAGGTGATGCCTTAGGAGGCCATCATAAATGGATTACATCCCTGGCTTGGGAACCTGTTCATTTTTAGTGGCTCCTGGTTAGAAACCAAGATTAGCTTCTGCCTCAAAGGATGGTACAATTAAAATTTCGGATACAACAAAAAGAGTTTATTTTTATACATTAAGTGGCCATACAAATTCAGTATCATGTGTGAAATAGGGTGGTCAAGGTCTCTTTTATACGGGATCTCATGACAAGACTGTTAGAGTATGAGATATGAAACAAGGAGGTAAATGTATGAATATATTAAAGAATCATGCACATTGGGTGAACCATTTGTCCCTATCGAGTGACTATGCAGTAAGAGTTGGTGCATTTGATCATGCAGGCATGAAAACTGCAACACCACAAGAACCTCAAACTAAGGCTCTTGCTTATTACGAGAAAGTTGTTAAGAAAAATGGCACCCTTGAAGAGTTAATGGTTACAGCCAGTGATGATTTTACAATGTTCTTATGGAATCCTATAAAGCAAACAAAAACCTTTAGTAAGAATGACAGGCCATCAGATACTTGTTAATCATGTAGCATTTAGTCCTGATGGTAGAAATATCGTGTCTGCTTCGTTTGATAACTCTATCAAATTATGGGATGGACGTGACGGGAAGGTTTTGGCCACATTTAGAGGTCGTGTTGCTAGTGTCTATCAAGTTGCATGGTCATCAGATTGTCGTTTATTAGTGTCATGTTCCAAGGATACTACATTAAAAGTCTGGGACGTTAGAACCCGTAAACTTTCCGTTGATCTTCCAGGTCATAAGGATGAAGTTTACACAGTAGACTGGAGTGTTGATGGTAAACGTGTTTGCAGTGGTGGTAAAGATAAGATGGTTAGACTTTGGACCCATTAATTCAAAAAAAAAATTCTCTAAAAGGTTTGTTCCTTTATGTATGTATGCATTCTTTATTTGGGGTGGCTGGATTTATATATAGCAATAAAAGTAAAATAAATGATACCATTTATTTAATGACTTAGAAACAAAATACAGTGATAGTAATTCAGGTTTAGTCTTGTCCTTATAATATATAAATATATATATATAATATTGTAGTGTATTAACTAGATCTTTCGAGAATAAAATTACCAGGATTGAAATTATTATTCTATAATTGATATTATTATATGTCGCATCATGTTTGAAGAAACAGGGAAAAACACTTGCTAATATAGAACTATCTGATAACTAATTTTAGAATTTATCCAGGAAGTTTCCCTCATTTCTGTGCCACTTTCCTGAATTTTCGAATGCAATTAAATATCCCAGGTAGAAGTTGCACAAATAAACCGGCAGATATTGACACAGTGAGACCTGCAACTAAATAGGAGACAACACAAGGAGTTAATCTTGTCATTTGGAATGGATCATTCCCATTATTGAAGGTATTATAACATAATCCCTGCGATAACTTAAACATCCCAAATCCAAGTATTCCAAAAAAAGTAGTTCCAAATGTCAAAATAAACGTTTGCCACTGTTGTAGAAATGGACCAATGTACATGTACTGCTCCATATACAACAGATACATGGTAGTTAACGTGACAACTACAATGAAAAACAACCAAAACCTACGAGACAGCATATAATTGATAAGAATTTAACTAATTTTTAACGGCACGTCTTCTATGAAAAAATGGTACTTAAAGCTAGTTTTACTTACCAATGATGTGGATAGCATAAAATTAAAATACTTGGTGTATTACCATCTTTATGTACTGCAGTAAAGTATTGTTTTCATAAGGATACATTACGATGTGCATTACGATGCGCATCACGATTGATGAGTGCATTTAGAAAAAAATTGAGGCTGCATCTAAAAAAAATATTGCCTTAGAACCTTAATGAACTATTCGAAACGGCATAAACACATAAATTATGCAAGTAAGAGGTCATAAACTGGGATGCTAGGGACAGGAATAATATTCTATCATAGCCTAGTTAGTGGTACCGGTAGGGGAGGGTTATCCTGCCCCCCCAGGTAGCTACATAGATGTATATAAGTTATATAGGTGGGAGTGGGTCACGTGGCAGT